ATAAAAGCATGATTTAATCGATTAAAACATTTAATAGAAATTTCTCTAAGTTGATTTAATCAATTAATTCGATGTTACATTGACTAAAATTATGGAAAAACACTTTTCAAAACATCTCAAGTGATTTTAATAAATTAATTTCGAAGTTACATTGATTAAAATATTGACTGAACACTTTTCAAAACTTTTCAAGTGATTTTAATCGATTAATTCGAAGTTATATCGATTAAAATACTCGACAAAATAATTTTCAAAACATCTTAAGTGGTTTTAATCGATTAATTCAAAGTTACATACATCGATTAAAATACTGACATAATACTTTTCAAAACATATCAAGTGATTTTAATCGATTAATTCGAATGTGCATCAATTAAAACAACGACAATATATGTTTTAAGTTGTTTTAATCGATTATTTCGAAAATTCATCAATTAAAACTTTGTCAGGAATGTGACTAGCTGATTTTAATCGATTAATCTTTAAGTATATCAATTAAATCTTTAGTCTTAAGAACATATTAATCTATTAAACTGGTTTTTAACAGATTAAAACTTTTAGAGGCATTTCAAATTCTTTCAAATGATAAACCCTTATGCAGCAAAGAAGAATGAATGATTATACCTATGAATATTGATGTAAACTCACTAATCATTATACCCTTTAACCTAAAGAACTTTTGACTTCATCAAATCTTCAAGATCTTTTAATCTCTTCATAAGGTTCAATAAGATCTTCATCAATTTCAAATATTACTCAAAACAAGAAGAAAAATAAAAAAATGCGCTTGAAACACCACAGTGGAATTTTTTTACTGGAAATATTCCCCAAAAAAACTACTAAAAAAAAACCTTTAAAAGAGTGGAATGAAATTTTATAAAAAAATTTCCTAACAAAAAAAATTGTACAAATTTTTTACCGAGTGTAACTACGAAAACTAAAATCCTAAAATGTAAAAGTATTACTCAAAACAAATAGAAAAATAAAAAACAAAACAATCTCGAAAGAGTGTAGTTATATTTTTTTATTAAAATAATTCCCCAACAAAAAAATTGTAGAAATTTTTAACTGATCTAACTACGAAAACTTAGTTCGAAAAATGTAAAAATATTACTCAAAACAAATAAAAAATAAGATATAGAGCATAAAATAGTGGAGTGGAAATTTTTTGCCACAAAAAATTATAAAAATTTCTGACTCGGTGTAACTACGAAAACTAAATTAAAAAAAATATTACAATGTTACTCAAAACTACAAGAAAAATAAAAAAGCGACCTTGAAAGATTATAGTGGAATAATTTTATTAAAAAAATTCCCCAACTAAAAAAACTATACAAATCTTGTACTTGTGTAACTACGAAAACTCAATTCCTAAAATATAACAATATTACTCAAAACAAATAGAAAAAAAAACAAATGAGCTTAAAACAGATGTAGTGGAATTTTTTATTACAAAAAATTCCTAACACAAAACTACTAAAAAAATAAAAAATTAAACTTAAAGCACTCGCAGTGGAATGTTTTTACCCAACCAAAAAAATTGTAGAAATTTCTTACTGATGTAACTACAAAAATCGAATTCCAAAAATGTAAAATTATTACTAAAAAAGAGAAAATAAATTATAGAACCTAAAGGAGTGTAATAGAATTTTTTGACTAAAAATTCTCCCAAAAGCAAAAATTGTATAAATTTATCAATAGTGTAACTATGAAAACTAAATTTAAAAATTGTTAACATATTACTCAAAACAACAAGAAAAAAAGAACCGCGCTTGAGAGAGTGCAGTGGAATTTTTATTGAAAAAAATCTCCAAAACATAAAAAAAGTGTAGAAATTTCGCACTGGTATAATTACGAAAACTAAATTCCTAAAAAATGAGAATTTTACTCAAAATAAGTAGAAAAATAAAAAAAAATGTGCTTGAAACACCACATTTAAATTTTTTTTAGTGGATAAATTCCCAAAAAAACTACTAAAAAAAATAATTTTTGAAAGAGTGAAGTGGAATTTTATAAAAAAATTCCTCAACACAAAAAATTGTACAAACCTTTTACCGGTGTAACTACTAAAACTAAAATCTTAAAATGTAAAAGTATTACTCAAAACAAATACAAAAATAAAAAACAAAACGATCTCGAAAGAGTGCAGTTGAATTTTTTTATTAAAAGAATTCTCCAACGAAAAAATTGTAGAAATTTCTAACTGGTTTAACTATGAAAACTTAATTCAAAAATATAAAAATCTTACTCAAAACAAATAGAAAATAAGATATAGAGCCTAAAAGAGTGGAGTGAAATTTTTTTGCTAAAAAATTCTCCAACACAACAAAAATTGTAGAAAATTTTTACCTGGTATAACTACGAAAAATAAATTAAAAAAATGTTACAATATTACTCAAAACTACAAGAAAAATAAAAAAGCGACTTTGAAAGACTACAATGGAATAATTTTATTAAAAAAATTCTCCAACTCAAAAAATTTTAAAAATCTTGTACTCGTGTAACTACGAAAACTCAATTTCTAAAATGTATCAATATTACTTAAAACAAATAGAAAAATAAACAAATGAGTTTGAAATATTGTAGTGGAATTTTTTTATAAAAAAAAACTCCAACACAAAACTACTAGAAAAATAAAAAATTGAGCTTGAAGCACAAAATGTTTTTACTTAGTACAAAAAATTGTGAAAATTGCTTATTGGTGTAACTACAAAAACCGAATTCCAAAAATGTAAAATTATTACTAAAAAAAGAGAAAATAAATTATAGAGCCTAAAATAGTGCAGTGAAATTTTTTGACTAAAAATTCTCCCTAACACAAAAAATTGTATAAATTTTTCAATGATGTAACTACGAAAACTAAATTCTAAAAATGTTATCATATTACTCAAAACAACAAGAAAAAAAGAAGCGCACATGAGAAAGTGCGGTGAAATTTTTTTATTGAAAAATCTCCAACACAAAAAAAGTGTAGAAATTTTGCATTGGTATAATTACGAAAGTTAAATTCCTAAAAAATGAGAATATTACTCAAAACAAGTAGAAAAATAAAAAAATGCGCTTGAAACACCACAATAGAATTTTTTACTGGAAAAAATCCCCAAAAAATCTACTAGAAAAAAAAAACAAGTTTTGAAAGAGTGAAGTGAAATTTTATAAAAAAATTTCCTAAAACAAAAAATTTGTACAAATTTTTTGCGGTATAACGATGAAAACTAAAATCTTAAAATGTAAAAGTATTACTCAAAACAAATAAAAAAAGAAAAAACAAAATGATCTCGAAAGAGTGTAGTTGAATTTTTTTATTAAAAGAATTCCCAACAGAAAAAATTGTAAAATTTTTTAATTAATCTAACTACGAAAACTTAATTCAAAAAATGTAAAGATATTACTCAAAACAAATAGAAAATAAGATATAAAACCTAAAAGAGTGGAGTGGAAATATTTTGCTAAAAAATTCCCCAACATACAAAAAATTGTAGAAATTTCGACTAGTGTAACTACGAAAACTAAATTAAAAAAATGTTACAATATTACTCAAAACTACAATAAAAAAAATGACCTTGAAATATTGTAGTGGAATAATTTTATTAAAAAAATTCTCCAACTCAAAAAATTTTAGAAATTTTGTACTCGTGTAATTACGAAACTCAATTCCTAAAATGTAACAATATTACTCAAAACAAATAGAAAAATAAACAAATGAGTTTGAAACGAGTATAGTGGAATTTTTTTTATTACAAAAATTCTTCAACACAAAACTATTAGAAAAATAAAAGATTGAGTTTGAAGCACTCGTAGTAGAATGTTTTTTTACCCAATACAAAAAATTATCGAAATTTTTTACTGGTGTAATTACAAAAACAAAATTTCAAAAATATAAAATTTTTACTAAAAAAAGAGAAAATAAATTATAGAACTTAAAAGAGTGCAGTTAAATTTTTTGACTAAAAATTCTTCCTAACATAAAAATTGTATAAATTTCTTAATGGTGTAACTACAAAAACTAAATTCCAAAAATATTACCATATTACTCAAAACAACAAGAAAAAAAAAAGAAGCGCACCTATAAAAGTGTAATGAAATTTTTTTATTTAAAAAATTCCCAACACAAAAAAAGTGTAGAAATTTTGCACTCGATGTAATTACCAAAACTAAATTTCTAAAAAGTGAGAATATTACTCAAAACAAGTAGAAAAATAAATAAAAAATACATTTAAAACACCATAGTGAAATTTTTTTACCTGAAAAAATTTCTCTACAAAATTACTTGAAAAAGAAAACAAGTTTTGAAAGTGTGAAGTAAAATTCCCCAACACACAAAATTATACAATTTTTTAATGGTGTAACTACGAAAACTAAAATCTTAAAATATAAAAATATATGTAAAAACATATTAATTAATCGTCAAACTTTAAAAAATATATAAATTCAATAATTTCACAAAGAAAGATTGAAATCATATTTAATCTTTTTACCAATTCTATTAATCTCAAAATTATCACTAAATATAAAAAGAATTACATTCAAATATTTTTAATAATTTGAAGAATTAATTAATTAATTTTTAAATATAAGATCAAAGCTGAATTTGACAAATAATACAAGAATAAAAACATATTTAACCGTAAATTTATTAATAAAAGATTTTTTTCATTTAAAAAAAATGTATGGCAAATACATGAAGAAAAAAATACAAATTACTAAATGGTATCTCGACTAAGATAAGACGAACACAACTTCAATAAGAAGAATGCGCCCACACAAAAGAGAAATATATGTTATTATAGTATGTCTGATAGAGCAAATGAAACTTTTATTCCTGACTAATGACTTCTTGTGAGGGTTCTAAGTGTGTACATATGCCTATGGTTGCATAAACATCCCCCTACTAGAATCACAAATTCACATCAGTTAAAGGAATTTATACTAAAACATACTAACTAGTTATATCATAGTGGAGTATTCAACCACTGTTCCATTCACAGATGCTTATTAAATCAACAACCTTGAAGATCTCGCCACCTGAGATAAACTAACCCTGCCCGATAATGAGCGTATGCTCCAGCCACCACTAATATATGAAACAATTGGTGACTGTGTCCGGCAATGTCAAATTTCCCAGGCATCCATCTTTCTGGAATCCTAGTGGCATAAACCAGTGCTCCAAGTCCATAGAGAACACCCATCAGAATTTCATATCCGGTTGTGTGAAACACTTCTGGCTGGCCCCAGAACAGATAAAGCTTGTGCAGAATAGGTCCTGCACCAGACAAACCCATTCCGAAGAAGAGAGATGCTCGGATGGTACGGAATTCTGGATTTTGGAACACTGGAAGTAGAGAAACCAAGATGGTGGCAATACCCAATACAGTGATAAATCCCAAGTACAGGTTGCAGAAAAACGGATAACACATAAAGGAGTAATATACTGGAGGATAGAAAGAGGTGGATATCAGGGCTGCAATTCCAGCATAATCGAGCCTGAGCATAATGTATGCCATGCGCTCAGAGTGACAAGATAGAAGATGGCAAATACTGCTAGCTAGCAAGCAAAACATAGCACCCCTAAAAATGCGAAAAAAGGCCACCTTGTAATTGGTCTAATCATCAGTGGAGCTATTATGTTCGCCAGGTCCTCTTTAACGCTATGCTGCACATAACCAACAAAGAAATAAGCAATGCAGCATTGGCTACCAAAACCTAGTCATTAGTCAATATAAACAGTATGGTGAGAAAAAAAATCAAAGGTGCAGCAAAATTTTCCCATGGAGAAAGAGGAAATATCACAGCACAAAGCTATGCAAGAACTAGCATCATTAATCCATTATTCAGTATTTCTCCTCTCACAACTTATCTTTTAAAATTTCCTCAACTATATGATTAAAAATTGTACCCTGCCATTGGTTATTAATCTGTATTGTTGATACCGTAAAAAAGGAATTTATCATCAAGTAGAACAAAAGAGAAGATAAACCATACTGATATATCAACCAGAACTAGTTTAACACCACCTCTCCCCCAGCCACAAAGGAAAAAAGAGGAATGAAACAAACAAGTATTCAGCTGTAAAGCAATTACCAGAACACACACATCAGTATGATTACTACTGGAAAATCTTACTGGCAAACAATTATAAAGATATTCTTTAATATGCCAATTTGATATTTCCTCTCTGAGTCTGTGTAAATCAGACATGGAAGGAAGACACGTCAGGAGTTCTGATTGTAATTTGTGCAGGTCGGTCTTCATGAGGATGTCTGGAAAATGCTGTAGCGAATTAAGATCTACAACCTTTGGAATTTTGATGGCAGTGTATATCGTCAATGCCAGAAATATGAAGAACCCGATCAAATGCCTTCAAAAGATAGCATTTTGTCATTTAATGGTTGAGAACAAGAAAACTAGGAACTAAATAAAAGAATATATCTTTAATCCAAAAATTGGTTGTGCCATTCTAGTGGCCAATATCCTTACAAAAGAGACAAAGAATGAGAAACAAAAATATAAAGTCAAAATTTATAAGGCAATAGACATATCATTTAACACCACCAATTGAGAGACAAGGGTAAGATAAAAAAAACAAAACAATTAAGGTAAAGGCAGAGGTAAGTAAATATGATTCAATTATAACCAACCTTGTTCTAAAACTTTCTTGCAGATTAAATAGATTTATTTACATGATATTTCCTCCTCAAAGAATGAGCCAATAATTATTTGAATATAAAGGAGACATGATTGATATTTATGGAATGTGAACTGTTGATCATGGATTCTGATGGCATAAACTGCCTTTCTGCTGACAGGGCTAAGAGTAAGAGCCATGCAATTAGGCTTCCCTCATATAAAATAGTCCAAATATAACTATCCTCTCACAGTCAGTCATTTTCCTCATTGATCACAAAACTAAAGGAAAAGACCTTCTAGTAATACTTGAAACCAGACAGGAAACGATCATAAAGACCCTAAATTCGGCAGTGACCATAAACATCATTTTAGCTATCACCGTCTGTAAGTTAATTACAACCTAGATACTGCAACCTTTTTCTGTTGTGGGAAAATTAACCAGTCACAATGATTGTCTGGGTTACAGTTAGAGGTGTTTCCAATTTACTTTTGCCAAAACAACCCCTTTTGTTGCTACTCCGTTTAAATGCACAGGAATTCGTGTTACCATGAACGGTAAAATAAACATACATGTAGTAATTATATTCATGCATCTATACTTTCTCTTCTATATCACTTACATCCCATTTTTCTTTTGTATCTCTCTTTATTCTCAATCATCACATCTATTAACTCTCCCATTCTTTCTTTATTTATTTTTCTCTCTATCTCTCCACTCATTCATTCAAAAAATGGTTGTACTTCCTCATATAATAATGAACAGTTTATACGATGTCGGGATATTATCCAGCAACACAGATCTCCAGAACGAAAACAAATGCTCAGAAGCAGCACATGTACAAGAACTAAGAAATCGTACGAGAACCCCTCGCCCCCCCCCCTAAAAAAAGTCAACAATTTGGTTAGAAACGGTAAATAAGAAGCGGAAGGTGATATGTAAATCCTTACGTCCAAACGTTGAGAGTTTCGTTGTGGATGGTGAACATACTCAGAAGAACCTGCTTCATAGGCCATTCAGATCGATAGTGACCGAGAATGTACTCATTATCTCTCAAGTAACCGGGCAAGGAGTGGTACTCCACCAGTTGGTACTTCACCTTCTTCCACAGCCTCCTCCCTTTCCCTTCCCTTCCGCGACACGCTCCTTCGTTCTCCATCAAATTCAAATCCTCACCACCCATCCTCTGTCAATTCCACAACATAAATGACAAAAAACAAACACAATTAAACGCGCACGCGCGCGAGAGAAGCCAGGCTCTTCGCGAACTCCAACACGAAAGAAAATAAAGATTATTATATATAAGGATTAAAAAGTACCTGGAACGAAGACCAAAGAGAAGGTGGCGATAATTGTAATGGAGGAGGGAGAGAAAAACCAAGAGAATGCGAAAATTTGTAACGAAGGTGATTGGGGAAAACACAGTTTATTAGAATTGCACGAAATTTCGACGTTAACAGTTGATGTGATGAGGAAGATTCTTGGAGAAGATGCTGTGATACCTACTACGGTTTCGTTCTTTGTTTTATTAATACTCTTAGACACACCATTTCCTTTGCCTAATGCATCGCGCCAGCGACAGCGTTTCGTAAGGGCAAATTAATGACCTCATAAAATATCATTACCATTTAATCAACGGGTTTGGATCAACACGAAGAAACTACAGTTTAAATTTTTGTTATGAAAAAATATTGAATTAATTTACTTTAATCCTTTCCAAATCAATAAGAAAAAATAAAATATATTTTTTTACCTTTAATTTGGTTATATACTAATTTGTGATGGTTGTTTACTTTGTCTAATTCCCTATTTTCGCGTATTTTTTTGGTAAACAATGTCTGCACCTCTCACTAATCATTACTCACATTTTTTTTAATGAAGGTTAGTTAATAGACATAGATATTGATTCAATTGGAACTAAATTATTATTAAAAATATATGCAAATAAATATAAATTATGTTAACTTTTTATAAGGTTTATAATTTTATCATTTCATTTATTGAATTATAGTTTTATTTAAATATCTGTATTAAACTTTTCTTTTAAATTAAAAATAAGATATATAATCAGATGATCTTTGTTTATGTTTATATATATTTTTCTAAACTTAAATATTAAAAATATTTATTAAAAATTTAATTGTTAAACATTATTTAAAAAACATACAAATGGTTAGAAAGGTGTGTAATAATAAGTCTTGTTCGTGATGTAGTCAGTTTTCACTTTTTGTTAGTTTTCAAATTAAATTTAAAAATAAAACATATTTAGATAAAAAGATAGTTGAATGATTTTTAGATTATTTTTTAATCAATTTAATTTTATTAATTGAAAAAAAAAGTATTTATAAATCTAGTGTTAAGTTTTTTTAAATTGTATCTATCCTTCTAAATGTGTAAATTTTGTTTCTAATACTCAACGACGTATATTTACTAAGATTATTAGTAACACCATCGTGATATTAGTTTTGTTAAACTTGCAAAGTGACAATAAAACAATTAAAGTATTTTAAATTACAGAAAGAAAACTAAAAAAAATTAAAAACAAAATTAAATATGATCATAGAATAAATATCTTAATTAACTTTAAAAATAGAACATTTAAATCAATTATGTATTAAAAAAATTATCCAGAAGGTATAATGAAAATGCATTAAAATTGTAGATATATATTAATTATTTAATCAACTTCAATGAAAACAATTAATTATACTTTAATAGAATAAATTTTAAGTAAACCATTCTCACGATTTTTTTAATTATTTTGCATAGTGTTTGATGAAACGAATTAAAAAGAAAAATCTTTAAGTATGTTGTTTAAGATTATTCTAATAGAGAATAATTATTTCGAAAACGAGTATTTTATTTAGACAATCTAATAACAAACTTTTTTAACCGAATATGTTATAAGTTCATGAAATAACATGTTTTCATCAGTAGCACAAGATTGTTACTTTCTTGGTAAATACTCTTTTTATAATTTAAAAAAAATCTATATAATCAAAGGATAAATTATTTTAAAAAATATTTTTAATCAATTGACACTTTTTTTTAATATAATAACTGACAAAAGTCGCAGTTCTGAACTAATTTAATTAAATAGAGAGTGTTAATTAGTTGAAAGACGTATAAATGGAGACCTAGGGAGTATTGATTGAGCCACTTTCAATGAAATGGTCAGTTGAAACAAACTTTTTCTGAAGCCAGACAGTGTTTTGTGTTGGGAGATTTGATGAAAGTATAGGTGGTAGACCGAATAATGTGACCGATATTCTTGTTTCATTCTCTTTCATGCATATGATTAAATATTGAGGTGGCGTTTACATCTAAGGATTGCCATTGTCCCACTTCATGCACAGAACAAATTACATCCACTTAATGTTTTCCAAACATAGATTTCTACACAAATGATAAATTATAATAAGATTAGTTGCACAGCACACAAAATATTATTAGGTTTCAAAGTTGATTAACAAATTTGATCAATTTTAATCTACAATAATTCTATAATGTCTATTTACATTTCAAGTTTCCATCCTTATTTTTTCGTATAAATTATTATATTTTTCTTTTTAAGTTATAGACAATAATATTATATATAAAAGTAAATGTATTTTTTTCAATTAATTTCAAAATCGTTAAATAATATATAAGATATTATTTTAAGTATCTTAAAATAACATTGATATGATTACTTATTATACATATTTTGAGTTTAAATTTCACTTTATTGTAATTTTACGAGAGTTTAAATTAAACCCTATTATAAATTTATCATTAAAAACCTTTTATGGAATTGGAATGTTATATATATATATATATATATATATATATATATATATATATATATATATATATATATATATATATATATAGTTACTTTATTTCAATATTAATCACATGTTTTTTTTAATATTCATCTAAATAATTCTTAAAGGAGATGCTAAACAAGAAATTTATTTGTAGTGTTTTTTTTATTATTATTAATATGTCTGTTGATTCTCTTTTTTGTTTTTGAATATTGAGTGTGAAGGAGTGAATTTTGATTGGACAAACCTAGCCTAAAATTGGTCCATAATAGACAGTAAATATAAAAAAATTAAAAACTGTACTGTCTATATGTAAAATTTATTCGATCTTCCGATCTTATTTTATTCTTTTACTAGTTTTACCAAATATTATGTAAATATACAATATTTGAAAAAAAAAACCCTTATCTTATCACTTTTTTTTTTTTTAGCTTTTAGGAATTTATGTCTCCATTGGTTAAGAATTTCATGTGTCATTTAAATTTAACTGATAACATATTTAATTATAAGAAAAACAGTTATATAAATTTTGAGCTAATGCATAATGTAATTAATTTAATTGATCAAAATTAATTTTAATTTTATTATATTAAATTATGAATGATACAAAATTATATTAAAAAACTAATATTGAAGATAGTCCTAACAAAACATTACAAAATAATAAAAAATTTAAATTTTATGAATTAAACAATATATATATATATAATTAAAAATAATTTAAATAGAAAAGGATTAACTCACTATCCACATCTTACTTAACACCTATATGGATTAAACCGGAAACAAAAAATAAGACTAAGAAAAAAACAAAAAATAATAAAATTATTACTATTTTTTTAACATGAATACATCAAAATACCAATACTCAAATATAAAACTTTAGGATTATTCTATATATACATCTAATCTCCAACTTATTTATTAATATTATAATTATAAAGAAATTAAATTAAAATGAAATTAATTAAAAATTGTTATTTTATTAATAAATAAAAGTTGTCAATTTAAAAAAATAAAAGTTGTCTAAATATTTTTTTTTCTAATATTTTATTGGCAAATATGTCAAGAACATCCAACTTTCCTAAGACTAAAATAATAAAATGAAATAAAAATAAATACTTAATTATCACAATTTTTGTAATAATGATAATATTTTCATAACATATTATAAGTAATATTAAAAAATATTAAATAGATTATTTTTTTTATCGTTTACAATTTTTTTTCTTTAAATTTTTTTTGTTTCTTTTAGCTTTGCACCTACATTTCGCTTCCCTTCCTGCCAGCGAGTACACCCCCTGCGAGGACCACACCCTCTCCCTCCGCTACCCCCGCGACAAGATGGAGTACCGTGAGTGCCACTGCCCGATGAAGATCGAAGCTCTCAAGTGCCGCGTCCCTGTGTACGGTGAGGACCGTCGTCTATACTGGCTGTGTGTGGGGTACGTGCGCTCTCCGTTTTCCTTTTTTTTTTTTTTTTTTATTTAGATCGATGCGTTCTTTCATGGATAAGAAAACGTTTTATTCTTTTAAAAAGGAAAAAAAATAAAGGAGCCTTCTGAATTGGGGTGGCTGGAACACCCTCGTCCTGTATGATGATTTTACTTTTGGTACACGAAAGATGGTGTTTCCACCGTTTAAATTATATACACTTTTAATCAATGATAAATTATCGATGGTCTATGTACATGTTTTACTAGGATATTTAGGTAAATAATATATTTATTATTGTATTTTTAAATTATTGTAAATAATATGTATGCTATTTTTTATTTCTTAGCTGTTTAAAACAAAATTGAGGTTTTGAAAGTACTAATTCGGATTAAAGGGTCATCATTACACTGTACCAAGAAAATAAATGGGCATGGGGATCTTTATTCTTTACAACAACTTAAGAGGTTGTCCAGTTTATGATTTTTTTTTCTCACCATGTATCAAATTTTCCTTAATTTCATCTCTTCATGATATCTATTGCATCCATATCAACATCTTCATCTTTCCATTTAAAGAAATTGTAATTGTTTTGGTTATGCAACCTGAAGTTATTGATAGTTAAATGAAAAATAATTAAGACATATGACAAATTGTCGTGGTTCAACAAAAAATCATACATTCTATTTATCATGTCTCCAAAACTTTCTTTTGTCATTTATTATATTATTGATTGTGTAAATGAAATGCTTATCTTCACATATATAGTAGTTTTCTTCGCGAAGAACATATTTTGTCCAAATTACTATCAATAGAAGACGATTCTCATAGACTTACTGTTTCGTAATTTTATTGTAATTATATAAATGTGATAACGGTTGTGATGGAAGAAGATTATATCTCCTCTCGAGTTGCATGTTGCCCCCAATGTATTATAGAGTTTTTACATTTATTCAAAAATTATTAAAATAATATTAAAGATGATGAATGAGTTCAAATTCAAATAACCTAACAAATGCTTATTGGGTCAACATTTACCATTCGGATATTTTTACTCCAACTCTAATGCCTAATAATAAATTTTTAAATAATAGAATAAAAAAAATAAGAATGAAAAAATAGGTTAAATTTGGCTTAAAAAAAATTAGTAAAATTGATTAATAGTTTTACTTCGTCTATCTACTTTGATTTATCTAGTAGATGAAGTGGATTTACTCACTAACTCATTTAAAAATATAAATATATTAAAATAAAAAAATATTATAATTAAAAATATTTAATTTTTTATCATATTATTAAAATATGTGATATATTATAATATTATAATTTAAATTATAAATATATGATAACGTAAACGAAAAATAATATATATGGATATAATTAGAATAAAAAAATAATAAAAATCAACCATGTAATTAATAGCAATGAATTTTGAATCAGAGTTCCAACACTTATAGTAAGAACAAATTACAAAATAAATATTATAAATTTCTAATCACCTCATTTTTCTTCGATTTTCACATAGATATTTTTAAAGAGAACATTTGCGTTGATATTACAAATTTGAAAGAAAGATAAAAGTTTTTAAAAAGTATACAAAATAATTAAAAAGACAAGTGCATATTTTGATTTTGATGAGGAAGTCTTTGCCTCCTCAATGCTTCTCTAATTTAAGAAGAGTATAACACATCTCTGTATGACATCAAGGAGAAGTAACACGTTCAATCAAAGGAATTCCATAAGGAAAAAAAATCAGAGTTTTGTACTTAAGATGTAAGTTCTGAATAGAAAAGACATGTACTCATCCCACAGGACTACAAAGGACGCACAACTACTTAACACACACAATCATTCTAAGCATAAATATGACAACTCTTTTATACCCAACATCTTAAAGGAAACACTACCTCCATGTTAATAAACTTCAACCATAAAGTAGTATATCAGAGTTATTGGTTAGATGAGTATAATTAAAACAAGTTAACATCCTTGAAGAGAGTAATAATTTTTTTTTTATGATTTTATCAATAACATTGATAGGAGTGACCTCAAATGGTACTAGGCTCAATAAACCCTTTTGATATAATGAATATTAAATATATCAATAAGTACTTAATATATTTACAACACATTTTTATATCTTATTGATAAGAAAAATATAATTTAAATTAGTTACATAATAACTTTTTTGAGGGAAAACAAATGATGTTATATCTGCGTACATATTATGAAAGATGCATGAAATTTGAATGTTAGAAGAGTTTGAAAGATGAACATAATAAATATCTCTATATTTGGCAAAAAAAATAAAACATTATTACAAAAGAGAAAATATTGACTTATCTTTCTTTAAAAATATAACAAATAAATATAGCTTGAAATTTGTTTTTTTTTTCGTCATTTTGTGTTGTGACACACTGATTAGAAACTACTCACAGATGATAAATAACTATTTTGTTGTTTTTTTTATTATGATTAGTAATTTATTTTTACGCACATGAAATTTAACATTTATTACAAATTTCTATCACAGTACTCTCTCTTTCTCTTCTCAATCTCTTTTTATTATTTTATTTTTTCATAAATAAAATAATAATAATAATAATCCAGAATAATTGAAGCAAAATACTACATCATAACCTTCCCAATTCAACTCTCTCAAAAAAAGACAATCAAATTAATAGCATTAGTTATAGTTATAACACAAAAGAAACAAAATTATGCAAGCAAATAAAAGAAAATAAAAAACAAGTAGTTAAACTAAAAACATAACGTGATTGAAACTGCAAGCAAACAAGAGTACGATGAAAGTTGTACGGTCAGAATAGGGAAACTGAAATTACAAAGTGGAGATAAAAAATGTTCCCTAATAGATCAAAGTGATTTTGTTTCACCAGGGATAAATTATTTTTAAACATTTTTTTAAAATTAATTATTTTTTCTTATTTTAAAATTACTTATTGAAAAAATCAAAGAGAAATTTGTAAAAAATAAATAAATAAAAAATTGAAGAGAGATAAATAAAAGAGTAAGTGGAAATTATCCTTAATGAGTTATCTCATTTTAATTAGATGGAGATAAATATGAGGTACTCAATAGTTACTCATATTTTAATAATTGTTCCTATGTTTTGTTTATTGAGAATTTAATTAAAATAAAAAAATGTTTCTTATTTTCATCTAAGAACTTATTAAGAAATAAACTTCTTATAAATAAAATTAATATAAACTTATAGATTTAAAAAAAATATGTTAATTTTTTAAATCAACATTATAGTTTTATTTTTTAATAACAATTATTATATTGATATAAAAAATTAAAATACCTTACAAAAATGTCATATATGTGAACTAAAATTATATATATAGTGCCAAAACAATTGAAAAAATAGTTCGATAATATGCCCAATAAAATTGCTAAATTACTCTTAATTTTTTGGGAATTTTTAACGCGCTCCTTTTATTCTTCTTTACTCTCAATTGCTAACCCAAACATGGCAATGGCGGGCTCTCACACTCCACAACCTGCTTGGATTCTGCGCTTGCTCTGTCTTTGGGCTTCTGCAGTTCTGGTATTCGCCGATGAAAGTTCCTTATGTATGCATTCTTCTCCTCTCTCCTTGATTAATTTTATTTTATTTATTTCATTTTATAGGTTCAAATATAGGGTTTGGTTTGGTTGTACCTTTTCTCCCTGGAGAGTTTGGTTACACTTTTGCTTGTTTATCTTTTGACATTGTTTGGTTGTCGAACTAGAAGCATAATGGTTGAATATTAAATAATATCTCCATAACTGATGGGAAACGAGATGGTGGAAAGGAAATGCCCTAAATTCGTTAAAGTCGTTTGTCTTTGGAACAGCTACAAGCCAATAATGCTCATTCTATATTCTCCTTTCTAATAATGCTATAAAGCACGTTCTAATTACCTTCTTTGGTTAAGCTTTCTTGTGTTACTATAGCTCGTGAACTCTAGCGATTATCTGGTCCTAATATTTCATCTTAAGATTAACCCTCATGAAATTTTATTGATACGCACAAAGTTGTAATGGATGGAATGAAATTTTCTTTTTTCCTTTCAGCATAAAAAGCAATATTAGTATTCTGTCCGAATCTGTTGTTTCAAGTAAGGGCAGTTGTTGATAGTATGTAGGTTGTTGTTTGTATATTGTTGGACTTTTGGATTCGATGATATATATATAGTGTAATCTGGTATTATGTGAGTTGAAATTTAACTTATTCTTCTCCTTATGTCTTTTTGCAGCTCTTACTCAGAATGCCACATTGCAGCTATCACGTGGCTTGCCTGTGGGAAATTCTCCTGGTTCTAAGCCAGGTGCTACTGTGGTTGTTGAAAGAGTCTATATACATGGACTGTCAAGGTTTAAAAACTTGGGGAAGTTTGCACATTCCTTTAGAGTAAAGGTGTTGCCACTGCCTACATACTCAAACATTCGCCTGCCAAGCATAGAGGTTTGTTTCCATAGGTGAGTATTTGAACTAGTGCATGCATCGTCTCTTGTAAATGTGTGTGGTGTATGAGACTATCTATCACCTAGCGTCTTATTGTGTATTTAGTTGATGAATACTTATTTCATTGGTGGGATTGTTATTGTATTAATCGCTCATTCTATGCTTTATGCATTTGGTTATGCAAGGACTATCACTTTTCTGTATAACAGTATAACTATTTGTTCTGTATCAATGTTTAATTGGAAAACTAATCACTATACTTGATGTAAGACATTTCTATGTGTCTTGTTCAGGAATGTGTCTCTTGTAGCGGGGATGTGCCCGCATAGCCAGTGGGAGAAGGTTGCCAAGGGTTCTTGGACTCGATCGATGTCTCCTTTTGACCAAAAGATCTTGGACATAAGGACTGCTGGCCCCACACTGGAAAATTTTGAGGTTTCTGTCGAAGAAGGTAAGTGTTCTTTTGTGCATGTTTGTTTCATCTTATTTTTGGGGAAATAATTGTTTTTTTTTTCAATACTCTTTTAGGAAGAGGTAGAAATTAAAAAAAAATAGTCCAAATGTTTATGTTGTATTTGTTATTGATTAGGATGAGTTTCAGTTTCTTGAAGTTTTGTTGATCCATTTTAAGAACAGTCATATCCAGCACTAATAATATTTTGTTCTCCTTTGCAGAATTTTTTGTATATCGTATTGTATTGTTAACATTGGGTATTATTCTGATGAGCCTGGCGTCCTTTATAAGCAAGTCATTAGCATTCTATTATTGCAGTGCAATGGCAATTGGAATAATTCTTGTTGTATTAATTATTCTTTATCAGGTAACATTTCTGTTCCTCAATTTTCAAATTTTCAAATGTTTTATATCCAATCTTATTTTCTGTTTATGATTAATACTTTTGTTTGTTGAGTATGCCAACCATACCTTCAAACTTCAATTCTTCCTCTTGATAAAAATATTCTTATGCCTTGTTTGTAAATTATCTTATTTGATGTTGTCTCTTGTTTTTTTGTTCATCTTGTATGGTCTCAGTGGCCATAGCAACATATCATTGTTGACATTTGAAATTGTGTAGCGTAATTCATTTGAAATTATTGACATGTGAAAAAGTGAAATCATGTTTCCAAGTCATTATAAAGCCTGGGTATTGTGGTTCATAGAAATGGTTAAAATCTGTTTGGTCAGTCATAAACATTTTTGCCAATGTTAACACATTTTATTGGAATTACAGATTTTTCATTTTTTATTTCTATAGAACTCTTCAGTATAAAGTGTGATTTCCCCCAGAAACAGTCTTTTTGTGAAATAATTTCATTGTATATATTCTCTTTACTCAAATCTTATTATAAAATATTATATTAAACTATTACATCAAGTTTCTTTAAAAAAATCAATTAGCCAGTTACTTTAAAAAATAATAAGAATTTAACTAGCAAAGCAATATCATACATAATTCCAGGAAAAAAGAGATAAATTAATTAAATAAAAAAAGTATCGACCAAATGCAAGCAAACTAATTTTCTTTCCACTTATTATATTTTGCATTCAGTGTTTTAATAGCATATTGTTTTAACATTAAAATCAAGTGATACAAGATGAAACTTAAATGGGAAATAAGATGAAACCATGTGATGTTTCGTCGCCATTCATGGACTTGATTTGAAGTAAACAATGCGATTCTCAAGATACATGGATCTAGCAAAATAGTTTTTAAGATTTATTGAATAAGCAGAGAGAAACACAAATAGAAGGAAGTGAACTTCTAGAAAAGAATACGAAGACCCTTTTGAAAAAAGGAACATGGAGCATATGGCTTCCATGTCATTCGGTGAGATGAGAGGGGTGAGAAGCAAAGGCCAAAGGAGGTAGCCTACAATGGTGGTCGAAGGAGGCTGTGCACAATAATGCTACCTCCTTTGGCCCAGTGGAGCGACAAGTGAGAAATAAGGAAAATGTGTAAGAAAGAACAGGAAGAAGGACGGTGACGTGATTTTTTCATGTGATTACAACTTTCCTCCCAATTGAAGAAAGTTGGACTCTCACTTTCCCCCATATGGGAAAAATTATGTTGGAAACAAGGATCAGAATCACCTGGGAATTCTATTTTAATGGCATAATAAACTTGGGGAACACATTCCCAACTTTATATTTGAAAATCCAGGTAGATTGGGAAGGAAATTCTGTTTAGTATAAAGTAAAAGAAAAGAGTAGAACAACTAATGAGGATTATACCTATCTAAATTCAAAAGTATAATGGGGTCTGGATGTTGAGGTCAGGACTCCTGTTCTCTCAGAATAATTTGACTTCTCAGTTTCAAACTAATTTTTTTTATATTAGATATCTATTGAAAATTTCTTGTTGACATTAACATTGAATTTGCCTCTTAAAATTGACAGGGAATGAAACTTCTTCCAACTGGTCGCAAGAGTTCCCTTGCTATATTTTTATATTCAACTGCTGTAAGTTTATCCTCAATGCACTTCTTTTCCACCTTTATACTAATTTGTAACAGATGTGGATCATATAATTAGTAATAATTTCAACAATTATTTTAAATCAGGTTGGTTTTGGGACTTTTCTCCTCCGATACATTCCTGGCTTACTTCGATCAGTACTTACAGAGTTAGGAGTTGATGAAGACATGTATAATCCTGTATGTAAGTCGCCTCTATATTTTCTGCTGATTTGCTTAGACATCAGACTGCTGGTTATAAAAGTATTTCACTTATTCATATGTATTCTGAGTTATGGTAGTGTTGGTTGGGCTCACTTGTTTTGTCTATAAATTTGAATGGCTAGCTATCCAAGAGTGTATGGCCTTAAAGAAGGTCCACACCCATTACAGGCGCTATCTCATACATGAATGCCCGACATTACCTTAACTGATTTTTGTCATCTTTTCTTCTATCAGTGTCACATTGATGTTTTCTTTTATACATTCATTTGTGAGTGCAACTCCTATGGGTTTGGTTTGTGAGTGCACACAATACCCAATGCTAGCCACTCTAGCATAGTGTTTTTATTTGTTCAAAATACTTGGGGTTTTCAACCTTTCCATAATAAAAGTTGGTGATAACTACTCATTAAACTTTAATTTTCAAATTTTAGATACCTTCTGTTGCAGTTTTAGTCATGAGTCTCAAGACACTATGGATAATGGATACAATGATCTTGAGGGGAGTAAGTTATATTATTGTGTGCAATACAAGTTACGTCTGTCTTGAAAAAAAAAAAGATGGTTAAGAGGAACTCTAAATTTGGGTTATTCAGCTATCAAACAACAGCTTTAACATTAGAGTTGATCCCATTATAGGCAAACTTTCCTCGTTTCTATGGTATTTGCTTATGACCAACTTTTGTTTGCCTATTCTTGTACATGTTGTGTAGTTATATTTGTCCAATGTACAAATAGTCAAATATGAGGATCTTTCAGCACCTAACTTATGCAATATCAACTGCAGTTGGCAATATTTCTGCTATTTTTTGTTGCAATATTTGGAGCTTGGTTGGGGTTCTGGGTGGTCCACAAGCTTGTCTTGACTGAAACTGGATCAGTGGACATAAGCACTGCTCAATTTGTTGCGTGGGCTATTAGGATTTTGGCTGCTATTATGATTCTTCAGGTTTGTTTATTTATTTTATCTCCACCAACATATCTATTATGTTGTTGATGATATGCACATGATTATAATTTGATAAGATGTTGTTTCTAGAGTTCTATGGATCCTCTGTTGGGAACATTGACATTATTATGTGGATCGCTCCTCTCCTGGTTGAGGAGGATGCATAGAGTGAGATTCATTCGTCATTTACGCAGGTTAGTCCACTTTCTTAAATTTCGAACCAGGATTTTCTTTTCAATTTCTTAATTAAAAAGATGGGCGAAGGCTACAATTCATTTTATGTATTAAGATATATATATATATATATATATATATATATATATATATATATAGTATTCATTTGTTAGTATATAAAATTAACATTATTAGGCGGTGATTTCAGTTATTGGTCAATGACAATTCAAGTTGTTTCTATAACGGAAGAGGAAGTAAGGTCAAACTGTTTTCATTCAAATTGTAACTTGTTTTCGTAAGTTATCCCAAATAACTTACTAGGTCAATGCCTTTTACAAACTAGATGGGATGCATGTGTCATTTAAACAAATTCAAGACCTATCAGTTGCAATTTCCCTTTCTATAATCGGGTTTTTTTTTTCAATCTTCAGTAGAATGTTGCAAATTTTGTTTAATATAAATATATTTGGAGGTTTATAGTTTCTATTTTGTTTTTACTCATAAGCTTATTGCGAGTTGCTATACTTTGTGATCATGAGAGTTTCCTCTTACAACTATTGGTCCAATATTGTGGAAAAATTTTGTAGGCGTTTGTTTAAATCACCAAAGAAAAGCAGAAGGAGATCCCAGGTTCCTGACTCATCGCCTTTTGATGATTCACACGATGAACACGTGTATAACAAGACACAAAATAAAGAGGACTCTCCACTTTTTCAGCCACAACTAAAAAGCCCTACCTTATCGCCTTGCAAATCTTACGTAACAGGTTTGCTCTATCTAATGTCACCTTTGGACAACCTTTTTCTCCGGATTGATCAATGGAGAAAAGAAAAACATTGAGATGAGTGGTGATTAGGATGCTAAACAGGTACATTTTCAGGTTTCACTAGGACACCACGTAAAACACAAAAGGAGGTGTTATACCCGTCCGTCATACACAACACACCGGAGAGAAAAAAATATTCAGCTGCAGAATGGGATGCCTTCACAAAGGAGTCAACTGAAAAAGCCTTGGAAGAACTTGTTACATCCCCTGATTTCAGTAAATGGCTGTCCACCAATGCAGATAGGATAAGTGTAACGCCCAACACTAAAACTGATCGTCCGCGTGGGGGGTGGCTGTTATGGTCTTGAAGCACTCCAACGTTTTTCACAAATTCATGACAGTTTCATCGAATAGGTGATTGAAATCCTACAGGATTTCGTGCCTCTGGGCTGACAGTTATTGCAGAAGGCTCTAACTGATCCGCAACGTAGATTAGACAAACTTGAATATTGTAAATTTTTGTGATAAGTGATCTTTTGTAGAGTTTACTGTAGGTATTCATTCCCTGCGCTGGTGCTTTCTCAGTTCTTCTCCACTGGGAAGTTTACTGGAAATGTTTGAATTTGTATCCGAGCATTCAACGTTGACAAAACCGGTCCATGATGTAGTCTTAATTTTGAAATTGATAGAACGTAATCATTGATAATTTTTACTTCTTAGCCAGTTTTGGTAATTTTTTTACTTTTTCTGGTGCGAGGTGTGGTAAATCATTGGGTCGATGTTATAGTACGACTAACAAAATAATTATCATGATCAAGGGCATTAGGCTATATGCTTTTTGATTTGCAACTTAACACAAATTGTAAATGTCAATGTCAAGTTCAATGTTCGAATTTATTTGAGTGATCGTGAGAAGTAACTTACTAAGAGTATCTTAAAAATGTAGAGTTTGTGTTGCATTTAAGAAGATGATGAATGCTTATATTTGGCAACACCATTTTCTTATGGAGCATTTGGATAAGTGAATTATTGTTCAAATAACAAATTCACGAAGAATTTTCTAATTAGAATGATTTATAAATTTAGATTCATGAAATTACTTTTAATATGAATCATTTATAAATTTAATTTCATTATCAGAAAAAACTAATTTTATATTTTCATGAAAACGATTTCGTATATAAACTAAGAAATTATCAAGTAAAGAACACGTACGAGACTTGTATTTCATGAGATAACAATGTGTACCATATTTTTCCTAAATATCAACATGAGTTAAATCAAACAACCATTATTAGTAGGTTTACGTAACGAGAAAGGGAGTTGTTTGTTTTGACAAATGACATTTTTCAGAGTGATTAGATATACGTCGTTATTTAAATCAAGAGTAGGAGGAAGTAAACACTTACGAAAACTTGAAAATGGATGACCAAACTGAAACTGCTAGGTGGTGCATGACGCGGTGAGAAGTGTGGTAACAAAGGTTGAGATGTTGAGGAACTAAAGTTCATCATTTTTATGACTCTGAACAATCCCCTTCTTCATTAAATGATCTTAAAATATATCATGATCAAAATTAAATAAATAAAAAAACATCACAATGAAACGTCTTATAGGACTTTCACACCAATAAAAGATTACTAAAAACATATATGATGTAGTTTGTACATTATTAATGTCATAAATAAGAATTGAAACACCATTAGAAATGAAAATAAATGGAAAAAATATATGAAATTGATGATTAATGAAAAATAAAAGATTTACCTGTGATTGAGTTTAACTTTATTTACATCACTTAATATATTTATATTTTTGTTAGATTGATATAATCATTATATCTTTTATTGTAAACATTCTAGAGGACTCATTATAATCTTACGGCAAGAAAATATGATATCATCCGCTCATAATCATATAAAGATTTTTTAGTAGTTATAAGATATTGGAAACGATACCAAAATTATACCAGCAAAACTCAAATTCCCTTCTCCTGCTACAATAGGCTCCGAAAATATTAAGGGATAGTTACACCAAAATCAGAATGTCAAGAAATAAGAAGATACCAAAAATAAAATATTAAGAAATAAAAAAACACCAAATTTTTTAACTTCCGAAAAATTTGTTAACGTAGAAAAACTCTCGATGTAAAGGAAAAATCCAAAAAAAAAAACTCAATGTGAAGAAAAATCTCACCGGACCTATTCTGACAAAAACTTTTATTAATAATAATTAATGAATATAACACAAATCTTTTAAAGTCATAAGAATTAAGAAAACACTTTCACTTCACCAATAAAATAAATAACAAATAACCTAACAAATATACAAAAAGATAATAAATAACTAAATACATAAAAATAACAAAATCTTCTCTCCAAACGAAATAATTTCTTTACATATAATTATACTTTATATCTCACATACACCCTCTTTTTTATCTTTTTGTCTTCTGTTGTCTATATCATAAAAATTCAAGTATAAATAAATATAACCTTATAATAAATCAATAGTCCATTAAAATAAAAATTTATATTATTTTATAATGAACATATAGCAGATAAAGAAACATATTTTTTTTTTAACTTAATCCGTATAAATAATAAATTGGACATAAGAAACATACAATACCTAATTCATAAAAATCCCATTATCACGTCAGAATATATCTTTGCATGTATCCTCCACGCATGAGAACCGAAACCCCAACATGAGATGTAAATAAAAAATAATATGCACACCTGCTATCCTTTCCACGAGGATTTTTTTTTTTTTCTTAAATAAAACTGCTACACAAATTATAAAAAAGTAATAAAATATTGATGTGAAAGATAACTAGCTAGCAGGATTATTTAATAGAAGTTAAAGATGATAAGATGTATATCTCATTTGAATAAATATGAAAAATGAAATAACCAATATGAAGAATATTAAATGGATGAACTTCAACTGAATCAATCAACGAATTTTCATCTTCAACATTATTAAATAAATTTTCTTCACAGTAATATTACTAGATAATAAAAATCATAATTTTAAATATACTTTTCAAATTAAAAACATAAATCACAGTATAGCACTGCACGTAGACTTGTACAACAGAAGAAAATAAATATAGAACTAATTAGTTGTTCAAATATCGAACAATTTGAATATTTTTTCTATCGAAATCTTATTATAATTTTTTATTAACTTGTGATTTATAATATTTTTAAAAAATTAGTAGAATTTTAAAAATATTATTTAATAAAGTACTTCCAAATTTATTAATTTTTACCGACATCAATCTCATTGACGCGTTACAAAATCTTAATAATAAAATGCTTTAAAAATCTTATAAGCTATAATAACATTTTTCACATGCATTTTAAAAATCTGAAATATATATATATATATATATATATTTATTTCAAAATAACATTTCAGAACGCTAATTCAAAACAATCTGTATCCAATCAGAATTTTGTGTTTTTAAGACCAAAATTTCATTGAACATTGATAGATGAAAATAGCTATTACATGTTAAGACATAAACTTTTTTTATTATCTTTAAAAAAAAAAATTATTTATATAAAAGTTAGTTTTTAATTTAATAAAATATGTATTTTTCTTTTTATTTTCTAATAAGTGTTTGTGCATAGAATCAATGATCTTACAAAAAGAAAAAAAAAAGAAAAAAACATCTGCATATGGAAAAGTGGAGCCAACTGAGGAAGGTGTCCCTTCTAGCCCTTTCCAGCATTTCACAGGTGGTCCATCAAATTTGAGGTCCAATTTAGATGTTATGGAATAAAATAGATTGTTTGAGATCAGGAATAATTTTAATATCTCACACTAAACAAAATTCTCCAATTATCTTATAACTAAATTATATTGTGAACTATTTATTCGTATTTGATAATATTTTATTTTATTGTTAGACTTACCAGAATAATATATATATATATATATATATATATATATATATATTAATAATTAATAAATAAATATTTATTATTATTATTATTATTATTTTTATCTAATAATATAAAATACTACATAATAATAATTATTAATTAAAAATATGAAGAAATGTTAACATTTAAATTATATATATATATATATATTTTTTTTTTAATTACAAAATTTTATTTTTTATTAAAATGATATCTTTTATTTAATGTATAAAAAAATGTGGTATAAAAACCAAAAATACTAATTGACGCTAAAATGAAGTGTTAAACATGCTCACATGAAGATTAAAATAATAAATAAAGTAATATGTAATAAATCTAAAACTATTATATCCATGATAACTAGTGAAAATCAATTTACTAAGCTTCTCTCAAAGTCCAATTAGACTTAAATACAATTTTTTTAGATTCGATTTGTAAATTCATGAGAATTTAGTTATTAACAAAAATTATAAAAATTATTAAAAATGTATATATTACATGGCACTTTTAATACAGCAAATAATTCAATATTTTAAGTTCATAACAAAACAAAAAACACAATAATAATAAAGTGTCAAATTACAATTATATATATATATATATATATATATATATATATATATATATATAACCCAATCATTCATAAATTTATAAAAAAAAAACATAAATAAAAACATTTCAGTATTTTGTAAAAAGAGTTAGGTATAATAAAAATTAACAATATACAATTAATGATAGATAAAAAAATTTATTAGGTAGATTATCCTAAAGAAATTTATCGTACTTGTACTTTATTTGTTAACATTTTAAAAAGAAAAAAACAATTTTCCTCGAGCTACAAAATATAATGTTTGTTAAATAATTAACGAAGTTAGCGGAATATATATATATATATATATATATATATATATATATATATATATATATATATATATATATAATAACAATATGATATTTAAAAAAAATCAAAAGTTTATATAATTTTAAAAATATATATTTGACAAATTAGTAGAGATATATTTGAAAATATAATATATATTAAAAAATTGTAATATTTGCTATTATATCGATCTAATAAAATGTTATATAATTTGATATTTTATAATAGTGAATAAAATGAAACTAAATCTCAAACCGTATAATACATGAGTTTTAATGGAGAAATAATGTAATTTACTTTAATATAAATAATAACTTCAGATAATAAAATTGGATGACGACATTATTATTAATATTAATGAAAGGTACATTATATTTTTACAATAAATAAATCGAAAAAAGGTATACTTTAAAAATAAAATATTATATTTAGTGTATTTTAAGGGTACTTTTAATTTATTTAATACTATTGTTTTTAATTATTTTTATGTGTCTTAACTAATAATTTAATGGTTTACTCATACTTAATTTATATAAACTAATATAGGAATAAAAAAATTATAATTATTTATTTTATAAATTTAAGGTAAACATAATATCGGTAATGTCTAAGGTAAATTAGCCTATAAAGTATTGAAATACAAATTTCAAAATATACAGAAATTAGTAAGGAAATTTGATTGATAAGATAATGAAATTCGCGATTTATTTTTTTTATAAAGAATGTCATAAGAAAGTAATTTAGATCTTCATCTTGTTATAAAACACTATTATTTTCTCTCCTTAAAAAATTTTAAAAAATTATAGGAGTAAAATAAAACAAAGATAAATAAAAAAAGTTATTCTAAAATTAAATTTAACAACTAAACTTAGTTTATAAGAATATTTAATATATTCTTAAATAATAATTATTTTTTTAATAAACTTTTATTCTTCGTATATTTAGTACATATTTGGAAATATTAATTATATTTATTTTATTAACAAATGAATTTAAACCTTATTTAATTTATAAATACTATTATAAAATAATAATATCTATAATTAAAATAGTCATTTTTAATCAATATAAAAAGATCGTAATTCAATTGTTTTTTTAAGTTTAAATTTAAAAGACAATGTCAATATTGTATAATAAGGTTGAAATATACTGTGAATAAAAATATGAGAGTATAGAAACTGCTTTCATTTTCCTTATTTTGGTAGCAGTAAATTAAAAAAAATATATTGGGTTAATATATTCGTGGAGTATAAATAAAAAAATAATAATATTATAATTATTAAAAAAAAAAACACTTTTTCATTAGCTTTCAATCGTGTGATGTCACGGATGCTTAAGTTTGTGGACATAACAACTATTCTATAAAAAGTATGACAATTTAACAGTTGATGGTCCACCCAACACGCAAACCACACGGGACATTTTTGTAAGTTACAACCTACGACACATGCACTAGTGCATGCGTTTTCCAGTAAAATACAACAACTACACCTAATAGGAAACTTAATATATGTTGTAACATATTTTTAAATTAAAATTAGAGATTACAAGTTTTGCAATATTATTATCATTATTTCATTCAGTTATATTTAATTTGATTGTGTAAAATTACATTAAAAAATACGTAAAATTTAAAGTTAAAATTTTTAACAGTTTTTTATTTTTTTAGAATTAGAATTACTTTAGTTAAAATTTCATAAAAACTACATTTTAATAAAGCATGGCTTTTTAACATATAAGTTATATTATAATTATAATAGTATTATTTAAGGCCTGTATTTTATCCTGTCTCAGTCTGTATAGAACGGTACCGTGTCGCCGCGCAGTTGACCTTTGCTGCAGTGTCTGTTTTTTATTTGTTAAAATTGATTATACATAAAAACATTATTTTAATATAAATTCATATACATAAATTATTTAGAAATAAAAAGTAATATTTTTAATCATAAAAAAACACAAATCTTCGTTCGTCTCATTACCAAAATGAAAGATACCTCTCACTCTCCTTGAGTTACACTGAGATCACACAGAGGGAAAAAGAAGCGAAACAACCTCATGGCTTCTACCACTTCCAAAGCAACCATATCTGTGCCAACCCTAAACCCTAACCACCACTTCTTCCATCTTCTATCACCCTTCACCCTCGCTCCTCGTCGTTCTTCTACTTTCAGGTCTCAAAACACTCAAAACACCAAAACGGCTGCGTTTTCTGTGAGAGTCTGCGCCTGTCACCAAAGTCACGCCCTAGAGGATTTTGGCGTCACGGAGGAAGACGAAGAGTTCGTCAAGGTTCTCAGGGAATCTCAACCCTACGTTTACGTGCACAGAGCCAGGGTTTTCGTTTTGCTCATATCTGCAGAAATTGTTGGTAGCCCTTACTTGGATCCCATTCTCAAGGTATCACATCACATCAACCATCTTTGCCATACATTGTTTATTGAAAAATGTCCCCTGAATGCTTACACAAACAAACAAAATTCTAATAAAGCATCACAATAGTGCATAACACTACATACACAGAGAAATAATCGACAATCAAGGAATCTATCAAACTTTTCGAGTCTATTAATTAATCATATTTTATTCCTCTGAATTACAGTTTCATACTCAGCGTAACTAAGACTGCATTTGAATGAAATAATAATAATAGTAATAAAAGTTCAAATTAGTTTTTGTTCTTTTGAACTTTTAGGTTCTTTGAAGTCAATTATTATTTTATTTATTTATATATTTCACTTTTTGTGCATCGAAGAAATAAAAAGACATTATTATATGTTCCTTTTTCTCTCTCGTTATTTTCATTCGCCACAGCATAAATATCAAATACCTTTTGAAAGTCTTAATCAAGTTAGGACGAGGAACTACACTAGCGAACAAATTCAAGTTTCTTGTTCTGTAAATATAACTCAACATGCGTAACTAATTGAGCCAACCTACCAGACCTGTGTTTGGTTTGAAACAAAAATGTTCTTGGTTCATTGCTTGGTATAGAAAATTTCGAAAATAAGAATAAATAAAAATTGCTCAATTTTTGTAATTAAAAAGTAGTTTTCCCAAACTGAAAAAAATATACTAGCCTAGGCTGAGATGATAAAACGTAAGAAGTTAACATTATGAGAAGGGCAAGAACCACGTGTCACTCTAGGCTTGACACGTTGCAGTGACGTGTCTTTACAAAGACTTTACGTGTCTTTGTGAAGTTAAAAGAATACGAATGGCTTTTTTGTAGTTTCACAACTAACTTCATAAAATCTAGGCCATGAAATTTTTTTTAATGAAATTTTAATTAAATTTAGAATGCAAACTGAACAAAGTTTTTCTTTCTTACTGTAGCTGATCTTTATGCATCACCTATCTATCTTTCTCTCTCATTAATTATTGCGGGCCGAAATGTCCTGTTTCTGAGACACATTCTAGATTGAGAAAAGGTGTTTAATAAAATAAATATTTTTTTAAAATTAATAGTTTTTATTTTGTTTCAAAGATTATACCTAAAAACTGGATCAACATGAATTAATTGTTAAAAGATACTGATCAATTAAAGTTTAAAAGTAAATAAAATAGGTTTTTTAATTATTAGTACAGATTAGCATTTGTGACACTGTTAGAGCTAATAAAAATTCATGATTAATATTTTAAAATTCTTGTTTGGTAAAATGACAAAATTCTAAAAATAACATTCCAAAGTTTGTCTTTGTCTCCCATTAAACTATTATTAATTAAGGTATGCCAATGCAGAATTTAATCAGGGTGATTTATATTTAGAGATTTAACAAGAATGATGAAAGCATTATTTAATCAGGTGATCAACCTCGAATTTATACAAGCAGGGCAAGATAAAATAAATGTGGAGAAAGCATTCTTGTCACCAACACTGATCTACTCCTTTCACTTTGTTAATTTCCTTGTAAAATATTTAGTTCGGGTAGAAAATTACGATTTTTAAAACTTCATTCGTATGCTTTGATATCTCCAATAAACGAAATGAAAGCACCAATAAAATTTAATTTAATCTAAATAATTATGTTTTTAAATTAAATTTTTAATAAATTTATCATTAATATTCATTTAAATCAATTACAATAGTAATATTAATATCTACGTATCAAATTAATGAGTTGTAAGTTGTTGTTTTTTTCCCCTATCCAATTTTTAATCCTATCTTAAAATTATGCATTAAAATACATTTTTTTTATATGTAGTTTTAACACGATAATATTTTTCTTTTAATATCTTTAAGTATAGGCTTGAGATATTATAAACTCTTTCTTAATGTTATTAGATGTTATAATTGTTTTCCATTAATTGAACTTCGAATATATCCTTCAGAAATTAGTTCAGAATTCTAAAAAGCGATAATTTGGAACTACTGTTATAAATAATTATGGAAGGAGGGTTTCGACAATGACAACATACAATTTTTTAAAAGAGACTCAAAACTATTTAATTGAATATAAAAATTATTATGATAGGTAGTAATTTTTTTTTCTTTTAAATATTTAACGTAACTGATAGTATTAGCATTTTTGTTTTAAGTAAAAGATACTCTCTCACCCGTGTTTCAATAAATAACAATAAACATATTACTTGTGAAACAATTTTATTAAATTTATCTAACTTTTTGTTAAAGGTATTGTTTTGATAAAAAAAGAAAATAATTAATTACAAAACAGATTTGAATGAAAAAAAAAAAAAAACTTGTAAGAAGGAGAAAATATACTTGGTTTTCCCATTGTTTAAATTTGAAAGTCGTAAAACACAGGAATGTAGAAAACAAAAAATTGCCCTCAAAACGAACTAGGCCTACATTTTCCTTGGCTTGGCGGCTAAAGTTTGTGACTTTCTCTGCCACCGCCACCGCCACCGCCACCGCCACCAACCGGCACGGTGTAAAATATTTGTCTTTTTAATGGCAGGTTCCTTATGCCCATTCCTTCCGAACACTTCCACCTTCTCTGATTTCTGCAAACTATACTCTTCCTCTCACCATTTATGTTTCCACCCACCAAAACCAAACCCGCAATTTAAGCCTCGTTGGGGCCCGGCAGCGCGTCCCCTGGGTAGCCGAAAGAAGCGAAGTTCAAGGAAGCTTGATGCGTCAAGCGAAGTAGTGAATGATTATGGGAGTGTAGACCCAGAGGGGTACCAATCGGTGGAAGATAAGCAATTCGTGCGTTCCTTTCGCGAGGCCTGGCCTTACTTGTGGGCCTATCGTGGCAGCACCTTTGTTGTCATTATTTCTGGTGAAATTGTTTCTAGTCCTTTCTTGGATCCTATTCTCAAGGCACGCTCTTCAAAATTTAACCTCACAGAACTATAAGTATTTACATTAGCACTGTCTTTGATACATTAACTACTATACTAGCTATGCTTTTGCAGGAGTATGCATCAAACTTAAAACATGTTTTCTAATTCTGGGTGCAGGATATAGCTTTCCTTCATCACCTAGGAATCCGGTTTGTTCTTGTTCCGGGGACACATGTGCAGATAGACAAGCTTTTGAATGAGAGAGGTTTGTCAACATTGGACCAGGCTTCTCTAGAGTTAGCAATTTCACTTTAAAGGGCAACTAAGTAATCTTAGTTGTCGACGAGAAAATGATCTTTTGATGTTATTGCACATACATAACAAGTTATGAATGTGTTGGAGTATCTTTCTCATAAACAACCGTGATAACTTTCTTTACTTACTTTAGAGGAACTTAATTTGTTGATTTAATTGGTTGCTCAGTTTCTTACACAAGTGAAAATGATTCAATCAGTATTAATTTTAACCTTGGCAAATCCCCATCCATCCCTTTCCCCAAAAACAGAAAATGAAAGGAAATTGTTAGCTAGAGTATAGTATCTCTGTGATTGACCTTATTATTGTGTTCGTAGGGTGCCAGCCTAAGTATGTTGGTAGATATAGGATAACTGATGAAGAATCTCTAGAAGCTGCGATGGAAGCAGCTGGGGGGATAAGATTGATGATAGAAGCAAAGCTTTCTCCAGGACCTTCCATATGCAATATTCGTCGACATGGTGACAATAGTCGATGGCACGAAGTTGGTGTCAGTGTTGCCAGTGGTAACTTTCTTGCAGCCAAGGTTTGAATTTTGTGATTGATCACTACTACAGAGTGGTGGTGGTCTTTGTGAAATTCTACCTCCCTTTATTTTTTATCAGTGTGTTAGAGCATCTTGTTATTCTATGTGTTGACAGAGAAGAGGGGTGATCAATGGAATTGATTTTGGGTCAACTGGGGAAGTGAAAAAAGTAGACGTAGCTCGCATGCGTGAGAGACTTGATGGTGGTTGTGTAGTTATTTTAACCAACTTGGGCTACTCCAGCTCTGGAGAAGTATTAAATTGCAAGTATGCTTTGTAGCTCTATTCTGATGATTGTTTTCTACAAAACTGATTACTTGCTGACATACACGCTGTTATCTTAATGTTTTTGCTCTCTGTGATTGTTCAGTTTCATTTCATGTATCAAAATTCTGCCTAAAAATATGTAATTCTTCTAGGTTATTTTTTAAGAATTGGACTTGTGAATAAATTTGTAAAAGCAGCCTCGTGAGGAGTTTGATAGCAGTATAAGCACAAAAGTAATTTGGTTGCTTAAGGAAAGAATAATAGGAGTTGAATAGAAGGTTTTATCAAGTGAAACGGGGAGGTGCAAATACTGAGAAATTAATGGTACTGACTTTTCAGCAAGTATGTGATTCAGAATACTACTAGTGTTACCAATGAGTTCTATTTTCCCCTTATTGTATGTCATTATGTAATTAGTAGTACTTGGACATGATCTAGTAATCCAACAGAAAAAAAAAATATTAATAAAGAGAAGAAATGGGCAGAAAAAATCATGTGTGCATTACCTGCTTCTCTTGCTTGCATGACACATGAGTTGCTAGTCTTGAATACTGAATATGTTGAAAGATGAATCTGACAAAAGCTCGAATCCTGGCTATTAATGATTTTTTCCCTCCAGCACCTATGAAGTCGCAACAGCTTGTGCCTTGGCTATAGGTGCAGACAAGTTAATATGCCTTATAGATGGTCCAATACTTGATGAGAACGGACGCCTTATTCGTTTCTTGCCTCTTCAAGAAGCAGACATGCTAATTCGTAAACGGGCTGAGCAAAGTGAAGCAGCAGCTAACTATGTCAAAGTTGTTGATGAAGAAGGTTTCAACTCTCTTGAATATAACAATTTTAATGGAATAGTCAAATCACCACCTATTGGACGTTTTACAGAATGGCATAGTGCAACCTTCCATAATGGTGTTGGTTTTGAAAGTGGAAATGGGTTAGAGTCCAGTGAGCAAGGTTTCGCTATTGGAGGTCAAGAGCGGTTAAGTCGAATGCATGGTTACCTGTCAGAGTTGGCTGCTGCCGCTTTCGTTTGTAGAGTGAGTCATGGTTTACCTAATTGTTCATTACCAGTGCCCTAGTTGTGCTTATTTTAAGTCTGTATTGGTATATGAGCAATGGAGAGAACAAAAGCATTTTTCAAATCATGACCAGGCCAGGAGTATACATATTGTGTGTTTGTTTGTTTTTACTACTATATTGTGTAGGGAAAGATCTTAGAGCTTTGACTCTTAAAATATTGCTCCTGTAAGTTGGTTGGTCTGGAGTGACTTCCATACTTTTTTTGAGAAGTTTCTCCTTGAAAATATCAATAGTGAATATGGTTGAAATTGCAGTTGATTCGTGTTAAGTATGTTGCTAATAATACCAACTGTCATTTTTCAGGGCGGTGTTCAAAGAGTTCACTTGCTGGATGGAACTATTAGTGGAGTTTTGTTGTTGGAATTGTTTAAAAGAGACGGCATGGGGACAATGGTGGCTAGGTAAGCAACCTCTGGATTACGTTTTTTTTTTTTTTTAATGAGGGTTATTTGTCCAAGGTTGGTTAGTGGTAAGTTATGGTGCTATGACATTGTCCATCTATTTTAACCATAGTTTAGAGGCATCCTAGTGGATTTCCTGCTGGGGCCACCAAACAGGCCACATTTGTGAGATTCAGGTTTATTTATGATTCCTTATGGATAGCTGATTATTTTATTGCTGTTTGTTGAGATTCTGAGTGCACAAGGCTGAAAATACATCTCTGTGCATTCTCCCTTTTTCTTTTTGATGAATCCATTAAGTTAAAAATGATTGGAGGACTAGTTGAAATAACTATGTTAGTGCTAAAGAGCACAGATGTTATAAATAGGTGCGACTAGATATATTTATAAGTAGCCATAGTTTGTTTGGGTAAAATGTTCCCCATGAGCAAATCTAGAAAAAATAAGAAGAAAAAAGTGAAATAAGTGTCATGTACTAAAAATAGCTTATGGATAAGTTTAGAAATTGATTTTAGAGAAGCTAATTTTACATTATAGAGAAGTTTATTTGATTTTTTCTTATTTTTTTCTCCTAAGTTCATCCAAACAGACTTTTGTATCACTACAAAATTAAATTAATACCAAAATCTATGATATTCATGGGCTTCCTATGCACTTCGGAATATACTATCCGTAGCATATTGTTGATATTATTATACTTGATAAAGTTTTTTTTTCCCTTTCCATTTTTTCATTTTCTCAGTTTTCAATAAAACTTTTGCAGTGACCTTTACGAAGGCACTCGGACAGCAGAGGTGAAAGATATTTCTGGAATAAAACAACTTATTCAGCCTTTAGAGGCATATGGTATATTGGTTAAACGGACCGATGAAGAGGTTTGCTTAGCTATATTTTTCATGTGTTGTGGATGCCATGGCTTACATGACCTTAGTAATTTATCAAGATATCTCATATGTTAATCATTCTTTGTTTACAGCTCTTGCAAACATTGGATTCGTTCGTTGTTGTGGAAAGAGAAGGTCACATAATTGCTTGTGCTGCCCTTTTTCCTCACTTTGAGGAGAGGTGTGGAGAGGTTGCTTGCATTGCAGTATCTCCTGATTGTCGTGGCCAAGGACAGGGTGACAAATTGCTTGGTATGCTATTGCTTCGTGGTTGATTGATAGGATCCAACCAAATGCAAATGAAATTTGAATATATAATTATGGATTGTTAGGTATTTTCGAAGTGGTTAACAGCAAAGAGATTCTCATAAATGGGACCTGAGCCAACCATATAAGAGAATATCAACCTAAAACTTTAATGCATTAGGTTATAGGTCTTTCTCACTTATAAGTTACTCAATTTTCTCATTTCTACCTAATGTAGGACTTCAAATTCACATGTGAATTCTCAACATCTCGATTCCCTTTCACATTGATATATCTCTCTCGAGCGGAAGCAAGTGATGATCTCACTTGTACAATCGTTTAACTTAACAGGACTTGCTTTCCTGAAACCCTTGTCAGGAAAACTTTTGACACTCAACTGAGCTGATCATCAGACGAATCATCGACTCTGAGCCAGTCACCGGACGAACCATCGGCTCTGATACCACTGTTAGGTATTTTTGAGAGGACTTATAGCAAGAAGATTCTTACAAATGAGATCTGAGACAACCATAATATGACACCACTCTCAACCAAAAACTTTAAGACATAAGGTTATGAGTCTTTCTCACTTATAAGTTACTCAACTTTTCTATTTTTACCCAATGTGGGATTTCAAACTCACACTTGAATTCTTAACAGGATGAATTAAATAAACTTGAACAAAACTAGAACAATGGTTGGAGTGCAGTGTTAAGAATGATGAATTAAATAAACTTGAACAAAACTAGAACAATGGTTGGAGTGCAGCGCCTTGGAAAACTGGATATTAAGAAGTATAGACTATGAAACACTTTCACTCTCCCCTCCCCTCCCCTCCTTTCCTCCCTCTCCCTCGTTTCTCCCCTTCCTTCTGTCTCTTTGTGCTGCATGATTCGAATATCCTCCCCTTCAACCATTATTTGCCAGCGGTCCATTTTGTCATGCTCCTCTTCTATCTCTTCTAATTCTCTCTCAGCTGCTGCGCCATGTTTCTTTCTTTCGTACACAAGCAGGCCTTGTTTCTTAGGCCCATTTATCCTCTCTCATGTTCCTTCATCCCCTTTTCTCCCTTTCCATATATACTTCAACAATGGTTCATAATGAGACTATCATTAATGATTCTTGTGCTGGATGGGTTGTGAGTAACTAACAATTTGTGGAATGTATTAGAATATTGTGGCTATTTTTTGTTGTTTACGCTTACTTATTTGATGGTAAAACAACTTGAGACCTCACGAGTTAGTAGGAATGTGAAGTCCATGTTATGTATGCCTAAATTATGATGACGACTATGTGTAATCATTATTATTTTATATTAACAGTTTGACCTTGATGTTAAATTATAGAAAATGTGTGGGTAAAACTGTGTGTTCTCCTCTTTGATAATTCTCTCATATATATATATATATATATATATATATATATATATATATATTTAATACAAACTAATTCTGCCCCTTTCCCTTTAAATTAGCTAACAACTATATATACAATTAATACAATTACTCTACTGCAATATATCCTATAAAAGAGAATAACAGTTACAATTGGTTTTGATGACTAAATAATTTGACAATCAAAGCTGGCAGATTACGTAATTAACTCCGTTAACATCCTCCCTCAAATTGATTTTGGTAAGTCGACCAGTATCAATTTGCCAACTAGGATTATGACGATGTCGGGTCAAAGATTTAATGAAGATGTCGGCAAGCTGAATAGAAGTTGAAACATGAGGAAAAGTAATAATTCTACGATCATAGGCTTCTTGGATGGAGTGACAGTAAACTTCTATGTGCTTTGGGTGTTCATGATAAACTTGATTTGCTGCAATTTGGATGACACTAGCATTGTCAGCGTGGTGTCAGTTGTAATGGAGGGAATCCAAGCTCGGTGCACAATCAAATTATTTCAGAGCATGCAACAGACATGACACGATACTCAGCTTCAATAGAGGACTTAGAGACAGAATCTTGTTTTTTACATTTTCATGAAATAGGAGTGTTGCTCAAAAACATACACCAACCAGTAGTAGAATGCCTCGTATCAGGACAGTCAGTCCAATCAGCATCACTGTAAGCTTGGAGAGTGATGGGTGAACCAGCTTGGAAAAAATAAACCACGATGAGAAGTGCTAAGGAGATAACGAATAATTCGTTGCACTTGCGGAAAGGTGGAAATGTGTAGGAGATTGCATGAACTTGACATCGGACCTGTAGGTGGACAACAAAAGAAATATCTGGACGAGTGATGGTGAGGTATATAAGACTACCAACCAGTTTGCGATAAAAGGTAGGATCTTCAAGAAGATTACCTTCATCTCTTCGAAATTTGACATTAAGTTTCATGGGAGTGTCAACAGGAGTGGAATTAGTAAGGTTTGCTAGTGCAATCAAATCTTGAATATATTTGTGTTGATTTACAAATATGCTAGTAGGTGCATAATGCACCTCTAAACCCAAGAAGTAATTGAGTCGGTGAAAAGTGGAATACAACAATGTTTGAAGTCAAGAAATAGCCTCTTCATCAAAACCAGTCACCACAATGTCATCCACATAAGCAAGAAGTATGATAAGTCCTTTAGAAGTCCATCGTAGAAAAAGAGATGGATCATATTGACTTCGGGTGAAAGAGAAACCAAGAACTTTTTAAACCATATTCGTGGTGCCTGTTTCAAACCATATAAAGAGCGTTTTATTCTACAAACAATATTAGATGGTGTAAGTATACCGGTGTGAAAGTTTCATCATAGTCAAGTCATACTCTTGTTTATTTCCTAGCACAACCAAACGAGCTCGTGGACGATCAATTGATCCATCTCGAACATAGTTTAATGAAAAATACAAATTTGCTGCCCAAAGGTTTAGTAGAGGGAGGACATGGCACAACATCTCATGTTTGATTTTCTTCAAGTGCTTAGAGTTCTGCTTCAATAGCCTTCTGCCAACATTCATGTAAGGTTTGCTAGCACAATCAAATCTTGAATATATTTGTGTTGATTAACAAATATGCCAATAGGTGGATAATGCACCTCTAAACCCAAGAAGTAATTGAGTCGATCAAGGTCTTTCATGTGGAAAGTGGAATGCAACTATGTTTGAAGTCAAGAAATAGCCTCTTCATTAGAACCAGTCACCACAATGCCATCCACATAAGCAAGAAGTATGATAAGTCCTTTAGAAGTCCTTCGCAGAAAAAGAGATGGATCATATTGACTTTGGGTGAAGGAGAAACCAAGTAGTATGGATCGAAACTTTTTAAATCATATTCGTGGTGCCTGTTTCAAACCATATAAAGAGTGTTTTAGTCTACAAACAGTATTAGTATTAGATGGTGTAGGTATACCGGTGTGAAGGTTTCATCATAGTCAAGTCATACTCTTGTTTATTTTCTAGCACAACCAACCGAGTTTTGTGATGATCAATTGATCCATCTGATCATAATTTAATGAAAAATACAAATTTGCTGCCCAAAGGTTTAGTAGAGCGAGGACATGACACAACATCTCATGTTTGATTTTCTTCAAGTGCTAAGAGTTCTACTTCAATAGCCTTCTGCCAACATTCATGCTCCATTGCCTGCATATAAAATGAAGGAATAAAAACGGAGGACAAAGTTGCTGTTAAGGATAAACTATATTTTTCAGGTGACTTACGAACTCGGGTACTGCGACGTAAAGGTATTGGGTCTACTGCTGGTACATGATTAGCTACTAAGGAATGATCTTGAGGAGGCCCAATGGTCTTATGTCGTCTTTGATACACTAGGAGAGGTTTGTATGCAGAAGAATTAGAAAACATTAAACAAAAATTGGAGAAGGACTATAGTCATGGTGAGTGGCAAAATAATATTTATTTTCTTAGAAAATGATATTTCTAGAGATACAGTTTTATCAAGATGTAGATCATAACATACAAAATCTTTTTGTTGAGAGGAATATCCAAGAAAAACACATTCAACAGATTGGGCAGTGAGTTTATGACGTTCGTAGGGAGGAAGATGAATATAACATACACAACCAAAGGTGCGAAGAGTGGAATAATCAGGTAGATGGTCAAATAGTCGAGTGAAAGGAGAATCATTGTTTAATGATGTGGATGACAAACTATTGATAAGATGAATCGTAATGGATAGTGCTTCACACCAAAACCTGGAGGACACACAAGATTCCAACAAAAGAGTATGAACATCATCTAGTAAAAGACGATTTTTCTGTTCAGTTACCCCATTTTGTTGGGGAGTGGAAGAACTAGACCGTTGAGAAAAGATACCATTAGATTGCATAAATTCCTAAAATAAATGAGATGTATACTCCCCCATTATTAGACCGCAGAATTCTAATTTTGGAAGAAAATTGGATCTGAACATAAGCATGAAAAAATTTGAATGTAAAAAATACTTCATGTTTAGACCACAAAAAATAGACCCATGTGAAACGACTATAATCGTCAATAAAAGTGACAAAATATTTGTACTTAGTATGAGAAGGAATAGAGGCTATCCCCCATACATCATTATGGATCATATCAAAAGGTTTTCCGACAATAGATTTGTGTTTTGGAAATGGTAGAATTTTACTTTTGCCAAGCTTACAAGAACTACAATCATGAAAAGGTTGAGAATCTTTATTGTCAAGAAAACCAGATTTAAGCATAGTATGGAGTACATGTGAATTTGGATGTCCAAGATGCTTATGCGACATATGGTAATCTAAATGAGCAGAATTACAAGAAATAAAAGATAAGTCACGATTGAAAGACAAAGGTAAATGAAGTGGAAAAAGACATCCAACTTTAGGCCCTTTCGCAATCATTGTCCCTAATCGTTGATCCTGCACAAGACAACCAGAGTTTGAGAATTCGACATGACAATTATTATCAACTAATTGACCAATATAAATGAGATTAGTAGTGAGACCAGAATAGATCAAGACATCAGTGAGAGAAGAAGAAATATCACTAATATTTGTTATAAGCAAATGATTTTCGTCGGCAATATGAATCGTGAGATTTCCAAAATATTTGGTGGCATTAGTAAGGAGTTGGGAATTGTTGGTCATATGGTTGGATGCATCAGAATCAGAGTACCAGAGGGGAGACATAAAATGTTTTTTACCTGAGATACCCAAAGCAGAAATGAACCATCTCAGGGGTCAAGGTTTGAGTAGAGGCAGGAGCATATTGTTGAATAGAAGCTGTTGTAGTAGAAGGATTTGGAACCGAAGAACCAACAGAGGTAGTGAAAGCGGTGTGGCACATTTCCTTGGTGGCCTTGGGGACAATTTTTAAGAATGTGTCCATCTTTTTTGCAGTTATTACAAAATTTGTGAAGACAATTGGAAGTATAATGACCAAATTTCTTACAACAAAAACATTGTACAACACTCAAGTCACGATTTCATGGCTTTCCTTGTGCTGCATAGACAGGTATTATTGTGGATTTTTGTTGTTCCATGGCTGATTGTGTGAGGAGGTGTTCTTCACGGAATAGCTCATTAAGACATGCATCCAAATCGGGTAATGGATCTCGATTCATGAGATTGGAACGAACACCTTCAAAATCAGATCTCAATTTCATAAGAAATTGATCTCTTTTAGTGATTTCATGAACTAATTGAATAGAATTAAGACAGGTGGAGGACAACTTTTCATAGACAATATCCGTATATTCTGACCAAAGATTCATGAATTGAGAATAAAATTTCGAGATAGACAGACTATCTTGTTGTAGAACCGCAATATTGTGTTCAAGGTGGAAATGTCGAGCGGTGTTGTTCTGATGGTATAAAATCAACAGAGCCGATGATCCAGATGCTCAAGATGGTATAGAATCAACAGAGCCGATGATCCAGACCATGACTTGAGTGTCGTGGACTTCCCATTTGGGATGGGCATCCTTCTCGGTTTCTTTGTTAGGAACCAACGTGCTCCCATCGACATGACCCCAAAGATTTTTTTCTTTGACTAAGATCTCGAATTGAAATGCCTAAGTGGAGTAGTTCTTGCCATTAAGACGAATGAACAAAACTTAATATTTCTCAAAAGACATAATACTAAACATAATACTAATTGGAATCGGAACAAGAAACAAAAGCTAGGCTTCGCGAAACGAAGACGGGATTAGACGAGAGTCGTAATCCAGTCTGATACCATGTTAAACTATAAAAATGTGTGGGTAAAACTGTGTGTTCCCTTTTGGAGAATTCTCTCATATATGTGTATATATATATATATATATATATATATATATATATATATATATATATATATATATATTTAATACAAACTAATATTCTACCCCTTTCTTTTTATAACAGCCATATATACAATTAATACAAGTAATATATTCTAATAAAAGATAATAACAGTTACAATTGGTTTTGATGACTAAATAATTTTGCAATCAAAGCTGGTAGATTACATAATTAATTACTCCGTTGACACTTGAAACTCCCTAATAAATGTATTATTGATGTAATAACTATATCTTATGACATCTTAACAAGAGCCATGATTTAATTTAAAGTTGATAAAACAATGATGCTTTTATCAGTTGCTTAGCTTTTATAATTTTTTTTTTACCTATGTAGAAGGATCATAGGTTGTATGCTATTTCCTTCTCTTGTGTGTTTCTCCTTTTTATTCAATATGTACATTAGTGAATAGTGTACGACTCATTAAGTTCTCATAAATCTCAAGTTGGTATCAGGGTAGGAATGATACGCATTATGTCTCTTCCATCAACCATTATCTGAGATTGTTTGCTCTGTAGTCACCTGCAAGACTAGGGTTTTGTGCATCTCGATGAGTGCCAACTAACCCAACAAGTCGTATCCATTTGCCGCCGTAGACATTGAGTTCCCTGTTTGATGCATGAAGCCTATGCCCCATTGTCGGAATGCTGTTGCACAAAAAGGTTTGTCGACCTCTTCTCTTCCCACATCTAACTTCACCTCCCCAATTCTACTACTCAAGGGTGTCTTGTAACTTTAGAAAAAAAGGAAGGGAAGAGGTGTTGTCTTTCTTTTTCCGCTGTTTCTGGGACTCCCACTATTACAACTAAGAAACTAAATGGAAAAAGTTATTTATCATGGGTTGCCTATCTGGAACTTTGGTTCTTGGGCCAAGGTTACCATGACCATATGGAGAAGGAAGAGGTTGAAGGATCAAAAGAGTTGAGCTCAATGGAAGAAGCTTGATTTTCAGTTTTGTGCCTTGCTACTACAAATTGTAGAACTCAACATCTTGGGAAGCCGTAGAAATTTTGAAACTTATTCCTCCATCGAAACATCTATGCTAACGATATTCATTGGAAAACCTCGAGTAAAGGCCAAGCTTCTCTACTCCTAATGTTGCAACCGCCTGTGTTCCCCAATCAGTTGCTAATCATAGTCCATCAATTCTTGATTGAGGTGCTTCTAATCACATAGATGATAATGCTTCCTTATTTTCTTCTGTCACCCCTTAACTTTCTTGACCTTATTACCTTAGATATGAGTCCAAAATTTCTTTCAGAGGAATTAATCAAGTTTCTCTTTCTCCTTGATTGATTCTAAGTTGTTCTATTTATATTTGATTGTGGTGTAGGCTTCAGATTTTTATATTATTGAGCAGCTGTATGATTTAACCATTGATGCTGTTGCTATGTAATCCTGCTTGCCACCTGTTTTCACAAGATTTATTTAATTATATTATAAAATATATGCCAGATTATTTGGAGAAGAAAGCAGCATATCTTGGATTGGATATACTTTTCTTGCTAACAACACGTACAGCAGATTGGTAAGTAACTCAGTGATTCTTGGAAACTGCTTATTGTTTGTCATCCCATTTTGGTAATTTAATGTTTAGCATGTTTCTTCTATCATTTCTAAAAGCTCTCTTTGTTGACAAAAAATGTACATTAGTGGAATTAGAATTCCTAAAAGAATTAGGTGTGAATTGTGATGTCTAAAAATTATGGCAATTGATTCCTAACTTTTTGACAATTGATTCCTAACCTTTTGGCAGGTTTGTGAGGCGTGGATTTTCAGAATGTTCAATTGATTATATTCCTGAAAAGAAAAGGAGAAGGATCAATCTTTCCCGCAATTCTAAGTATTATATGAAGAAGCTTTTACCAAATAAAAGTGGAATTACTGTAGGTGCAAAATCTGATTTAAGTTAAAACTACTTTATGTTGTCTCCACTTAGTGATTGGATGCAGTATATTAGGTACTTCTAAATATATTCTCATAACTATGGAATCTGGAATTAAGTATCTATTTCAGGAAGTCTTCCATTTGTAACATTAAGTTTCTAATGTTCGTTTATTTATCAGCAAAAACATATATATATCAAATAAAGGGCATAAGACATACCCATAAAAAACTTAGATAACCAAGTTACGTATAATATATGATATGCACTACTTTTCCTACATAATTAAAACTAAGAAATACTCGACAAAATAGGAATTATACAAGTATAAACATATAGACCCCTGTAGTAACAGAAAAAAGAGTCATAATAATGTACCACCTTGACAAAGAAAATAATCTTGTTTATGTAAACATCCACATACCTTCTCAACCAAGATCATAAAAATTATGTTCTAAACACCTGTTCAATATTCCAGAATTTAAAGGACATTTATTACGTTGTATAACAAAGTCAATTAGAAAATCTAGCGTTTTCTTTGCTTTGGTCAATTTTGAGTAAGAATAAGGTAGATAAGGAAGAACTAATTACATCTTCAACTAAAAATTTCATTTTTTTCCTTGCTGCATCAATATGCATAAATGCATATAAACGAGAAGAGGACATATGACAAAATTTCCTCTTTATGTCGATAAAATGGACAACAAAAATCATCATACTTAAATTTGTACATTACTCAGTCTGATATTATTCTTTGTCAAATCTATGATACAATATTATCCTCTTTTGCACCGAAATAATTTCAAATAAAGTAGAATTTGCTGAAGTTAAAAATAGTTTACCACCTTTGCTTCAAGCCATGCTTAACCATCACTATTGTCAATAAGATAAGATATTGAAATTATATAAGGTCTTTCTGTCCCATTCAAACCAGCCACAACGCCATCTCAAATCCTAAGACCATAAACCAACATGCCTAAGATAATGTTTTTAGCACCATCCACTTAAACAACTTCTCAAACCACCTCAAAAGGATTAATATCATCATCACAAATGCTACATAAATCTCTCTATTATAAAGATGAAGAATCATATGTATCCTTCAACAATCCTCTTCATCCCTTATATATAGACATTAGTATATATCCTTCCCAGAGGGAGTGAATATAAAAATTATGTCATTTTTGTTTAAACAAAAACACTTACTTGAAAAATAATAATTTAACTCCAAATCCTCTTTAATTTTTATCTTTACAAATTCAATTAATCAATTAATCTTCCTCTTATCTTTTATATTTTGGCATAAAGGTTTTTTTTTTCATTCTTTTTACTCACTTTCAACTCTTATTTAAAAAGACGATGGATTAAAAAAAAGGAAAACTCAATTAATTAGACAAACTCTTTTCATAGAAGAAAACATCATTTTCATGTTAATATTGATAAAAAGTTTCTAATATAAGTTTCCTCCTTTCTTGAATTTTCCCCCATAGGACATTCGAAGGTGGATAAAAGGAAAGTAAAAATTTTGCACTTTAGCAAATTTATATCACATCCATCTCAATAATTTTGAAGCAAATTCCTAAAAATTATTTTTTAATTTAGAAAACATTTTAAAATATTTCAACACGACCTTGATGACAAAAGCATTATTAGGAGAAACCTCTAAAAAAGGTATCATTTTTATATCGTAAACTATTTATATCTTCTTCTTTTTTATTGTGAGAAAGCTATAATTAAATTATTTAAAAAGAGAAATATTGGGTTAACAACCCATACATCCCAATAATAACTATATATATTAATTAAATAATAAAGTGTATTAATATTAATATTTTTAGATATTGGAAGATGGTATTGGTTGTTAAAATATCATTAGTTGGAAATTTTGGTATCAAAGAACTCCTTCGTCTGAAACTTTTCTAGGTCCGAATATTCTGTAAATCTTCCATTTTTATACAACTTGATTTCGAACAACCCTTCAACCAGAAGGATCCATCTCTCCCCAAAATTTCAATAAATAGTCATATCTTCTAATAATCCATGAGTAAAAAACACTTTCTTTTTCTTTTTCCTCACTAATGGCTTCATTTGCCACAAACATTATGTAAAATACTCTTTCATCCAATGAAGGAACTTTTTTCAATCTATTTGGTATATTTTGGCAACAGTTTTGTGCATACAACCAACCAAAGAGATAGGTTTGAAATGACCTAAATCTTGTGGATGATCTTCCACTTTAGGAATAAGAACTACAAAGGAGCAATTTGTACCTCCTAGAAATATCCCATTAACATGAAATCATTTAAAAAAACTATCTTCCCTTTCATAAGTTCCCATAAAATCTTTATAAACTTGAAATCCAATTCATCTATAGTTGAACTTTTTGTGCTACCACAATTCAACACAACAATTTTAAATTTCAACTCTTTCAATTAGTAATCAATTTTTTTTTTTTCTCTTCTTAAATTTTCCTGAACTCAACAACATAAACAATTTTCAAAGAAAGCCATTACTTTATCTTTGATTTTTTTTATGGATCCTCCTATCATTCGCGGTCAAAATAAAGTTCCTTCATCGTATTTTGGTTTTTTCATTTAATTGACAAAAAAGTGAAAATATTTGAAATTTTTATCTCTCTCCAATACCCTAAATCCTAAATTCATTTTCTAGTTCCACCCTATATGTACATTTCACTTCCCTCAACCCACGTCTTGTATTTTTTTGTCTAAACATTTCATCTTTAATTTATACTTAAGCTTTTAGTGTTAATTTACCGCTGGTTCAAATAATTTAGCGATACATTCCAATACAGTTAAAATTTATTTAAAAACATTTAAAAATATATTCGTTTGTAAGAAAAATAAATAGTATATATATAAAAAAAAACATTTCTCTTGTTTCATAAGAAAGAAAATAAAATAAAATTGTCATTTTCTATTTTTATTTATGTATTTTACTTTCCACTTATATATATATATATATATATATATATATATATAATTAAAAATATAAAAAATATTATTTTATAATATTATTTTCTCATCGAGAATTATTTATCTTTATGTATTATTTTATTAATTTAAACTTAGATATTAAAAAAATAATTTTCTAATAAAAAGTATATATATATATATATATATATATATTGAAGTATTTATTATTAAAATTTTAAGATCTTTATTTTAAAATATAAAAAATTATTTTATTCATATAAATATTTGATTTTTTTATTTTTTAAATATTTTTTTCTTTTTTATTACTCTTAAAAAAAACATATATATATATATATATATATATATATATATATATCACATTTTCTTTCTTAACTAATATATATCACACATTCTTTGTTAATAGATTTACCCCATCCAAATGTAATATAACCATTAATCATCAAAACTAACATTACAATTAACACAAGTAACTGGTCAATGGACACGCTCAATTTAAAAGTAGAAAAAAAGCAAAAGAAAAAAATTATCAAAATTAATTTGTAAGCCACATAACCAATCACGTTTTAAAAATGATAACATGTTTGTGACATGATCATATCACATTGCCAACAAAAAATAGTAGAAGGTCCAAAATCAATATGATATGATATTTAGTGGCTTTAAAGTAAGAAAATTGCAGTGTTGGCTTTTCAGAGGATTTGGACAATAATGAAGTATAAATTACCTTACCTATGAAATCAACACTATCTTTAATAAATAAAAAAAAATCAGATTATGAATCTTTATTATTGAATTTTTTTTTATTTTTTTTCATTCTTATATATGTGAAACTTAAACTCAATTGAATTTTTCACTGGATAGATATTTATTTATTACATCTAACTTTTTAAAAAATAATTACAAACTAATGTATTCTCCAAAGTATACTTCTACAGTAATAGTCTCAAGAGTAGTTGCAGGACAAAACCTCTGGTTGTTGGTCTTTTATAGGGTTGGGTGGATCCAGATCCACTCCACGAGACAAGAAAAACATAGGAAAGAACGGGAACGCAAAAAACATTCTGACAAATCAAAGGGATCCTTTAGCAATTTCAAAAAATATAGTGAAAACAACCTCAACACAAATAAACCAGAAGACATCAATTATTTTTTCTCTCCTTATTCTCCAATTCTTCGCAGGTACCGATTGTGTAAATACTCCAACTTATCCCAATTCACACCTTTGCCTCGCCGTTCTTCGATGAGTCGTTTCACCTTTCTCCGCCGATTCTTCTTTAATTTTCTTCCCTTTTTCTCCCAATTCAACTAAGTTTTGTGCCATCTATATATACCCAGGTTAGTTAGTGTGCACGAATATAGTTATGCATCGTCTATTATTTTCTGTTACTTTTATTAACTCTGATGTTAATCGTGCCTTGTACAATTTGATGTTGTCATTCTGTTTGTTTAATTGTTGTAAAATTAATTTTTGCATAATGAATTTGAAACCGAAACAATAGCAGCACTTGAGTCTTTTATGTGAGGCGATGCAATAACCCTTGAGATAATTCCGTACTGATGTTAATGTTATAAGAGTTATAAAATCAGATGTAGAATTGGAGGTAACTAAAGGTGGTGTTTCATCCATCGGGTAGCTCTTTCTGTGTGCGTACATGCAGTGTCCCGTTGCTATTTTTGCAAGGCCTGATCTAATTATATTGCCATTGCAAGAATAAATTGCACCGTTTTTTCCTTCTCTAGATGCTTCTGACAATGTTGTAACTTGTACCAATTTCTCCTGTTAAATAATATGAAATAGTGGATACTGGGCTTTCTGGATTTGTTCACTTTTTAGAAGTTGGATGCGTAATGGATGAGAATGAACTCAATCGGAAATGAGGTCAATGCTTGATGGTGTGTTCTTGTTTGAAGAAGGAAATATGTTTGAAGAAAAGTTCTTGGTTATTTTTATTTATCTTTTTTTTATGTGTTCTCATGCTTGTAGGTAAGTTAAGTGAGTTTTTTGGTTGGTGGATGGACATGCAGAAGAAGGCTGCACACCACTTCCAAGCCTTCCACTAGGACAAAGGCAGAGATTTTACTGTCATAGAAAGGTTTCAGACTTATTTAATGGGTGCTCCTAAGCAAAAATGGACTGCAGAGGAAGAAGCGGCGTTGAAAGCTGGAGTAGTCAAACATGGGGCTGGAAAATGGCGCACCATACTTACAGACCCAGACTTCAGTTCCATTCTGCGCATGCGGTCAAATGTAGATCTCAAGGTAATTTTTTTGTGGGTCTAGAATGTTATTGCGCCATAGGAAATACTTGTAGAGTTTTTTGCTTTCAGAAAATTGTCACATACTGGGTGTATTAGTATATAATTATATGTGCTTCTAAATGTAAAACAGGACAAATGGAGGAACATAAATGTGACGGCAATATGGGGATCAAGGCAGAAGGCAAAGCTTGCACTTAAAAAGAACCTACTACCATCCCCTAAAATTGACAATAACCACATGGCCTTGAGTACTGTAGTTCAACGTGACAGAGAAGTTGCAGATTCCAAGCCTCTGGCAGTTTCTGGTGGAATATCTCCTAATTCAAAGGAAAAAGTATCAAGGCTACAGAACTTCCAGTTAAATATATCTGCCATTTACTCTTGACAAATAAATGCTCTACTCTGCTCAGTTGGGTTAATCTTGTTTTTGAAAAACTGTATGAAGAAGCATCCATATCTGTAGATTATAATTCCCTTGCAAGTAATTAGTTCTAAAGATTGCATAATGACTCTGAACCAAGCATGGCAAAGATACGCTGAAAATATGATTCACTATTCAGTTACCTACTGGCAAATAGTTATCTTCTGTTTTACTTCTGATGGCAAAATCCCATCAAATTTTGCTGAATGAAACTATTTGTAATTGTGACAATATGTATTTCAATGATAGCGGCTGTATGCTGTTTAATAATGTCAGGTTGGATAATCTTATATTAGAGTCTATTATCAAGTTGAAGGAGCCAAAGGGTTCGGACAGAGCAGCAATTGCTTCATATATAGAGGTATTTGTACTTCAATTCCTTCACTTATGATCATAAAATCTAAACATCTCAAGAAACAAATGATGATCAAAGTGTTAGTGCATGTAAATTTCAATTCTACAAAGAATATTTAATTTCTTCTGTTTTGGCTTCTTCTTTTTCCTGTTAATTTCTCATGGATGGATTTACATTAGAATTAGACATTAAAGTGTTTTCATTCATTACTCTGCTATCAAATAATTTCTTTTTCCATTTAGACATTTTGCATTTCTTGATGTTATTACCCATATGTGACAGAGGTTTTGTATGTACCAGTGTTTTTTTTAATCAAGTTTGCAACATAAAAAATGTTCGAAATTTTTTTGAAATATTTCCATAGAGTTATATATTGTTTGTTAATGATCAGCAATCTCAACTGGCCATGACATGTTGCTCATAGAATTCCTTTCTGCTGGGTATAAAAAAATTTGGCCTTTTAAATGTTTCTTTTTTATAAGTCCAAACAGTTGGTCCCATATGGCAAGCAATAAGGTACTAACTTTTTGGCCCTCCCATGTTTCACGATCAACCAATAGTAATTTGTTACTTATTGCATTTTTATTTTTAAATATTCTGATTGGCTTATAGAATTATTAAATGTAGCAATTTAAAATTTTCTTTATGTGCTTGTCTGAACCATTGCATCGAAAGTAACATCGAAAACTTTTCACCTCACCTCATCAGGATCAATACTGTACTACGCCAACCCTCAGAAAGTTACTGTCAACAAAACTGAAGCACATGGTGGCATGTGGAAAATTAATGAAGGTAATGTAGCTGTTAGTATATTCCTTGACTAGACAGATTGTGTTTGGTCCAATAAGCAGCATTTTTACCTGCAAAACTTTGTAATGAAGCATTGTCAGCCGGATAATTTTTAGGTCATGTATGACAGATACTTTACTAACAATATGTTGATGTTATTTAGTGAAGGTTTATAAACAAAAAATAATTTGCCTGTAAGTAATTGGTTACATGTATGTACAGATGTTAAAACAAATATGTCCTATTGTAGCTGTTGAACTATGCATATCTGGGCATGTTCTTTAGCAGGAGTGAAAATTCGATTTCAAATTTTGAATTGATAAAATATTCTCATCTAATTAGCTAAATTAAATTACTGTTAGGTAAATATTGCTTATGTGATTAAAAAGCAGTATTTGGTTAATTGATCCTCAGTTAGATAACAATGACAGGTAAAACATAAGTACAGGATTGCCACAAATTTAACAATGTCTGAGAAAAGAAGATGTTCTTCCTTGGTACTCCTGGAAGCGAGACCCAAAGATTCTCCAAAAGCAGAGAAGGCTAGTATCAACATCCTTTCAAAATCCGAAATTGATGCAGAGCTATCAAAAATGAAGGGTGTAACACCACAAGAGGCGGCAGCAGCAGCTGCAAAAGCAGTTGCTGAGGCAGAAGCTGCTATTGCCGAGGCTGAGGCAGCAGCTAGGGAGGCAGACGCTGCAGAAGCTGAGGCAGAGGCTGCACGGGTGTTTGCAAAGGCAGCAATAAAGGCACTAAAATGCAAGACCCTTCAAATTTGGTAAGCATCCTTACCAAGAAAATTAATTGATACCTACTCTATATCTCATGTTTACAGATTCATCCAAGTGGTTACTATTTTCAGTGTAATTGCCTATCATTCTCATTGCCTATCCTATTGTTCCAGAATAGCATGAGATAAAAACTAAGAAACCCTGAGTGCCAGAAGACTCATCACTTCCCAAAGGTATAGGAGGGTTATTGTATGCAACCTTCCCCTAGTATATGCAAAGAAACTGTTTTCAAATTTGAAAGTGTGACCAACTACTCACAAAGGGCAACTTTGTGGCAAGATCTTGGTTCAAATTCTTTTATCTCTTTATGGTCCAGTTTCTAATTACTAGTGATCACAATCATCGATATCATAATTGCCAACCAAAACTCTTGTCTGTGGTGAAAAGCTCCCAATTTTGTTGATGATTACGGGATCCAGTTACTACCTCCAGAATATTGGTTTCTGTCAGTTCGTTTAACTAATTGTTTTATCTTTGCAAATTTGTGCAGATGGTGTCAGCTTCTGCGTTACTGATATTACCAGTATATCAGTTTGAGATCATAAGTCTGCTGCTAGACTTCCTGCATGTATTCAATTACTGTACATAATTTAGGCTTGTAAATTTGGAATATGCGGGTTTTGATCCATGAAACATTTTGTCAGGAGTTCTTAAGAGCATATTATCATTATTTTATTTTATTTGTTTTACCTTATTTTGAAGAAAGACCATGAGGCAATAGTATGAAGTATCAGTGGAAGAGTGGATGTAGTGATGAAGTATTATAATAGTACGTGTAATAGACATCATCCTCTACTAGTAAATGGCAGAATACAATTTTTATTAGAATTTTCCTATGGCAATGGTGTCACTTTCTTGGGAGGTCATGTTAACGCATATTTTTTAAAATTGTTGCTTCAGTACTCGAATTATATTGTAATTACGTGGACTTCTTTTTGAGATTTGTAAAAAAGTGAATGTTGAATAGTTTTGTTTTTTCATTATTTATTTTTATTTTGTTTCATTATTATTTTTAATATTTTTTTGAAGTAGATCAATATGATCATTGACATAATGACGGTGATATGAAATTAATGTCAAAAAAATAAAAAAATGAGATAAAATTATAAATATACAATTAAATATATTTAATTAAAAAATAAATTAATTTTTATTTAGAAAAAATTGAATGGATAAAAATAATGTGTAAAAAAAGTTATTCAGAGTTAAACTTAATATTTTGAATAAGCTAATTGTCAGAAGAAAATAAATTCAAGTGGGTAAATTTTTATTTAAAACTTCTTATATGAGTAAATTCCCAAAAAGTGAAATACATATGACTTAATGAAAAATTGTATTATTAATTTTATAATCTACACTTAGTAAAATAATTTTAATTTACTACTTTAACATAAAATCATTTTAATGAAAAATCATGTTTTAAATACAACTTCTATTTAAAACATTATTAAAACCAAATTTTGAACCAACTTTCAAGAACGTTGTTTTGCATGCTAGTTTCGCACTATCAGTGACATGAAAAGAATATAAAAATAAAAATAAAAATCAAACTTATAAATATATAAATAAGTATATTTAATAATTATTAAATTTAAAAAATAAAATCATAAATGGATATATCACAAAACTTTAACATAACCCTATCACCTTAAAAGAACACCATAATTTAATATTAACAGAAGAATCACGCAGATAGTAATTAAAAGTTTTGTTTATATAATTTTTTTTAAAATATTTACATAATTCAATAATTTTTAAAGATTTGACCCTCTGGCAACTATTTTTCCATTGACAATTCAATTTTTTCATACAACCTATCAATAATTTAATTTATTAATAAAATAATAATTTTAAATTAATTTATTTTAATTTAATCACTTTATAAATATAATATTAATAAATAAATTGTCTAATAGATATATTTTTTTAAATGGAGGTGAAAATATCACCACTCTATTTTTATTGTTAGGGTCATGCAGGGTAAAAGTGGGCCTTACCTCATCTTCCTTTCTCATGTATCTTCCTTAAAAATTAAATTTTTATATTTTTTCTTTCAATTTTGAGTTTTCATACCTTTCATTCATTTTCATTTTATATTATTTAAAATAATAATTATAATTACATTAAATGAATTTTAATATTCTTTATAAATTATTTTTAAACATAAAAAATATTTGTAATTTTTAAATTATTATTATTGATTAAATATATTTATTTTAGATATTGGTGTTTGATGAAGAAATTTTACATACAACCTTGGACTAGTTGAGCATTAAATGAAATTAAGTTAAATAAACTTACGATAAACAATGAACTTATGATAGACGATCAGGTGTATCAATAATGTATGGAGGCGATATAGAATATATAGTGAAGCTGCTATGTCTCCTGCTATTTTTCAACCAGATATCAAATTTTATTAGAATCATTGTATACGAGCTGAATAATTATATTAAATTTGGCGATTAATTGTCTACATCCTTTACACTAATGTGATCCTTTGATGATATGTTCAAACAAGAGATAGATGTAGCTGTCATTGACGAGTTTCTAAACTCAAACTAATTCACACATTTAAAATAAATGTTATATACTCTTTATTTTAAGACATGATTCAAAATGGCACTGGCATCAACACTAAGAAAACGACAGCACAAATAAAACGGCTAAATTTGTGCATGATTACTAGACTCGTGGAGTTAACATATGGAGATGCGATACTGGACCATTATAGAACAAATCTAATATCCAATATAATTTACAAAGAAAAAAAAATCTATTCCTCCCACAAATGCAGTCCAGTGAATTTTTCATGATGTGGCTATACCTATGACACACATTATGATTTGCTCATGAAGTAACCATTCACATGTATGTCCTCCCCGTTTGATTACCTATCGGACAAGAATGATATTATATTACAAAGCAACAGACAAAAGGAAGAATAAATCAATCAGCATCTGAGTTAGACATGCAAATGCCTCTAGTAAATCCAGAAATGTGTCACCCATAAATTACACTAGAGTTCAAAATAAAAAGTACGTTCTCAGCTCTTTGATTTGGAATGCTTTACAAGCCAGTCGATAACAGAGTCAATGTTGGTCGAGTTTTTGCACGAGATCATGAAGCAGCAAACTTCCCTGTCAGTGATTGACTTCAAATCCCTGCATTCCAGAAAGTACTTTTCAACACTAAAGTAATATAAATGCAAAGGAAAGAAAATGGAAGGAGAAAATAATATTCGTAAACAACATCATTCTGCTATTTTTCTACAATTAGTTTACTCCTTTATTGCTTCATACTGATGTTAGGTCTTACATTTGGTCAGTCAATGCTTGTTTAGACAGAGCGCTCGGTTTGTCAATCTTGTTCCCCAATACCAACAAAGGAATGCCACTCAATGATGGTTTGCTCAGCAAATCATGAAGCTCACTTCTTGATATGCTAAGGTTATCTGCATCGGCAGCATCAACAACATAACTGCAGAAAAGATCGTATTATGAGAAGTTGTTAAGTTTCGTAGATTAAGCCTTAGACTGCTAGCTCAAAGTGCAAATTTAAAAGGAGAAAAGGCATTAAATCCAAAGGAGCACATGAACCAAGTATACAAGTGCACTGGACCTAAGACAGAATTCTCAGCAGCAGCAAATTTTAAAACACCAGTAAAAATTGCATTGAAATTTAAGTCTTTTCAAATCTAGGCAGCAGCAAAGCATACAGATGAAAGTTTTAACTCTTTGACCTGTGGTCCGCACAACTCAACCATTGCAGGTTAATCAAGTCAGCTAGAGTCTCGAGAAGCTATAATCTACATCCTTCCTTGCTGTACAAATTGTTTTGATCACGATACCCAGAATTTAATTACAACCCATTGACTAAGACATATATTGCCTGTAGAAGGCATAAATATAATCAAGTTGTACAGGCAATCACTACACCTCTTCATGGATAGACAAGATTATTATTTATATAAACAAGTAAACCAGGGAGGAGCTCTTTACTAAGTTATCTAATCATCAAGTGGTTTTTCATAATTGTCATTGATAAATGAGGAACATTGTTTGGGTTCATGGAAGAAAAAATAATCCCAGCCACTAGTTATAATCAAACAGGACCAATTCCCGAGGTAACAGAACTACAACAAACACAAGAAAACAGTTATGCCCTTTGATTAGCAAAAAGCTTGGGAATTTGGCTAGATCTCATAGTGATTACTACGCAAGATTCAAAAACATGTGGCCAACATGAACATTGAAAACATAAGTTCATGATCAACACAACTCTAAAATTATACATAAACATTAGCGTACACATATACATTTATCAGTTATCTGTATAGTAAACGCATGTAAATCAAACTACTATGAGAAACGTGCATGCCCGCACGCAAGCACTCGGGGAAGAGAATAATTCAGAAAAAGATAAGAAGTTTGTAACATACACAATAGCAGAAACTGCACGACAGTAACGTTCCCACATGCTGCGGAACCTAGGCTGTCCTCCAAGATCCCATAATTTTATTGTAACATTCCCTTTTGTTACTTTCCTCATATTGAATCCCACCTGAAATCAGATAACATAAATTGATCAGAACACTATTGCCCTTAATACATAGAAAAGTCCGTAAAATTGAATAAATGAAGGTAATAAATAGCAATAATTAAAAGCATAAGGTGAACTTACGGTAGGAATCATGTCCTCACTATAGCCACCAGTCTATAAACAACATAAAAGTATAAAAAAATATGTCAGTGAGTCAACCCAAAAGTTAAACATCCAAGATACAAAGTGAAAGCCATCATGATCATTGTACTTACAGCAACTACATTTACAAGGGAAGTCTTTCCAGCATTCTGAAGTCCTATCAGAGATAACTCCATCTCCTGCTTGAAGAATAGGCTGCAATCAAATTTACAACATAATAAGCTCATGCTTTCTTGAAGAAAGTGATTGACAAAGTTCAGATAATCTGCATAGACCCTAAACCTAAAAATATATAATTCAATTTCTAATAGTAACCTAAAACTGAAAATTTTGAGTCATTAAAAATAGAATGAAATATTAGAACAATCAAAAGCAATTTTTAAAAAAGCATTAGTCTGCTTCACACTAAACGTATTTGGGAGTGTTGGATAAAAAATCTAATTAGGTGATTGCCTTCCGTACCAGTTTCTTGCATCAACTTTTTACCAGTGATCTCCGTTTCCACCTTTTATTCCATTAATGTCAAGGAAATCCCCTTCTCAATTAGTTCGAAAAAAAAAGAAAACAGAATAACACCAAATACCATTCCTCTTTGAATATATATACACAAATTTCCTATCCAGAAGTTCCTCATACTTATCCAAAATTCAGAGGGCAATAACTAGAGAATTTAAAATAACTCGTTTGAAACAAAGCGATTCACGGAGTATATGAAAAGTGAAAACATTTACAAAACGTGAAACATTACTCACATGATATATAAATATTTGCATTGAACACAAAAATAGGCAATACTCGAAAACATTAGACCACAAACAAATCCTCCTTCTGAACAATAAAAAAAAACGTCACATCGTTGTTACAAAAAGGGTACATATTTCGAACCATCCACGCACTTTAAAAAAAAAAAAGTACATAACAATTACACACAATTACAAGAACCCTGATAATAAAAAGGCGATGAATGATGCGAACTGCCAATAAATACCAAAAAAACAAAAAGTTAATTATGTAAGGCTTACCTGCGAAGCCAATTAAGAAAAACTTCCCACAATCCCATCGTTTTTGCTCAAGACAAAATTACTCAAAGAGAGAAAGAAATCAGATCTACGATTTCCCTCTTCGACAAACACAAAGAGAGAGAAATGCAATCCAATTCACCCTTTCTCTCTCTCAAACCTTCTCTTCCCTCCCTTTCCAATCTTTTATCGAACTCCTCTATAACAAATATACCAAATCCCATTTTATCTTTAATAATATCATTTTATTGCTTAGTATTTTCTACGATCTAACGGTTGCGGATATTTCACTCAATCTTATCCGTTGATTTTGGAGAATCCCATAATTACCCCAAAACCTAGCGATGCAGGGGATTATGACTCGGCTATGATCTTTATTTAGATCCTGTGATGGTGCGCCACGAATTCCTAGGGCTGGACCATACCGAATTTGATTGGAAATAAGTGGAGGCGTCCACCCATTCTAGGATGTGGCGCGTGATCATCACGAACCAGTTAAAGGTGGGATTTATGAGTACGTGGCAGAGCGTGCGCCTAACGTTTTCGGAAGGAAGTGGTAAAAGTGAGTGAAGGCGCCTCCGACAGCGAAATAATGAGTATCTTAAGTTATCATAACTAATCAAAGGCAGATTGAAGCGTGACAGTGAGCTGGATTATTGTTACAATTAAAGAATACACCTAAACGATATCTTTATCTTTCTAACATTGTTGTTTTCTCTTAAAAAGCACATCTTGTTATTTAGATTTTAGTACGCTTTTATCGTATCACATATATATAAAATATTAACCAATTTTATCCATTATTAATAGGTCTTTTACTTTTAATTATTTTTTATTCACAAAATTCAATTTAATCTAAATATTTGAACTTGTAATTAGTTTCATAGTAACTAATATATTAACTTAAATATCATACAACAGTAACCCCTTAACCTTTAAATTTATAGATTAAAACATTATATCCAATAAAATGAACATCTTTTTGATTAATTTATTTTAATAATTATCAGATATTTCATTTATTTATTCTTATTAAATATAATAAATGTTTACTGCTGACATTGTAGTATGTGTATTACAGAAACCAAGTTTAACACGATTATAGTTATAACAAGAAAAAATATTCATATAACATAAATTTAAGAAATGTTGAATAAAAAATATATCTAAATATAATAATTGACAACATAGTCAATTAACTTAATATAATAATTTAAATTATTGTTATTCCTTTTAAACAGTGAAAATTTAAATGAGTCAACTAGGCAATTGATCTATGAGATCTTTACCGTTGGAAAAAAAAAAAAAAAAAAAAAATATATATATATATATATATATATATATATATATATATATATATATATATATTCTTACATGATTTTTTAAAATTATCATTCTTACAAAATGTTTTTGGTTTGTCAAATGTTTACAAATATTTGTGTAAATTTTTTTAAATAAACTTGTGAGGTTTTTTATTAAAATATTTATCAATTAATAAAAGTTTTTTTTCATTCAAAATTAAAGTTCTATTATTCTTGATATATTTGTCAGTCTTGAATTATTTAGAGTTGATATGAAATATAATTTTTAAAATATAAGAAATAACCCCTATTGATCCTGTCATAATGAATAAAAGATTTAAATAAATATATATTATAATGACATAATTTAATAATTTGTAAATGATCACCAAGTCTATTAGTAATAGTCAATATTTTTTTAAAATATTATGCACAATTTGGAAAAAAAAAACTCCAATGTAACTTTTATATTTTTTTAATAAATTAATATTTATGTAAAAATTATTGTATTAATTATAATATTCCATTTAAAAATAAAAGTTTAATAGTTCCATATCCATTAAAAATTCAAAATAAATAATATTTAAAAATGTAAGAAATAACCTCTATTAATATTATCATAACCGATGAGAGACTTAAATAAATATGCATTATAATAATAGTTTGTAAATGATTATATAAATATTTTGAAAAAATATTATGCACAATTTGAAAGAAAAAAAAACTCTCTTATAATTTATATTTTTATAATAAATTAGTATTTATGTAATAATTATTGTATTAATCATAATATTTTATTTTAAATTAAAAGTATAATATTTTTATGTTATTATGATAATAAGTCAATATTCAATATATTATTTTTTTTAATTCTAATTTTATACGATTTTGTTTTTAGAATATATTTGAATGAGTTAAAAAAAATAAATATATATAAAATATTATTGATCTTCTTTTTAATTTTTAAATTATATGTGACTATTAAAATGAATAATATATTATTGTGTTGAAATTTTCAAAATGAAAACAATGTGAATTTTGATAAAAATAAATTAAAAATACTATAAATAAGTTAATTTTTCTATTTGTTATATCCAGTTGCACAAGACAATTTCTTTAATAGTTTGTTTTAGTGTCATTATAAAAAAATATAGTTTAAAAAAATAATTAATATGATTTATTTATTTAAAAATAATTAAAATATGAAAACAAAATATTTCAAGAAAAAAATATTATTTAAATATAATTATAAAAAATATAGACATATAAATGTTAAAGTTGTCTACTCGTTTAAATATAATATATTTATTTAAAATAATAACTAACTAACTATATATATATATATATATATATATATATAAAGTATAATTCTTAAAAATTATTTTATTTTATTTTACTTATAGCATATTTATATTTATAAAAAATGATAAATTTATATTATGATTTTTTTTAAATGACAACTACCAAATATATAATTATAGTTCAGTTGTTTTATTGTATAAATTATACATATAGAAATTTTATATTTTTAAAAAATTTATTGTAATTTTAAATATAAAATATGTAATTTATTTATAAATATATAAAATATAAAATTATAAACATATAGTGAATGTAATTTTTTAATATGTATTTTTATTTAATAATGTTTATTGAAAATATTTAAAATTATTTTACATTACAAATTTAGTAATTTTATAATAATAAGTATACAAAAAATGATTAAAATTAAATAAACAAATTATTTTGATTTTATAATAAAATAAAATAAAAATTTACTTTTATGTTTAGCTTCTGATAACTATTTAATGAAAATTTGAATAAATCACTTGATAACAAAAATTAAATAGTTATTCATTAAATGGTTTGGAAGATTTATAGGAAACTTTTTCGAATAATATTTTTTATTCTTCTTTTTTCAAAAATATTTCTAAATACTTTATCTTTTTCAATAGCCAGTGTAAGCTTAAAAGGGGTTAAATATTTTATTTTTTATTAAACTTTATTTTATTTTAACAATTAACTAATTAATATTTAAATTATATAAAAACATTATTTTAATTATTTTATCAACTTTTTTACAATGAATTTTTTAATATTAAATATATGTATATTTAAATTATAATTTTATAAATTTAATTATTCTATTTAATATACAACCGACAAAAATTATTATAAAACTGTTAAATTTATATATAAAAATAATATATTTTAAAAAGTCAAAATTTTAATTAATATTTTAAGAAAAGGTCCTTTAATACGAAAGACAAATTTTTTTAATCTATTTTTGACCATTATGTTAATTCTTCATACTGAAAGTGTAATTCTCCTTATTTTTTCTAATTTTAATGTTAGTTTGAGATCCCACCGTTATTAAGGTTCAAATCACGAAAATTAATCATAAAAATCAAACTAAGAGAAAAAATCCTTCTTAAACAAGTTATTAATAGAGAGAAAAAAAAACTTTAATCATAATATATATATATATATATATATATATATATATATATATATATATATATATATATATATATAAACATCAAGTTTAAGCAAAGTAAATTATTTTTACAACTTATAATGTTTTACTAAATTTTCTTGTTTTACTTTTGTATTCTTTCTAAAGTTATATACAAATTTAAGAAATTTTAGAAAATATCAATATAATTTATTCTTATATATTCACTTAAAAAGTAAGAAGCATAATAAGTTCTCGGACATTAAAATTGAGTCAACATCGATAAAATTTAAGAAACAAATATTCTGATTATATTTGTTTTTGTTATGACACGATATACGTTGACCAAGTTAGAAAATATAAATAACATAATTTATTTATATATTTTATTTTCTATATTTAAGACTAAATTGTTATTACGTTCGTTATTTTCTATATGTACCAATAATATTAAATAATATTTAATTTATGTGAGTTAACATAATTATTAGTGTTTCTGAATGACTTGATCATTATACACTTTACAATAAAGATATTGTTTTTCATAACGATTACTTGATATTATTTTTGAAGATGGTTTGTTTGGTGCAAAAGCTTGTGATTTTTCCGTTGAACAGCGTTATTTAGATTGAGCCACAGTCCCACATCACATTATGTAATATTTTATACATTATATATTATATCTGGAACATCTTCCTCTTTAATAATTACATAAATGGTTGTATAAAGAATATTTGCCTTAGAAATCACATGTTATCGTAATAATTCATTTTTGCATAATTATTTGGGTTCATAGAAATCATGACAGTCGCACCAATTTTATTCGACACAGTGAGACCGGCATCAGTGTTGAGATTGAGTTCTACTTCACTAAAAAAACAAACTATACGAATGGTGCACAATTGAATATGGGTCAATTTGGGTACAAAAATGAAGTGATGAATGTTGGGCCTTATTCACACAGAATAGGGCCCATTGAAAGACCCTTGTTCAAAACATTAATACATTATTTATCCATTTTTCCAAGCTTTTAGTAAAATGTAAACTTTTTTATTTAAATTTTTTTCCTATTATACATATACTTTTTTTTAAGGAAATAACGAAGCTCTATTCTTTATATATAAATGCACACCATATATATGTGCAAAAAATTTCAAGGCACCTTGATCAAAATAGGCTCTTGATAATGTCATCATAGCCAAGAAACAAATATTAGTAACCATTGGCTCTTAGAAAATATTGTTGATTTTTTATTTTAATTTTAATTAGAAAAATAATATTTTATTTTTCTTTATTTCATGTTTAAAATTTTATATAAGTAAAAAAAGGAAGTAAACTAATAAAATAATAATAAAAAGTAGTTTTGGCTGTTTCTTATACAATTTTTTAAAATTAGGAACCCAAGTGGAAATAAAGGTACACTTTTTAAGTTAAAAGTGAAAGTGAATTTTTTTTTTTTATGACTAAATAGCCACTTAGTCACAATCAAGCAAATATTTTTATACGAGAAAAAATAAAAAAATAAAATGAGCTTATAATATCCAAATGATTTGATTTTACCATCAAACAATGTTCTATCTATTACTCAGTGTATAGATATAAAGTTTCTCTTTAAAAACTATGTAGGGTTATTTAAACTTAATTAATAATCTTAAATATGAGTTTTTGTCATAATATAATTTAGAAAAAAATTGTTTAATCAATAATCTTATCTACTTCAAAGGGGATGGACTGTTTGTTTTTTCCGGTTTTCTTCTTTACAAATCATTTTCTTTTTGTAAATTTATGTTTTTGCATTTCACCTTTGACATGATCCAATGATAAATCAAATAGAAACCATATATTAACACTCAACTACAACCCAACTTATTAATATTAATTATTATTATATTAATATATTTGATTGTATCAGCAACAATTACATAACTAATATTATATTAAACGTTTATATTAATATAGTTAATTGTGTGGTTAACTTTTTCCTAAATGGAATACACCCTATCCGTTTATTTTTTTTTATTTTTTATTTTTACTGTGAAATGAGCATTGATATTCAGATAATTCATTTTTTTCAAACATTTATCCTACAACTGTTTTTTAATAATAAAATAATCATAAATATCAAAATTTTTAAATTTTTCTATTATTATATTAGTAAAACAGTTATTGAATATTATTACAAGAGTTGTCTTTCTATCATTTTCCCTGACAAATAAACACTTCTTTCACTACTATTTTTATAAGAGTAATAAGTGTTTGTTTAGATAATTTATTCCATAAATATTTTAAAATAAAAAATGTTTTTATTCATAAAGCAAACTATTTATTTATTTTAAATAATAAAAGAGATTTTTTGTAGAACTTTTCATACATTTAAATTTTGTAAAGTGATGGGGCGAGTGAACTTGAAGGTCAGATTCTCGTGGGTCGTGCCAATTCCAAAGAAAGGTATATATGCAAAGATCAGTTTTTTTTGTTCATTCTGTGATGTATATAGTTGGAAGTAGCTAGTTGAAAAAGACGAGCGAAAATAGAAGTAGCAAAGGTGAGAAATAAAAAAGAAAGATGCTTAATTAAATTTAGGGTAAAGACATGGATACCTGAATAGAGCATGCATGCATGCATAGAGCAAAAATTAAAAGTGGTCAATTCCTTCCACTTGACGAACCAACTATTTCGGCTTCTGATTCGTTACCTCCATCTCTAACACTACCATTTGTCCTTCCTTCACCCTAACAAAAATGTTGCACTAAACCATGCCACAAGCTATTCTATTCTTACCTTACCTAGTAAGTCACACTTCTAACTCAAAAAGTTGTCACAATTTTGAGCCACCAAATGTAGTCTTTTCTATTCCCCTCACCAGAAAATGACCACCGACTCTACCATGCTCAACTCAACAAATCGTTTCTTATTTCTGCCTTTGTTCTTGCTCCTCATTTCCATTCCCGTGTTTCAACAAACATGGTCAGCCTCAGGCTCCCCCGATGGTGAAAATAGCTTCCATAGACCCGATCCTTTACGACACTTCAAAGACTACAATGGAGATTTCGACGTTCGAAACAAGCATTACGTGGCTGTGAGTAGTTTTTTACTTCAAACCACTTTTTCTCTTCTCTATTTCTTAAATTTCGTGCAATCTGTTTATTTTAGCTTATACTTTAGAGAACAAATAACGTGTGTATGATCATCATATATGTGTTTACTACACTTGCTTTCTGATCCTTTTCAGTCTGCGGCATTTACAGGAGTCCATGGATACGCATTTGCCTGCGTTTGGTTGCTATGTGGGCTGGTTTTGGCCATTTTCCTTATACTCAAGTGTCTATGCGGTGGCTTTGCTTCATTAAATTGTTTGGACCGTTACCATCTCCACATTTTCTTTCTACTTGTTTTCTTCACATCTCTCGCCATGTAAGTTTTTCAACTCACCATTTTAGAGAAATTGTTGCATGTTATCCAAAAATTACTATAGTTTCAACATGCCCACATTCTTTATTATGAACTGACAAATTGAAAAAATGTCGCATGAAAATCCGTTGAGACTACAAACACGTGATAGTGATACTTCGGCACCGTAGATAATTGTCATTGTACAATCAACATTATTAACAAATTTGTGATTGAGGAAATTGGGGTGGTGTGACAGAATTGCTTCAAGTTTTGTCCTGGCAACCAGTCAGAAGACCATGCGGAGGACAGAAAAACTGAAAGAATCTGTGGAGGGTATAGGAGAAGATGCTCTTAGGACCATAGGCAGAGTCATAAAAACCATGAAACAAATGCAGGTTCTTTTGCTTCCGTACAATCCACAAATATGTGCGAATTTGAATTCCACCACTCAAGACCTCAGAACCAACTCGCGTGTGATACGCCGTTTTATTGACAAAAGTGAAAAATCATTCGACCAGGCCACTCATACTATGTATATATGTTCTCCCTTTGAACAACTCTAATTTTATGCTGATTGTGTTTCTTACTCTCTACTAATTTAAACTTTTTTGCATTCCGCACTCTTAATGTGACACAGCAATGTAGCACATTTCGTTGTTCTAGCCGTCAACTTAGTGACACTGTTTGCAGCAATAGGTAACGATCATAAACAATTGGTTAATTTCTTTAAACTATTGTTGAGATTGATTAATTCTTTGCTCAAATGTGACTCAGTTCTAATGCTCCAGTATTGGCGTCCTGGATTTATAATGTAAGACAAAGTATCATTTTCAACGTTATATATGTTCCTAATAACGCTATTCGTTCGGTTCTGCGTTACTTTATGAGTATATGACTAGTATTTTTACATTATTTTCAGCATAATTTTTTGCTTATGGATCTTAACAAGCCTTTGCTGGTTCTTGACTGGCTTAGATTTTTTCCTTCGCACGTAAGTAGCTGAACCGCTCATCTTGGTATAGAGTTGAATATTGATTCAAGTATCGTAATCCTGATTTCAAGTCTCACGACGTTGTGTGAACTATGCGTGCAGCTTTGCAGAAGATGCATGCTCCGCTTTTGAGGACTTCGAAGAAAACCCACAAAACAGTAGTCTGGGATCGATGTTGCCGTGCATGAATGAATCTGTCTCTGGGAACTTGATAGCTCAAATTGGCTACACCATCCACAGATTTGTAGCTGAGGTAAAAAAATTGGTTTTTCTTCATTCATAATTAGAAGGAAATGAATTTGTTCCAATTCTAATGTGTTATTATGTTCTAACGTAATGATGTTTTTGTGTCCCAGCTGAATTCTAATATGTCGGTGGTTTATCGGCTCCTAGGAGTAAGCAAAGCAAACGAAGAATTAATAGGAGTCGCAAAAATTTGTGACCCTTTCCCTGGACCCTCAAATTTGAACTACGTTCCACAAAGCTGCCCTCAGAATGCCATTAGGATTGGTGATTTATCAAGAGTAAGTCTTCACTAAACCAAAGATTGAGTGTATTTATTTATATCAAACATAAACTAATACACCTTTTTAAACGTATTTATATTTGTTGAAATCCGCTAAAAATAATTGTAATTAATTTCACTTCATATTTAATGAGTTTTACTTATAATTTGTGTATCAATTACTCATGTTTCTTTTGCAACATCATACTCATAATTCATAAAACGCGTTTGAGTTCAGATTCTTGCAAAGTTCACTTGTCACGAAGAGGGCACAGGAGAAGAATGCAAAAAAGAGGGAAGATTTCTTCCTAAAGCTTCCTACAACATGGCTCATGCCTACAGTAGATCCGTCCAGGATTTGCTGGATATATATCCAGACATGCAGAGACTATCAAAATGCACAGTTGTGAAGAACAAAGTTGCTGAAATTGTGTCCAAGCAATGCAGGCCAATTAGAGTTTCAACTAAATTGCTATGGTCATTGATGCTGTCTCTCTCCATTATAATGGTACTCTTGGTATTCACGTGGGTGACAAAGGCTTTTCAATGTTGGGGAAGACCACTTTCTATATATTCAAGGACCCCAACATCTACATAGGAAATTTTATTCATTTTCAAACTTAAAAAGGGTAGAATCTCAAAGGTAGGTGTAGTTTTTTGCTTTCTGGGCAATGGGTTGCATTCTTCTCTTTTGCTTTACTTTTTTTTTCCAATTTCTGCCTAAATAGTTTTCGAGGAAAATAACACTCATGAAAGTCGTAAGACAAAAACTGGAGAATAATGTAAATAATTGAAAATGATTTGTTTTAATTGTGAATATTGCATGGTGGAGAATAAAATGTTCGATAAAAAAAAAAACTCAAGATTTATCAACATTGTTCTGGGTATCCGTATCAATTTCTGTCAAGAGACAAATATTCTTGTTGAACTTTGTTCAACTTTTCAATTAAATTCAACCACGAGTGATTTTTAAAAATTTTCCCACAGGAAAATTCTTTCCCAAATAATACCTTTCGTTTTCAGTGAAAAATAAAGATAAAAAAAATACTCCATAAATATAGAGTCAAGTATAATTAAGGAAAAAAAAACTAAAAATATCAAAGTTAGTTGGCATTACATATACAATTTAAATAATTATCAACAAGATTTATTATTATGAGTGGGTAAAAACTAATTTTGTGTTGGGCAGATTAAGGAGATTTTTGTTTTATTAAGATACTTACACAATATTGTTTCCATAATATTTAACCATCTCCTTTATAATTTTTAATAATTTTGTAACTGCCAAACAAGACTCTTGTGATGATTATTTAAAAAAAACGGCTAAGTCAAGTGACTCAAACAAGTGCACATGAAATTTGCGTTTTCAACCAATACCAAAAAGTCAGCATGAGACAATAATACATAATTTTTTTTACGAGAGTGAGACCATATTAAAAATATTACATGTACTGTAATTTTATGGTAACGAACTATTTATATTATTAATAGTAACCAACATGTTATCTATAAATAAAGACACATAAATATAATTATCATATCATTTCCCAAAATAGAATATCCATCTATGAACGGTTTGACCAGTTTTACTTTCACGTACAGTTATTTAAAAGTTTCCTGTTCTACGGAACTTCACAAAAATTTAAAATCTAAGTAAGCCTATAAGAGAGTAATAAAAAAAAGTTTTTTTTTCTTTTTTTATTTCCTGTACGAATTTCAACACCATTATTAATGCTATTATCACCTAATAACAACGTCTCACCAAAACATTTTTCAATCCATAGTTCAATTAATTGACAATTAATTGGCTTTTATACTCGGATTAAGAATAATAAAATCTGATTAAGGAAATAAAATTGTCTTATGATTCTCAGCACGGAAAAAGTTAAAAGAAGAGTCGTGTTAGATCACCAATCATTATCACCATCTGTCCCAATGTCATTTAATAAAGTGAATCTAAATGCTGTGGTGTTACTACTATGTGGTGGTCTTATTGGACATGGAACATTAAAAATCTAGAATTTTACGAAGAATGGAAGAAAGATGGCATAAAATGGTTACGTGTTAGGGACAATAATCATAAGTAAAGAGAAGAAAGGAAAGTTATAGGATGGAGTGCAAGATGTTACATTTATGGTAAAAGAGTAGTTATAGAATAGAACTGTGCTGAGGTCGGTACCAAAAGACACAGTGAAACTCAACTTTGGTTGCAAATCAATGTCATAACCTCAGACTCAGATCCAAACTGCATCGGAACTTAACTACCCTTACCCAATATTATCTCATTAATTTTTTTTCCAGTTTTCTCTCTCTTATCTCGTATTTGATTGAACTCAGCTGAGTTCGGTGGTTGTGTCACGCCACTGTGTCTGTGACCCTCAAAAGCCACCAACGAAACCGCATGTCGGGGTGTTTTGCTTGTTCCACAGTTCGGGTGGTACCAGGTCAGACACACTCTTCACTTTTCTTACACTTTGCCTTTGTTCCCAGGTTACTAATTATTGTGTTGCTTTTATTTGTGTCTATTAGGTTTTTCTATTTTTAATGGATCTGACACATGAGGGTTGAACTCTGAGTGTTAGAATGAGTAATTGGTGGTAGTTGTTGTAGTGTTTAGATACGGAGTAGGATAAAGGTAGTGGTTTCAACTTCAATTACTTCTAACAAACCATGGAAGAAAGGGTAATTTATTGTAATCAATCAAGCGTTGAAACTGGTTGCACATTAATTTTTGTGATTACGTGTAAAAATTCATGAAATTGTAAAGGGGATAGAATGTTGCCCAACCGAACCTCGATAACTGGATTGTCTTCCGAAGATGATACTAAAAGGATTTAAAAAATAAAAAAGAAAGTGATAAACCTAGTTAGGAGATGTATGTTGTCGTTTTGTACTTATCTTGATTTATGAAATTGTTAGCTTGTAGTGGATGAAGGGATAAAAACTCAATTAGGCATATTTAGTGTCATCATTTGCGGTTTCTTGGGAAGTTATGTTTCTGACTTCTATTTGGTCGTGTTGTCTATCAGGTTTCCGTAGGTTGCATTTGGTTAACTGCAACTTTATTTTGAAGATAAAAAGGAAGAGAAAATGAGGATGAGGAACAAATACAGAAAACCTACGGCTTTACGTTGCAATGCAGGGAGCAGATTTTCAACGTCTGTTGTGGTATTGAGCTTGTTAGGATGCTTGTTTTTGCTTCATTTATATACCTATCTTCATCACACAGATAGAAATGGGGAAGAGTCTCAATTGCGCTGGAACCATCATCCCCAATTCGGTGAACTTCAAGAAGTTGAAGAGGAGGACATTCAAATCCCACCACCAAGGGGAAAGAGGTCCCCTCGAGCAGCAAAACGCAGACCTAAACGGACAACCACATTAATTGATGAATTCTTGGACGAAAGTTCCCAACTGAGACACGTGTTTTTTCCTGGTCGTAAAAAAGCTATAGATCCAATACAGACTGCTGCAAATGAAAGTTATTACTATTACCCTGGGAGAATTTGGTTGGATACCAACGGAAATCCTATTCAAGCCCATGGAGGGGGATTCTGTATGATAAAAAATCAAGAACATACTATTGGTATGGTGAATATAAAGATGGGCCTACCTACCAAATTCACAAGAAAGGAGCTGCTCGGGTAATTCATTTTGTTTACGAGAGCTTTTGTTTGGTTTGTAAGTTAATAATTGTCGCTGTAGTAATTATGTAGCTTATTTTCACTATTATAATTTATAAACATTTAATGGTTTAAGGTTTCCATTTTTTTATATAAGTGCAATGTTTACATGGTTTCATCTTTTGTTTATTTTGAGAAAGAAGAACAATAAGACTAGCTGATTATCAAGAACTCAGTAGCTTAGAGATGCATGTTTGATCAAGCATATTTGCATCTATCCTTCTTTCCCTCCAGTTGCTTATTCAACTTCTGCATCATTATGTTCTGAACAATCTTAATATCATCCTTAATAATTGTATTGTAGTCTTTTGCAGAAAAATATCATGTTTCAAAGGTCTCATTTTGTTCTTAATATGCTGTCATTGTCATAAAATGTCCATATTCTTGCTGGTCTATGAAAAAGGGGTATATAGTTGTCTTTCCATTTGCACGAATGGAGATATTAAGCAATGTAAGAGTCTTTTCAATTTGGATCACATACAGAGTTATTAAAAGTTTTTATTAAAGAAAAGGTCATCTTAATCGATATTTAACCTAATGGATTTGGATTCCTTTAGATGCATTCATAGAATAAAGTGTGAAGATGGAATTCTTGGTGGTTCCTTTCATAGAAAATGAAACCTGCTACAATTGAAATTGCTTAAGTTCATTGCCTTTTCCATCTTTTCAATGCTCAGAATTTCTATTGTTATTTCTCATAAATCCACTGAATGTAGATATTGTCACTGAATAAAAAGTTTATACTTCCATGAGATTGAATTTTTTCTGCAATTTGGTAATCCTAGAAAAATGTTTCACATAAATGGTCCAATTTATTCAATTAGAGTCAGAAATTTACTTTGACTCCTGTATTTAAACACAAGGAAATGAGATGATCCAGACTTGTTACCTTACACATGGTGTTCCCGTACCTCATGCAGTTGGTAAGACTTAAAGTGATGGCAAGAGTCAAGGCAATTTCTTTTACACATTTCAGAATTCACCATGTTAATTGACATAGACATCTGGCTAGCTAGCTAGTTCACAATTGGAGTGGCTGATGAAAAACTCTTGTTCTGAATAACTACTTGCCAAAATTTTGTATCACCAGTCAGTTTGCATGTAGAATTTTTTGATTCCATGCCCAAATAAATGCCGATTGATAGATATCGATAGCACCACACGGTGGTTTGTTTTTTATCTGTGTCTTTGCTTTCTTTCCCTCAACTTGAAGAAAAGTAAACTTGTCTCTGTAAATTAGTAGGTTCTTTCTGTTTGCCTATTTTGAAATGATAATTCTTCTTACACTTTACAATCTCGCATTCCAGTATCGGCAAACTCAAGTCATTATCACTTTTTTCACTAGGTGGACATTATTGGAGTTGGTTGCTATTCTTCGAAGGATTTGTGGACCTGGAAACATGAGGGGATTGTGTTGGCAGCAGAGGAAACAAATGAAACCCATGATCTGCACACGTCTAATGTGCTTGAGAGGCCAAAAGTTATTTACAATGAGAGGACAGGAAAGTATGTGATGTGGATGCATATTGATGATGCCAACTATACCAAAGCAGCTGTTGGAGTAGCAATGAGTGACACACCTGATGGGCCATTTGATTATCTTGGTAGCCAAAGACCCCATGGATATGAAAGCAGGGATATGACAGTTTTCAAAGACGAAGATGGCATGGCATATCTAATCTACTCCTCCGAAGACAACAGTGAACTGCACATTGGACCCCTTACCGAAGATTATCTCAACGTGACATCTGTCATGAGAAGGATTCTTGTGGGACAACACAGAGAAGCTCCAGCTCTGTTCAAGCATGAGGGCACATATTACATGATCACGTCAGGCTGCACAGGATGGGCCCCAAATGAAGCACTGGCTCATGCAGCCGAGTCCATCTTGGGGCCTTGGGAAACAATTGGAAATCCATGCATTGGAGGAAACAAAATGTTTAGGCTTACAACCTTCTTTGCTCAGAGCACTTTTGTGCTTCCTCTACCTGGCTTCCCTGGTGCATTTATTTTCATGGCAGATAGGTGGAATCCGGCGGACCTGAGAGACTCCAGATATGTATGGTTGCCTATGATAGTGGCAGGACCTGTTGATCAGCCTCTGGAGTACAGTTTTGAATTCCCTCTGTGGTCAAGAGTGTCTATCTATTGGCACAGAAAATGGAGACTGCCTCATGGCTGGAGCAGCTTCAAATAATGTAACTTCTCTTTGTACATTGTCATATACAAAGATTTGCCATACGGTTATATGTCTTACCTTGCTGCATATCAAGCACTTGTTGGAAAGCTCACTGCATGAGGATCACGGACTTAGAAACCTAAGTCTCAATAATATGCTCACTTTAATTTAGGATAAGTTGAAATTAGATTGAGGGAGCGCATGTATACCGAGAAAAGATTATCCACTTGACTGGAATTTTGCTAATAATCAAGCATTGTTGATCGGTTGTGTCACGGCATCATGTAATTATTTGGTAGTTATGTAAATGATTCTTTCACGTGTGTACTTTTTACTACTCTACTCCATGGCTTTTACTTTGATTTTCTTGGGCGTGTTCCTTGGTTACCTGCTTGGAATTGCTTCCCATACAGGCATGGTGGAGGTCATAAACTGGTTATTTAATGGCATCTCTGATGCTAGCTCAATTATTTTCTTGCACGGAAAGTTGAGTTTTTAGCATATTTCAGATTGAGCACAATATTAGGATCGATAAAAACATAAGATTAGTGGAACTCAAGTTCTTTTATTAGAATCACAATTTGTATAGGGGCATAGATCCCGAGAATTTTCCTTCATAGAAAATGGAAGGGTTGTAGAACATTTTGCGTAAAGCACGTGGAAGTTACTGGGCTACGTGAATGCCTTGCCCAACTTTGGGCCAAATTCTGTAGCCCACGTGAAAGTGCATAAAATCACAATTGTAATAAAAAAGGCCACACGTAGATGAAAAAAAAAAATTGTAGAAGGGAATGTATAGGATATACATGCCATAAATTCATTTAATTTAATTTAATTTATGCAAGTTTGGTCTTGTTTTCTCATTTGTTTCATATCTAACTTTTTCATTTATGTCTGAGAAAAATAATGTATTGGATGATTATTATTAAGACGAAAAGGGATTAATACGGAGAGACAGAGATCCTGAAGTACGATGGGTTTGAAATTAATAGAGTGAAGTTAGCATTCTACGTGAAGTTGGCCCCATAAAAGTATAAAGACATGAGCTTGTCATTGTCATTGCTATAGAAAAGGATACAAAAGCTTAAACCTGCAGAAGAAGGTATGGGCCAGCATCAAACTCCCTTTAATAAAAAACCAAAAGAAAGAAGCTATAAATGTTTTAAAATGAGGGGGGAAAAGATGCAGAAAGAGTGGAGAGTGGATATGTTAACGTGGAGGGGGCAAGTCTCATCAGAAGTTCAAGATGTGCAACCCTAAAAAGATGAACCCACTATTCATATTATTTCCTTTTCATTGTTTATGTCCTTACCAATTTATTGGCTTTCTTAGGAAAAAGGAGTCCCTCATGAGCCCCCCTTATCTTTCTTACCTCCATCAAAGAGCTCAGGGTTTTGTGGGGCCATGCAGAGGGTAAAGTTAAAACAGGTGCCATATACAAAGATAATAGATACATAGACAGATACTAGTATAGTTTAGGCTCAGAGAAAGAAAGAGAGAGAAATTAAATAAAGAAGAAGACCGATTCAAACTCAGCGTGCTCCCCACTAAAACCTTTAAACCCACTAATCACCATACACCTTTTAATGACATATATTCCAACCGATAACCCAACTTTCTGGCCGTCCTAAGATTCTATTGCCCATAAACTAGATAACGACCTCCTCTTGTTTATGCTTCCATCTTCGTTTACTTTCATTCAACCTCACATCATATCATCTTCATACGCAAACATACCAAATCCTATTTCTTTTGGACCTAATTGCCATTTCCCAATATCAATTCAATTGTTTTGGTACATCTTAAATATATTCTAAAATACAATATTATCACACCATTCTCCTTCTTATTAACTTATGTTTTATTGCCTTCGTGGTTTTGTTAAACGCACAACAATTATGCTTATTCTCTTCTCTGGTCAAATCTGGACCAGAACCAAGCTTTAAATAATGTATATGTCAATCATCAACTACCACCTAATTTAGCTTAGTCAAATAATCAATACGATTGAACTCACAATTTGGATTGCGACATCAAGTTATATTTTAGCCTAATAAATTAACAATTTGTTATTAATGCCAAAATAAAACAACAAATACTTGAGAGGAATGTACAATTCACAATCATTGACAATTCATTACTATTTCTCATAGTTATTGAAAAGTCACCCAAGAACCTTTTTTTAGCTGGAAATGGTCCCAGATTTAAGGAGATAAGAAAAAAAAACCATCAAATTTGATTCTCTCTCACTGAATGTAGTTTGTTTTTCTTCTCTCTCTTTTTTTTTTTCATTTTATCTATTAGAATAATGAAGCAACAGCTTCTTCTTTTCAATTCTATATCCTCGAAATTAATAAATGAGAGGAAAGATTAATACAGAGGGAGATAATACAAGTTAAAATAGTTTATGAGAAGCTATTAAGATAGATGATTCAAATATTTTTTAGATATATAAAATTCAATAGTTTTTTGTTGTTGCACCCAACATTCCATAAAACTGAATAGTTGGAATCAGAACCGTTTGATTTAATTCATGCAGATATGTAAAAGGAAACATATATAATAATAAGGTATATATACAAGAAGAAAAGTTGAAAATAAAAAGGAAATATAAGAAAAAAGTGAAAAATGAAAATCAATATAGTTGATGATTCCTTTTTGAATAATACAGGCAAATCCCCTTCCTCCTATCATCCTCATACCCTCCAATTAATCCCATTGTCTTACGTACCAAACTGGAAAAAAAGAAACATGAATTACCTTAAAGAAAAAGAAAAGAGAAAAGCCCTGAGCTGAGCTATGGGCACGTGCTTTGAGAACAGAGGGCACGTGGGATTCAGTCCCTCAACTCATTACTCACGTCAAGTCATTCTCCGCTGCACTACGTCAAGGCCCTCCATGCACTGGCCCACACCACCGGCTGCTCCTTCCACGAAAGGAATATTCCGGCGTCGGAGCACTGTGCCATTGCCCACCCCTCCCTATACCTCCTCAACAACGCCCGCACATCATCACAAACCTCTTCGCTAAACGCCACCGCATTGAAGCCCCCTCCATGCATCCTCCTCGTCCACCGCCCCGCCCTCTCCCGCCGTTCCACCGACTCCTCCGTCGAACAAGCGACCAGGTCTACCACCGCCCTTCCCGCAGCCCGCTCCAGCATCAACCGCTCGTTGCTCGTCCGCGGAAAGCTCTCCTCCAACGCTTCGAAGTAAACCCTAAACCACCTCAAACACTCTTCAAACCCCTTCACGAATTCCAACCCCTCCAGACCCTGCAATCCCACGTCCAAGTCCGCCTCCTCCTCCACCACCGTCACGATCCTCGGCTGCAGCCTCCTTAACGCGGATATCACGGCGTCGCGGTGGCTCCCGACGGCGGATATCGAATGCAAAGTGTTGACGCAGTTAATAGCCAAGGCCTCGTCTTGTTTAATATCCAACACGTTGAAATCGAAGTCCGAAAGGTGACCTAAGTGATGAACGACTTTGAATTGAAAGGGCACGCCCATGAGTCTGGCGAATTTCTCCATTCTGGCGCCGATTTCCTTCATGACCTTGTGCGCAGAGGCGGCGGTGACGAGGGAGGTTAGACGGAGGTGCGGAGTGTCGTCGTTTCGAGTGGCCAAGGCTTCGAAGAGCGTAGGCCATTGGGTGCAATAGGTGTTGCTGATGTCAACTATGTGTAGTTTGGGCTCTCCTTCCAAGGCTTCCAAGATGGCGCCATTGGACGCCACGTGGCCGAACGTTGTCCAGGGACTAACCTCTTGGAACTTCAGCACGGTCTTGCGCGTGGATTCGAAGGAGCATGTTTTCTCGGAGGCCGAGGCTAAGGTTCGGTAGGTTCGGTCCCCGGCTTGGGTGATGCGGCTGAAGAAGGCTTGGAGGAAGTATGAGGCGAGTTTCTGGTCGATGTCGCCGTAGGGGGAGGCGAGTTCGTTGAGCATCCACATGAGTTGTTGGAGGCGCGTGGTGTTCTTGTCGGAGAGGGCACGTGCGGTTTCGAGGAGGATGTCGTGGGACCACTTGCCGGAGAGGTGGAAAGGGAAGGCAGCGTCGCGTGTGGGAGAGAAGGAGAGGTCGGTGGTGGTGGGGGTGGTGGTGGGTGTAGTGGAGGGAGGGTGGGGTTGATAGGGATAGTAGTGCTTGGAAGAAGACGAGGATAGGTCTTCTTCATCCATGAAAAAGTTGAAGCATTCTTCGTCTTCTTGTGGTGGGTAGGGATAGTTTTGCTGTCTGGAGGATCGAGAGCTGCTACTGGTGGTGGAGTTGTTGAGGGATTGATCTTGATCACCTTGAGCTTGTCCTTGAGCTTGAGGTTGGAGTTGATGTTGGAATCTCACTACCCCAAACAACGTCGTATCCATTTAAGGTTATTAGCCTTTGACTCGCATGGACATCAATTGGTCATTCACTAACACTCACTCACTCGCTCACTCGCTCGCTCACGTCCTCCCCACCTCAACCAACCAACCAACCAACCAACCCACCAAGCAAAGAAAATGGACGTAACGTGTTTTTAACGGTGGGAATTGTGGTGTGGCGGTGGAATTGGAATTTTGGAATGGATGGGATTCACACACTAGAACACAAAATTACGTAATTATTAATGAAATCTATGTGGGTTAAATTTATGGGGTGAGGTGGAAAAAAGTAGAATGGTATGGTAACCTCTCTCTTCTTTTTGTGGAATCGATGTGCGGGGGGAGGGAAGTGGGGTTGGGTTTCTTTTCTGGGTTATTCTTTTATTGGAGAGAGGTTGTTTATTGAAAAATAAAAGAAAAATATAAATGTGTAGGGGTTGTGGCCTAGCTGATGCTTAGAATAGAATTGTGTCTGACAAAAGATGAAAAATAACAAAGTGTGAGCAAAAGGTAGGGAGAAGAGATCCTTTTCATTGTTTGAGAGAGTATTTGATGAGTGGGAGCAGGCGTGCCAAAGTGCGAATTGGGTAGAGAGAGAGAGTAAAGCTGCCGGCGTGAATCATCTTCATCACTCACTCACTCACTCTCTTCTTCTCTCATCACCATAACGCACTTACTCTCCTTGCCTCCTAATCCTTCTCCAAACACTGCCAAAACTCTCACCAACTTTTTTCCTTTTCTATAACCCTTTGCATAATCCCACACATCACACTTTTAATCCCATTATTCTTTTCTCCTAATCCTTCTCAAACTTCTAGGGCATGCCCATCACTTTATCTCCACTCCTGTTTCGCGGATAAGCCTCATATATTTCTATATTCACCAAAAACTCCGCTTAACTTTCCGTTCCTCTCACTCACCCTACACCCCCTTAATCCTTGTTTTATTGCAATAAATTACTCCCCCGCCTGTGGCCCAGCCTTTCCTCATTGCAAATTGACGTCCCAATTTTTTATTTCATAAAACCACGTCTACCATTATCGCATGTTTTCTTCGGAGGAGGCTTCGCTACATCCACGTTTCCTTCATTTCATCACCCATTTTTATTATTATTATTATTCGACGCGTTTGCTGTGTGATGAAACTAGTTTTTCTTAATTATACCATTTGATTATTGTGTGGAGCTGGTCTTGTTCCAAAACCTGCACGGCTTCTTTATTTTGTTTTTCTTCATCAATCACTGTGGAAAAATTCACTTTATATTTTGAGCTCCGCTTGCTTAATCACTTCGTTTTCTGGTGGCCTTCTACACAAAACTTTCTTTTCTTTTCCTCTAAGCCATTAGTTCCCGACAAGATGAGACAGGTTTTTAGTAATGCTGAAATCCATAGATATAAGCAGAAAGAAGTGTATCTCTATATAGTTGATGAATTTATATAACAAATACTACAAGTGAATACCCTCCTCCTCCTCCTCTTCTTCTTCTTCTTCTTCTTCTTCTTCTTCTTCTTCTTCTCCTTCTCTGTGCTGCCAAGAAATAAAAAAAAACAAAAACAAAAAGGCATAGACGCGTAGCGCATAATTGGCGGCTTTTATCCTTTCTTTTTCCTCTGGTTGAGGTGAGCCCCATGGCCATTTTCTTTATTTATTTTAAAAGCTGTTGCATATGTAAGAAGCCTATAGTTGCTATGTCACTGCCTCAATTATAACATACTAGTTTATTTTCGTTTGGACTCTAGCAAAGATAGGAAATAAATTATCATTACACCTCATTTCACAATGAGTACGTAATTTACTTCTTTCATTTCATGACTTTCATCAATGCAGCAAATGAGATTAAACAAAGAAGAAGATAAACTGATGCTTATTAAAGGCATATAATATGACAGATGGTGTTTATCTAATAATTTTCTCAAGAAAAAAAATTGTTATTTTACTTATTCTTGAAATAGCAGTTGTTCTTAATTGTTGAAAAAGTTGAATTTTTTATGATGTATTGATGGATGATACACATGGGCCATTCTGCACCACAGTTTTGGACTCAATAATCTTGAAAAAGAAAATACAAGTTATGAAATGTGACAATTACTATTCAACGAACCCGTGCAACGCACGACCATTCTTCTAAATATTTTACATCCTTTTTCCAATTTCTTTTTTCATTTCATCGCCATGCACATAGTTTTCCACTCATTTTCCGTCTCATAACAAAATATATATATATATATATATATATATATATATATATATATATATATATATATATATATTCTTAACTGTTTAACGTGTCAATAAACTAAGAATATTTGTGTAGCCATTTGTGAACAGGTTTAACATGTCAATAAACGAATTAAAATTTGCATTAATTTCCATGAATGTTTATATTTAATTTTATTAATTAAAGGCGACTAAAAAAAATTGTCTTGAAAGTATAGTGTAAAATCTCAAATTTTAAATTTTTTAATTGTTTTGTTTGAATCTCTAAATTCAGTTGCTTATCTGTCATTTTGGTTCATAAGCACAAATCAGTATTATGATTTAATTTGTTATTCTTTATTTTAAATTAATGTAATTAGTATATTTATTTAAAATCTTTTTAGTTTTAAAGATTAATGTGACGACGTACGGTCTATATTTTTTAAGAATAAAAAAGGTATTTACCCAATTAAATATTAATATGTTTCCATAAAAGAGTATAATGTATGTATTTAATTCATAATTTTTGCATTAACATTTTTTTTATGTAAATAAACCATTGTGCGAAAGATTCATGTTCTTTTGGATTTCTTTTTTTATCAGTCACTGCAGCATTATGATGATACTGAATTATTGTATCCTTTGTACTGATGTAATTTTTATTTTGTTTTTTCCGTTGTCTTTGTATACCAAAAAAATAAATCAATATACCAATTTGGTTTTCGTAGGTTCTATAAAGCCATAGCACGTACAGTTTTTGTTCATATTCTTAAAGATAAATTAAAAAGGTTGACACCATAAAATATGCAATATTCCTTAAAAGACCCTAAAACAATTCATTGAAAGAGTGAATACTAAGAACTTCTAAAAAAAATTAATACAACATAATCAAGTATTTAACAATTGTTTTCTAAACGTGTTTCTAGCACAATTGTCTCCAAATAGAGATATGTAAGGAAAAAAAAACTAAATATTTAATAAATTATTATCAATAGTTGATACCACTCTTATTAAATATAGATATAAAATTCAAACTGATATAAATATTAAATTTTAATTCATTAAAATAAGATATTATAATAAAAATATATAATGCATCGTTTCCACTAGTCTAAATAATATATCATCACTTTATATTTTCTTTCACTTTAATCGTTTATTCATTTTTTTCCTTTAAAGTTATTACATTAAATAAATGATATTTTTTGGGGGTCAGAGATTTGTTCATTTCAGCATTAAGCAAACACGTGGACGCATTAGCAAAAAATAAAAGAATGAATGAGATTTATTTATCTGAGTCCAGTTCAATAAAACAGAAAATTTAAACTGTGTGAAACCTTATTCTTACGTTTACAACCTTCAAACCTTATTCTTTCTGGCTTTGAAGATTTCGAAACAAACGTGTTGGTCTGGTTATATGTGACATTTTTTTTAATTTTTGAGTCAGATACCAAGTAAGTCATTTAAATATTTTTTTGTTCTTACAATTTACATGCTAGAAGTCAGCATGTATAAATTGGTAAAAAACGACATTTTTATCATTAAATTAGTCAAATGCATATAAAAAGTGACACTTTTGTTTACCGATGCAAAAATTTACAAAAATGATGCTTTAAACAACAAGCTTCTATATTATGAAATCTATATAACCTTATTTTAAAATGGAGTTGATTTTTTTTTATTGTCTCCGAGGGTTGACATTTTACTAATTTATCATGTTGTCTTGAAGTTTAAAGTGGAAGTTATTTATATATTTTAAAATTATGATTTTATTCCCTTATAAGTTCATATCAATAGTTGACATTATACCAATTGATAAATAATTAAAAACATAGTTTATAAAAATCATATGAATATCCCATCAATTATTAAGATGATGCGACTAATCACTGACTATTAATGTTATTATTACATCATCTGTTAATTTGTTACTTGACAACAAAGAAAATATTAGCAAAAAAATGTTTAGAAACATAGACCAGTCAAAATTTTGAATAGGAATTAAAAAAAAGATCATAAGAATAAAAATGATAATTTTGGTTGACAACTAACAAAAATATCACGTAGATTGTCTAGTCGAACAAGTCAATGGAGTATATAGCAAATGTACACAACTTACACTCTGGAAACTTGAGAAGTTGACTTGTGCAACTAGATAGGTTCACTAATCAACCATGATAATCATTCAGCCCTTTCAATTTAGGCCCTTGGACTATGGACTATTCAGTCATGTGGATTGATTAAGCAATGGTGAGTGGGTCCTGTCCATAGTAAGACAATTCTTACAAAACTACTTGGTCTTATGAATATAGCAGGAAATATACTTCTAAGCCATCAAATGGATTGATCTGGCATGAGACATACTGCTAACCCATAAAATGGATTCCTTCCGCTTCCCACTTCCATTTGTTCTCCTTTGAATGGATGATGCATAGATTCCTCATTTAAATTTTACATTTTAAATAACTGAGTTTGATGTCTGTACAGTGAATTGTACAAGATGCCAAAATGTGACCAGGAGTCCGTCACTAAAGTCAATGAAAAACTAGCTACGCTCACTAACTTGAGGTGCCCTTGGGAATGCCACCCTAGCCTGAATTTACCATTCACGCCAGACAACTGATTACTGAGCAGGAATAAATGAAATTCCCTGCAAGCAAGCAAAAGTCGATTGGATTGATAACGCCCCAGAAAGTGAGGAACAGAGCTGTCAAAAGATGTACACAGCGCAACTCTGCCTTGGAATAGAGACGTATAATAGAGCTATGTATGTTAGACTAATACTATTTGGGAGAGCCAATCTATCTATCAAATCCAATAGCATATTATGAAATTCTGACAATGCAGCAACGGAACATGTGACAATCCAGACAATGATTCTATTCCGCTCGCATCCAATGAATACGCTATATATTGTACAAATCCTGAATGGCGTGCAAAATTTTTTCCTCTATATCCCCCCCAATGCAAATATAATAAGCTACACGAGAAGTTTACACATTTTTACAAATTGTACGAAATTGGGATTGTTACCACGCAGAAAAATCTTTAAATTCACTGCTGGCAACTCCCACTTTTCTTTTCTTTACTACAACGGCTGTGCCGGTGTCAAGGGTAGCAGCAGATGTAGCTTGAGCATTCCTAGCTTTCAAGTACTTGCCGACACCACCAGCAGCCCCCGTACCTCCAGATTCAGACGTTCCCGCGCCAGGATTGCTATACCATGAACCTACCTTACCCTGAAACATAAGACAAAGTTAACAAAAACCATGCAAAAGTGAGAGTGAAAACAAAAACAGTGAGATTATCTCAAATATTCTGGAACATTAACATTACATTATCTTCATCATCTACATTCTTCTCTTTGGCATTATCGTGCTCTTCTCCTTCATCTGGTTCTGTGTAAGGATTGACAAAAATCGTGACACTTGTTATCTTGATTTCCTCCTGCAATATAAGAAATGTATGGAACATAATGCATTGTTTGAAGTGACTAGTATAGTACTGTGGATAATGGTCAATAGTTCATTTCGGAAACATCAAATATTACACCAAGTATTGTTTATTATTATATCTACACTTCAAACCAATGAAAACTTGCCACACACAAAATGTATATTACTGCACTCGAGTTACTCTAAAGCTAAATGTTAATAAATGAAATTGCACAAACATTGTAATCCCGCACAAAACAATGATACGAATAGCAGTAGCACAAGAAATAGTACCCACAATGAAAAATTAATGCACAAAACCCAAAGTCCAAACTAGACAGGTGTAAGGGAAAAGAATATATTTATGCAGAAGATAACAAAATATGTACAACGGCAGAAGAATCTACTTTTTTTAAAGCAGATCCATATTTTGTGATCATATGTTTGTAATTACACAGGTTTAAACTTGATGCATTAGAGAAGAATAAAACCTAAAAAAAGGGGACAGTCTATTTCATCAACAGTAAGACGAAAGTAAGTCTCACCAGAGGTCGGTCATTATCATCAACTGGAACCTTTTCCATGGCTGCTAGTGTAGTCAAGCCACCGACAACTACTCCAAAAACTGTATGTTTGAAGTTTAGATGATTTGCAGACTTGTACAAGATGAAGAACTGGGAACCATTGGTGTGTGGGCCACTGTTTGCCATGCTTACAACACCCCTTCCAGAGTGAATTAGTTTGGAGTTAAGTTCATCTTTAAAGGGCTTTCCCCATATAGATTCCCCGCCTCGACCAGTACCAGTAGGATCACCACCCTGTATCATAAAATTCCTGCACAAAATGGATTAGGAGGCCGCAAAAATCCAAGGCTTAATTTAATCCAGGGAGAAAGACGCAGAGGATGCTATTATACCTGATGTTTCTATGAAAAGCAACTCCGTTATAAAATCCACGCTCACAAAGAGTGATGAAGTTTTCACACGTCCTAGGTGTTATATCACAATGTAGCTCAATGTTCAAATCACCATGTGTTGTATGCAGTTGTACGTAACCCTTTTTCTTTGGATTCTTCTCAACTTTCACATATTCAAATTCATTTTTTGTAACTGGATCAAATGATGTTGAAGTAAAAGACCGGGAAGCAGCACCAGTTGTGAAACGACTTTTTACCTGCCACAGGTAAACTACATTAGGAGTTGATATCATAGCAAAGTGAATACTGCCCTCTCTTTTTTTAAGAGATTTAATAAAAAGGCATTCATGTGTATTTGCCAATAGGTGAAACTTCATTAGAAGTTGATAGAGCATACAAAGTGATCGCAGGCCCTCTCTTCTGTTGGAGATGTAGAATAAAATCGTTCATGTGTCTTTATACTTAACCCAACAGCTTAAGCTTCTAGGTTAAAGACACACGTATGGTTTTGTTTTGGTTTAATATTTCATCAATAATATCGGTTAGGAACAAATATGGCAAAAGTAGTCTTTATAAGACTTGCAATATCCAACCCCCTTTTGAGTTAGGTCTTGATGTTATGTTAGGGCCAATCTATTCTCATTTCTAATATGGTAGTCTGTAAGTCTATCCAATTGCTATTTGGGTTACCTGAAAATGTTCAATCTTATAAACTTCATGCATGATCTATGATGTACAATCCTAGGTGTGTGAGTGGGTTGGGCGGGGGAAGTGAGGTTAAGCTCAATTGGCTTGTCATTTACCCTGGACAATCTTCCTCCCTTGAGCTAATAATTTTGGGGTGACTTAGGTCCTATACTTTGTCATGTCTAGCAAAAAAACCGTGTGTAGCAGATATATTACAAATTCGTTCAGGACTGTTCCACCTATAAATAAACTCAAGTCGTTAAGTGAAAAGACATTAATGGTTTTAGGGGTAAGTTAGGTCCAATCCCTGGCTATTTCTAGTATAAAACCATGCGTTACAGATGTAACATAAAATCATTCGTGTGATTCCCCACCAATAAGCTTAAGAGATGAGACATTAATGAATTTTTTATATTATATCTGTAAAATTTTCATTCTGTACACTGAAAGGATCATTTAATTGCACACGTAAGCTACCAATATGTATTGGTGAATAAGAGGATACATCTAAGAAACTCACCATCTTTGCATTCACTGGTGCCCTATCACCAGACATATGCATAGCTATTCTGGCTGCAGTTTTATCACCTGATGAGGCTTTAGCAGCAGCTGCACTTCTTCCATGTACTGCAGCAGATGCAGCATCTACAATACTAAATGACTGAGGAGCTTTGGCCTCTTTATTTGGATTTGAATTGGAATCTTCCTCAACACGGGACCTTGCAGCTATGATGGCAGCAAGTGCAGCAGCCCTTTCTTTTTGTGCCTTGCCACCACCTCCCCCATGCATTGCAGTTTCCTTTCCTTTCTCGGTTCCAAGCTCCTGAAGCATTTGCTTTATATCACCCGACATGTTTATGTTATAGGTTGGATCTGAACTCATTTTCTGTAGTTCTGAAGGGAGAAAAAACTGAATGCATCAAAGCTAATACTAACAACATCAACAAAAGCAGCAATATCAAGATTCAAGATCAATATGAGATTAACAGCTGGTGAAAGATGAATCAGCTAGCATACCTTCATCATCAACTTTCAAACTATTTTTAATATGATCAAAATCCAGAAGAACCTTGCTGTCAAGTGCATTAGGATTCTGCACATAGCTGATTTTAAGACAAGGAAAGATGAAGAAACAGAAAAAAGTTTTTGTTCACACCCAACATACCTGAATGGTTATAAGGTCATCCCTTGTGAATGGCTCATCAGTGAGGAGCTCCTTCCAGTTTTTTATCTTAATGTTCAACTCTTTCACAGCCTAATTCCCATAACTTACATAAATATAAATAGCATCTACGTAAGAAATAGGCATTATTAAAATCAAGGATCCCAAAAAAAAAACACCTCATAGCAGAACACATTTCCTGTAGTCTTCACTGCAATAATATGCGTAAATTCAGTGAAAACTTTATTTAGCACTGGACAATGATATTCTCCTGCAGAATGACAAAGAAAGGTTAATCAATACAAAACAACTAGCAAACTGTAGATAAAATATTTATTGAAATTAAAATAGTAAGGAAATGTTGTAAGTACTTAGACAAACATAAAAATGATCAAGTGAGGGTAAAAAAGGAACTGTAATAAAATAGTAAGGGTACAAAATGGAAGAAAAAAATAAGCAATAAGTTTATAAGCTACAAACTACCTAGTTAGGAGGAAGCAAGAAAAGAAATGAGAAGGAATAAAATTTTATTGGGTTGAACGGAAACAACAGGAAACAGGAGAGATATCTCTCCTACCCGAGAGATTCCTCTATGCAAAGAGTTAGTACTCAATTACAAAGGAGACCGATCTCCCTGAATTCCCTCCCCATCAGTCCTATTTATTTAGGTCTTCAATTCAATCTAACTAACTGCTAATTCTAACTATCATAACTAATCCCAATTCTCTATAGTCCTAATTTTAAGTAACTCACATGTGGGGTCCATAATAAATAATAGATTACTTTATTAAGAAATTCTTCCAAACAACTCTTTTTGGATATGCTCTAACTAACTATTATTTTCATTCTAACTACTAACTCCCCCTTCCCATAGTACTAGCAATATCATCTAAATATCAACCTTGTTCTCCAGGTTGAAATTGTGGAAGCCCGATCCAGATAAATAGTTTTTCTCAATATCTCATTAAACTAGATGTTAGCACAACTTGGTCAATGCAGGTTGAAGCAGAACTCAAATGCAACAATAAGCGTGTGGATTAATGTAGCCTGTTTTGCTCTGTTGTCTGTAGCATTGTGGTGCTTTTCCCCCATAGGGTTGGCCTCTGCAATCAAGTCCAAGAATGAGTTTGGTTGGCATAGCTTCCAATTTTCTGCTCCTTTATGAATCCAATTCCTTCAACCCCTTATGACCTATTCGGTAAATACTTCAAGCCACTGTCAAATTCCAAATTTTCCCCTTCCTCATTTCATCAGAACCATGTCATTAACTCTAACTGTATATGGCTAAAGTAACTTCATGGGTAATCCACTACAAGTTAGTGAAATATGTTTGTTTAACAAACTTTTTTATTTGGTCAAATGACTTTATAAGTTAGACAATAAGCTACATATTATATATTAAATGGCATGTCAGACACACTCATAACATAAACAAATTCGGGAAATCCATTAACACAGATCCCAACTTCTCCCCAAGAAATGGAAGCACACCATATGTATTAGAGAAAACAACAGTTTGAATTTGAGTAGCGACAGGGCTACACAAGAATAGCATCTGTAAAAGAAAAACAAATTGTGCATGATATTATTTGACCAGCTTCAGAAAAATCTTGGCAAGTCTAACTAAAAATACTTTATTTACAAAATGATATCAATGTAATATAAGTATATAACTGACACTATTAGCAGTAATTAAGTTTGTTCCTTTGAAAAAAAAAAAAAAAGAGTATAGATATTGGCATTCCATTGACGGTCCAACATCCACAATTCTAGAGTCAACTTGTTTGCTGTTATAAGGAACTAAGGATCTCTGTTTTCCAGGAGAAAATATTTTGTTCTTAAAAAACATTGTCATTAAGATCTCTTAATTTCTACCATGTTCAGCCATCCAAGTCCATGGAAATCTGCAGAAACTTGCCACTTCAATCATAATTATAACCACTATTTTGAAAACCGAAAACCAGCCTAAAAATTGGAATGTTGCTTCCAAATAACTAAACTTTAATTAAACCGGGACAAAATCGGAAAAACTAGGACAAAACTGGTAAAACCGTCTGGATTTTTGGATCGAATCTATTTTGGTAAAAAAAAATTTAGGATCAAATTTTTTTAATAATTTTTTTATCTCATATTAGTTATGTCAACTTTAAATAATAGTTATTTTATTGTATTTTTATCTTATTTTAACAATTATTCATCTTTCACTCTCTAATATATTTCATATTTATAACTTTCATTGTAGCTTATGGTAAATATGACAGTAATCTTTATTATTTATCTTTCTTTTTATAAAAACATCATTACTAATAAACTTATTATATATTTATTATATTATAAAAATATTATTTTATTAAATCCAATTGAACCTTTAAACCTAAACCCATATCTTCACCGATTCAGTAACAGGTCCGATTTTAAAAACATTGATTATCACAAATTTGATTAGAAAGTAATATAAAACAAATACCAGACCTTGGCTATAGACTAAATTTTAAATGGTAATTTTTGAAATTTCTACATCAACTAGAGAAATGGTCAAATTATAATATATAAGTGAAGTTTCACTTACAGGCTAGTCTTGTGAATTGAGTGAGGCCAATATTCACTTTCTAATATGATATTAGAGTCAATGCTAACTAGGTTTATTAGGTCTGTTGTACCACCCGCTATCAGACCACCCATATCCTCAATATAAGAGGTTGGGTTGAAATTTCTACATTGATTAGAACTATGACCAAGTGATAGTATATAAATGGGGTACAAACTTCATCTTATAAGCTGGTTTTGTAAAATTGAGATAAGCTACTATCCATTTTCTAATAGAGTATGCATAATTATCTGAAATATTTATTTCAATCTTTCAACCTATGGAAACTACATTCAGTCACTCACAAAAAATTCCAGAATAATTAGTCTTGCAAAAAGTGCAGCATTGCCAATAATGTGATCATAACATAATAGGTACACACCATAGCATTTCCATTTGACATTGGTAATTCAAAGTGTTGGAAAGGCACCTTAATTATGGTCACCCCTAGCACAACATAGTTGCAGTCTTGGAACCTTGAGGATAATGGTTTAATCCTACATCAACTAGAGATGTGGGTTAAATAGAGCTGCTAAAGTTTGGACTCTTCACCTTACAACTTAGTTGTATTATAAGATGGTATCAAAGGTTATCTTAGTTCTACTTCCTGAAATTTCCACACTCCAGACTGGATGCGCTGATCATGAGGGAAAGTGTTGAAAAACCACCTTATTCGTGGCCACCCCTAACTTGCCTTAGTTGCGGCTTCTTTAGGGGTTTTCTTAATTGCAGCTTCAAGGGTGGTGGTTTACTCCTACATCAACTAGAAATGTGACATAAATAAAGATTACCAAACTTAGTCTTCCCATTATAAGCTAGTTTTGCAGGATTGAATTAGGTCTTCCCAAATTCTAAGACAATGTAGAGATATCTCCATTTAATATGTTAAATCTTGAGGAACCAAAAGGGTCCAAAACCTATTTACCATCATACTTTGACACAATGAAATTAAGTGACCAAAAAGGGACTTTCATTTCTTCCTTTTTCTTCTCGGGTGATTGGGGAATGTAACAAAAGTTACTAAAATATATTCTCTAATTCTCGCTTAATAATATCATCATTGTGGGAACACGGGTATTTCAAATTAGAGGAGCCCACACATGGCAGCAGTGTCTCATACCAAGAATTAGAATTGAAGCTAACACACTAAAAAAAGATTAACTCAACGAGCCTATCAATAAAACACCCAGATGAAATGAAGCAATTAACTTAAAAGAATGAACAAAAGAAAATAAAAACCCAACTTAACACAAAATTATGAAGAAAAAAAAATAACCTTCTGAATTCTTGTGGAAAGTTAGTGGAATGAGATCCGGCAGCTTGAGAGGAGTTCCAGTTACTGGGTGTTTACCGTATTTTATAATATAGGGAGTTATATTCCTGGAGCAAATTTGAAAAATCAATCTATCAATCAAATAATTGGTAACAAAAGGGAAAACTTAAGGGACGCAGAGATACTCACATAATATCGAAAACACTGCCATCAGCAGTGCAGACAGGTTCTTCAAACGGCGTAAAGGTAAGCCTAAAACAAGGAAAACAAATGAATGAATGAATGGAAAATTGAGTGAAAAAAGGGTAAGAGAGAGAGGCTATAAGGATTGGTACGAGCAGCAATAGAAGGGAAGACGTTTGAAGGGAATGCGATTGTCTTTAGATTTAGCGCCTCCCCACTCCGTTGCCCACTCCGTTTTGGTGATGAACATCCTGTCTTTGCTGTGTTGCTTCTTACCCATAGTTGCTGCTAGGGTTCTTCTCAATCACTGATAAATAACTTTGTTCGTAGTTGCAGTTGCAATTGCAATTGAACACACCTATTTATATGATTCTGCTTCACTTTCTGGGGATATTCAGAAACGGACTCCGCCGCTCGATTTTTCTCCCCTCTCACAACCGCCTTGGCACGACCATGCGATTCACTTAACACCGCCGTTAAGTCGTTCCTGGACCGGGTTTATTCTTGGGTTGGGTAGTTCTTTTTGACATTTCAAAAATCAAATCAAACGGGTCCTGAAATTTTATTAAACAAAACTTGTTATCATAATTGTTTATTTAGAAAATTAATGCTTGAATTTCTTAAAAATTATTGGTGAGTAGAATTAAATACTTATTTTGGGCAGTAACTTATTTTCAGAGACGAGAGTGATTTTCTTTACTCTCAGTTAATTCGCTTTTTATATTATTGTAATTTTCACACGTAACTTATGAACGTGAAATTGATTTTTTCAAATCTTACACATTCTTGTCTTTAAATTTAAATCACATTTTATTTTAAAAACTACTACTATTTTTAATTTAAATTAAACTAGCAGTATGGTTATTTTGTTCCATTTTAAATTACCTCTTATTTTATTTCAACTTTCAACAAATTTTACTCTTTAAATATTATTATTATTATTATTATTATCATAAATGTACTATTACTTTTTGAATTTGAATACCTATTTTTGTCACATTAATTTGATACATTAAAGTATATGTTAAGATAAAAATAATGTAACTCCATTAATTAAGGAACTAACAGTAAATCATGTTAAGATATAGAAATTCTAGTATTCTCCATTTCCTACGTTGATAATAATATCTCACGTTAATCTCTCATTTACTAACAGTAAATTTGTTTATTCTGGTTATTTTTTGGGTCTGCCAAGTCAGTTTTTGTAGTTTGATACATGGCTAGTTCGAAGTATGAAAACATTAGGCATGTGGACAGATTGACTTAAGGTAGCCAAAAACGTCCTCACAGACACTACAGTACACATTCAATGACAAGCATTATTTGCTCAAGTTTAGAGTTCATACACACTAACTTCTTATGTCTTTTTCCTCACATCATAATACCAATCAACTTCATACACACTCAACCTATATAATGAAGTCTTAAATACAATGAAGCTGTGAAGAGAAATTTTTCATGCGCCTTGCTACCAGATGGAAGCATATGAGTGGGGAAACGATGATTTCCTTGCTGCTGGAATGAGCAGATTTTTTGTGCCTCCGACTGTGTTACATTTATTATACCTAGGACAACAAACTGGGAAGACAATCCCCATTCAAGAAATGTCAGGCCCGGAGGTATCCATTTTTATCCAAGTAGGATATTACTATTTCTGTCGTATCACCCAGAGGCGTACATTCACTTCCTTTTTGTTCTAATACTATCTGCAAGAGAATGAGAAAGTTTAATCAAAGTTCTGCAGAAGTTTAAAAGGGAAACCAGGGGCTACACTATTCTATCATCTCATTCCCAATGTCAGTTTTTCCTTCGAAGTTGGGTACCGGGCAACAAATAAATTAAAAAAATTTCTAATTAAGTCAATATGGTATATTTAAATTTGTTCGTAATATTGTTCTTCTTTCACACTGTGTTAATCTAACACCAGTGCAACACAAGTTATGCAATAAATACCCACCTCACAGCTATATGGTGGTTCATATGGATCGTCTATCCCCGTGAAACCTGAAAATTTTCCAAACAATAATTCAGATTGATTCAAATTCGATCAGCAATAAAAAGAGAAATAAGAACAATCTAAGCAGATAACCAGGTGAAGCTAGTGCAGTTGAATAGCAAACACCACCACATGCGTGACTGATAACACATAACCAATAGTCGAAGAAGATACCTATTAAAATATTAAACCAAGATACCTTTGATCTTTCCAGCTCGAGCAAGCTTATAGAGTCCCTTCGGGTCCCTTGCTTCACACACCTCTAGTGGCACGTCTAGGAAAACCTGCAACATGTGTAAGTTGATAATTGTAAAATTTGCAATGGAAATAATGAACCTCCTGTCTTATTTAATAATCATAGTGTTCACCATTGGTAGCACTTAGCAAAGTGAAACAACTATCCTAGGTTGGCTCTCCACAATAAGAATGTACCTCGATAAAATTTCCCTCTGGCAATAGAGCTCGACAAGCATCCCTATCCTTTCGGTAGGGAGATATTAAACTAGTGATACAAATAAGACCTGCATCTGCCAAGAGCTTTGCAACCTCACCTGAAATTTATTTGTCATATGTTGTTTGAATATGAATAAATATTAAGTTATAGCAAAATTCAAAATGGGGAGAAGAACTTCTGTGCATATGTTCATATGCACTAACTAACCAATCCTTCGTATGTTCTCTGAACGATCTTCTGCTCGAAAACTAAGATCACGGTTTAGACCATGTCGAATATTGTCGCCATCAAGGATATAAGTCAACTTTCCTCTGGAATGCAAGCTTCTACTCAAAGCACATGCCACAGTGCTTTTTCCTGAAATCAATGTCTCTCAAGAGTCAAATAGCAGAGAGATTGAGGGTGTCGGTATCCGCTCTCTAGGAGAATGAAAGGGAAGGGAATGTATCCTTATATTCTAAGAAACTGAACGCAGTTGCTTCATTTTCTGGGTTCACTATCAGTGGATATTCTACAGCAGAGACAATTATAATTGGAAGTAACGTGCAACTGCTTCATAAAAGACCTTACTATTATTTAAAGCATTCATAAGCGAAGACATAATTTGAAGACCGGCTTTTCTTTCATTCTTATCAGTCAAAGTGGTCAAATGTGGTTGCATGGATCAGAGAAAAGAAGTTGAAATTGTACCATCGAAAAGAAAAGTAGCAGAGAATGGTACATAGTTAACAAGACATTGCAGCATTTTAAAGGTTTAGCTGTACAACAACAATATGAGACGTTATGAAAAAAAGAGGTATACCGAAACAAATGTTCACTCTTTCTGCCTGTGCATATATAATATCGAAAGAATGAACATCGATCAAACGCAAGAACAATCAGAACACCATCAAAATCTTGGATGCATTTAAGAATGATGAAACCAATTGTGCTCTTATTTAAACCTAACAACAATGAACTAAAGCGAGTATTCAGAAACAATGACTATATATTTAAAATTTGACCGAATTGCTGTTGGGAAAAATATGCGGAATCTTCCCATATGGTCAGATCTGTGAAAGTGAAATAAAAGCGGAATAATTGCACACACAAGTTGATAACGGAGTTCGGCCAATAATGCCTACGTCTCCGGACTACTACAGATCTCTTACTAGGAGAAAAGAAAAATACACAAGTGTTTACAAAACACTCCCAAAACACTCACAACTCACAACCCAATTACACCCAGAAGCTAAACTAAAACTCTCTAGTTTTTCTGCCTCTCACTGGTGCCACTCTTTCTTCTCTAAGAGAAGTAGTATTTTGTGTGGGATGGGATGCTCTTGCTTGTAGGAAGAAGACCAATTTATAGCAAAAAATTGGCACTATGCATTACATTAAAATATGTCCCATGAGCACCTCATGGTTACATAAAAAATTTGGCAGCCACCCTTGCCCACTTTCTTTGACCAATTGCGGCCACCCTTGCCCACTTTCTTTGACCAACAATCTCCCACTTGAGGACCGATTTCAATTTGTCCTCACACCTTGATCAATAGTAGTCTTCTCTTGTGCTGTTATCCTTGTAAGCTAACCGAAGTTGAGCATAACTTCGGTTTGTCAATAGTCACCACCTTTGTTAGCATATCTGTCTGGGTTCTTACTTCCCACAATTTTCTTCAATGTTAGCATCTCATCCTCAAGTAGAGATCGATGAAATGATAACGTATGTCGATGTGTTTGGTTACGGAGTGAAATGCTGAATTTTTTGCCGGATGTATTGCACTACGACTATCATCGTGCAAAACACTCCTTTCTTGAATGAATCCCAACTCGCCAACAATCCTTGAAGCCATATCAATTCTTTGCTGGCTTACATCACTGCTACATACTCGACCTACGTAGTGGATAAAGTAACAATCTTACGTATCCGTGACATCCAACTAACAGTTGTAGTTCCAACGAGTAAACACATACCCGAGTGGTGCTTCTTCGGTGATCAACTTCACCTCCAAAGTCTGCATCTACGTAGCCACGCAATTTTAGATCTCCTTTTCTAAAATACGGACATTTTTCGTTGTGCCTCGTAGATACCTCGGAATCCATTTGATTGCTTCCCAATGAGCTTTTCCTGGATTTGACATGAATGCGCTTACAACTCCCTTTGCATGGCCAATGTCCGGCCTCGTACGGACCATCGCGTACATCAAACTTCCAATGGTTGAAGCATACGGAATCTTAGCCATTAACTCTTCTTCTTCCTTCGTTTGAGGAGGCTGATCCTTGGATAGACGAAAATGGCAAGCCAAAGGTGTATTGATTGGTTTGGCATTGTCCATGTTGAATCTCTGCAAAACACGGTTGATGTACTCCGCTTGAGATAAGCTGCAAAACTCCTTTTTGCTTATCTCTCGTGATTTGCATTCCAAGAATCTTCTTTCTTTGGGCCTAAGTCCTTCATGTCAAATTCTTTTGACAACTGCTTCTTTAAGTTTATGATCTCATTCATATCTGAACCTGCTACTAGCATATCATCAACATAAAGTAGCAAAATGATATAACTGGACTTATACCTTTTGAAGAAACAACGGTGATCGGCGTTGCACTTCGGAAACTCTCCTTGTGCATGAAGCTTTCGAACTTCTTATACCACTTGTCTTGGAGCTTGTTTCGGGCCATACAAGCTCTTTTTCAATCTGCACACCAAGTTCTTCTTTCCTTCGAAAAACCTTCGAGTTGGTGCATGTAGATCTCCTCATCTAAATCTCCATGAAGAAATGCGGTCTTCACATCTAATTGCTCTAGGTAGAGCTCCTCACTAGCCACAATACTTAACACGATCCGATAGTATTGAGCTTTACAAGCTGGAGCAAAGATTTCGGTGTAGTCGACTCCTTCTTTCTGCTGAAATCCTTTGACGACCGGTCGAGCTTTGTATCTCTTAAAACCATCATGGTCTTCCTTCACTCGATACACCCATTTGTTGTGAAGTGCTTTCTTTCCCATAGGTAACTTGACTAGTTCCCATGTCTGATTTGAGATCAAAGACTTCATCTCGTCTTTCATGGCAAGCTCCCACTTGCTAGCATCCGTGGCTTGACAAGCTTCAGTATAATCTTCAGGCTCCCTCCATCGATCAACAACATATAGTCCATGTATCTCCTGTTAGGCACATGAGGCCGAGAAGACCTTTTCAATACGGGAGTTGGAGTAGGAGGTTCCGCTTGCACATCAAGTTCTTCAACTGATTCCTCCGGCTGAGGACTCCTCATTATAGGACTTTCTGGGATATCTTCCACCTCTGCATAAAGCTGGCCCACTCGCTTCCGAGTTGCTGGCACCTGTATTATGCCTGTCCTTGTACATCACTCTTTCATTGAAGATTACGTCTCTGCTGCGGATCATCTTTTTGTTTTCATCGTCCCATATGCGGTAGCCAAACTCATCTTCACCATAACCAAGGAAAGTACATTTCTTTGATTTTGGATCAAGTTTGTTTCTGCCTTGATCAACGATATGCGCATATGCTACACAGCCAAAAACTCTAAGATGTGAGAGTTTTACCTCTTTTCCGCTCCATACCTCTTCTGGTATCTTGTGTTCCAATGGTACCGATGGACTTCGGTTGATCAAGTAAGCTGCTGTGTTGATCGCTTACGCCCAAAGCTGCTTTGGTAAGCCTAACTGCACACGCATGCTTCGGCCCTTTCGATCAACGTTCGATTCATACGCTCAGCTACACCATTGTGTTGAGGCGTACCGACACGGTTCTCTCCATTCGATTCAGTGCTCATAGCAAAACTTCTTGAATTTGGTGTCTACATATTCACCACCATTGTCGGATCCGAGCTTCTTAATCTTTAATCCTGTCTCATTTTCCACCATAGCTTTCCATATCTTGAAAGCTTCAAATACTTCGACTTATATTTCGGAAAGTAAACCCATACCTTTCGGAGTGATCATCAATGAAAGTCACGAAGTAATGCTTCCCACCAACGGATGAGACAGTCGTTGGACCCCAAACATCGAGTGGATGAGCTCAAGCTTCTCTTTCTTTGGGGTTCTTTTACTTGTCTGAAAGTCGACTCTCTTCGCTTTCCAAGTATGCGATCTTCACACATGTCAATATCTATCGGTCGAAGACCTGGTAATTTTCCTCTCGAGTGCATGACCTTCATTCCTTTCTCACTCATATGTCCAAGTCTTTGGTGCCATATGTTGGAATTTTCATTTGTTGCAACTGCAATCAAATGACATGCTCCTGCAGTCTTGTAGAGAGTTCCACTCTTTTTGCCTCGAGCAATCGTCATCGCACCTTTTGAGATCTTCCATTCATCACCGTGGAAGATTGTCGTATAGCCTTCACTAGCTAAGCGACCTACTGAGATTAAGCTCTTTGTCGGGTCGGGAATATGTCCGACATTTTTCAATTCCCATACGGACCCATTCGAGCTTAATCCTTACTGCACCTTTGCCTACAATCTCACATGATTGTTCATTACCAAGGTAAACCTTACCAAGGTTTCGGGAACATAATTCTCCAACAGTTCCTTCTGTGAGGTAGCATGAAAAGATGCTCCGGAGTCTAACACCCAAGACTCCTCCCTGCCTTCAAGAGAGCATATCAACGCCTCATCTTTTCCTGAGGTGGAGGCAACGTTTGCTTCGTCCTTTGCTCCTTGATTCTTCCGTGCACTCTTGCACTGGTTTCTGAAGTGTCCGGTCTTCCCACAATTCCAACACTCGATCGTTTTTGAGTTGTGGGAACTACGATGATTTCTGGACTTGGACCGCCTGTCCTTTGATTTTCCATGTCCAATTTCTTTGGTTGAACTTCTTCCTCTTGACTCTGTATGCAATACTGAAGAGGTTGATGCTTCACCCGACTCTCTCCGCCGGATCTCTTCGCTGAGAACCAAATTTTGAACATCATTAAATCTTAACTTATTGTTTCCAGATGAGCTACTCACAGTCTGTGACCGTAGCATTCCAACTCTCCGGTAGGGAAGACAAAAGTATTAAAGCCTGTACTTCATCATCGAATTTGATGTCAATAGAACTCAACTCGGGTTGTTATAGTGTTGAGTTCATTGAGATGATTTGCCACCGAAGCACCTTCAGACATCCGCAGGTTGAACAATCGCCTCATCAAGTGAACTTTGTTTGAGGCTGATGGTTTCTCGTACATGTTGGAAAGAGCCTTCATGAGATCTGAGGTCGTCTTTTCTTTCACAATGTTGAAAGCAACATTACGGGATAATGTTAGACGAATAACTCCAAGAGCCTGTCTATCAAGGAGTCTCCATTCTTCCTCTTTCATGGTTTCTGGCTTCTCCCCTGTGAGTGGTTGATGCATCTTCTTCTGATACAGATAATCCTCTATCTGCATCTTCCAGAAGCCAAAGTCTGTACCGTCGAACCTTTCGATTTTCATTTTTCCTTCGTCTGCAGCCATCACTCCAACTCGATCGACTTATCTGCTTGGATCGTTTCGACAATTTACGTGAGCTACCGTGTTTCGAACACGATTGCGGGCAAATTTGTAACGCCGACAAAATTTGCACTATTCACGTTTTCACTATTCACGGAATAGTAACTTACTATTCATATGAATAGTAACACCACAAAAATTACAGAACTAACAACCAGCTCTGATACCAGTTGTTGGGAAAAATATGCGGAATCTTCCCATATGGTCAGATCTGTGAAAGTGAAATAAAAGCGGAATAATTGCACACACAAGTTGATAACGGAGTTCGGCCAATAATGCCTACGTCTCCGGACTACTACAGATCTCTTACTAGGAGAAAAGAAAAATACACAAGTGTTTACAAAACACTCCCAAAACACTCACAACTCACAACCCAATTACACCCAGAAGCTAAACTAAAACTCTCTAGTTTTTCTGCCTCTCACTGGTGCCACTCTTTCTTCTCTAAGAGAAGTAGTATTTTGTGTGGGATGGGATGCTCTTGCTTGTAGGAAGAAGACCAATTTATAGCAAAAAATTGGCACTATGCATTACATTAAAATATGTCCCATGAGCACCTCATGGTTACATAAAAAATTTGGCAGCCACCCTTGCCCACTTTCTTTGACCAATTGCAGCCACCCTTGCCCACTTTCTTTGACCAACAATTGCACAAACCTGAACCACTGAGACCCGTTAACCAAATGACGCAGCCCTTTTGCTGAAGAAGATGCTCTCTATCAAGTTTCTGTATAGGACATTCATGCCACAAAATGTTCATCGAATTCCCAATATTTGACAACTCGCTGAGAGTTTTACCTGGACAGATAATAACCGGGTTAAATAGTTTAAATAGTTTAATTATCCACTTTTTTTTTATTATAACCATATTGCTTAGTTGTAGTAGATATTAAAAGTTGAGTTTTTTTTTCTTAAAAAAAATGTTGTCAACGGCTAGTAAAAAGCTCAAACAGTAACTTGATGAAGTCCATGAGATTTCTAGTTTCAATAATTAACAGTGAAGAGAATAGTCAATTTTTTTTCCAACGAAATTATGTCTATTTGGACAATCACCTTCGAAACCTCACTTTTTGCCTGATCTTATGCACAGGTTTCACCGAGGATCAGATATTCCTGATAAATCTACCACTAATTTTTTGTTCTCCATCTCCAAGAACGACTCAAACTCTCTTCAATGGTTTATAGGTCAAGAGGCATTGGTGAATATGTGGGCAGATTTTAACTTGACCGTTTAGCCCAAGAGAAACTTAGACACAAATATATCGTAAAAATATTCTCTAACATCATACACCACATCATTTAACTCGTGCCATATTATCCTTTTAAGTATTTTTGAGTGGTTGAATAAAATTTTATTGAAGAATTTTTATGTAGCAGAGCAAGGACAGAAACATTAATGCAGCAACAAATCACTGATTTGTATTTGACCTTGAACAGGAGGAAATTTTACAGATGAGACAGTTGGCATTCTTGATTAATTTACAGTACAGCAAGGCCAAGAACATCAACTTGTCCATTTTTATTCAATACGAAACTTTATATTTACATTTACATTCCAAAATCAATCCACTATCATCCAAGAATAATGATTAAAATCCAAATCCCACATTCCATTGACAAACAATAGAAAATAACAATACTAATAGAAAATGAAAATAGAGATAGTAGTACCAGATAATGCTGCGGAGTGATTAGCCAAATGTGTAAGGACAGGCTTCTTCACTTCATGTCCGTCATCGATCAAAGACGCGCCACTATTTTCCTTTGCCATAATCGGCTTCAACAAGCTTTTACGACTACCACTTAATCCAACTGCACCGATTTCGCAGAATTTGGTGAACCCTAACTTCTCCGTCGCCGAATGTCCGCATTCGACGCTCTGCAACTTATGGCAACTACACGGCGGACACAGTGCTTGTACAAAGCTCATCTCCGCCAGCAGAAAAGAAAACTAAAATGAAGCTTGTGTTAAGCTAGACCTGAAAATGTACAAGACACTGTCACTGATTAAATAAAACAACATATATAGGTTTACATGTTCATATACATCACTAAGAAACTAGCAGAATCTTCCGAAGGTAGATTTTCCTGTGAAGTGTAATTTATACAACGTACGAAATGAGTGAGCGTTGTGCTTTCAGACAATTGAAGCAGAAGCGAAGCGAAGACGCATCATCTTGTGGTGGAGGTTAGGGTGGTGGTGGCGGGAGCTGAACTACGTATTTTGTACAGGCACGTTAAGGTGGAAAATGAGAATTGGGGGTTGAGAATAACGAGGCTTATTGAATACTGAAAAGTAATGTGTGGTGCCACGTCAGAAATCACGAACAATGCATTTGCCGTTGTTGTTAATAATAATGATGTTGGCTAAACTTACTCGTGTTGAGTAGTCTTTCATTTTGAGTCTCATTAAAAGTAAGCATTCCGTAACCTGTATGGTCACTACTTGCTCCCAGTTAGTATTATTTATGTTTAATACCTCCAAATAAAGACAGTTGCATGTAAAAAGCGTTAAAGAGGACAAAGTGTTTTGATTTGTGATAAAACTGCAGATATTGTGATTTGTATATATAATGTTTTGGCCAAGCCAATGGTTTATCCAATTACTATCTTTTATGAAATAATTAATTAGTATCACACTTCCCATCAGTGGTTGAATTAAATCAATAATTATGATTTAAGTGGAGACTCTGTGCACTGCTACAGTTACTCACTGCTTCCTTTATTTCACCCTCATCTTATCTCTAAAATATTTTTTAATTAAGTTTGTTCAAAAACATCGTGCTTCAGTATTACTAAAACTATTTCTAACAAATTTTAAAAATAAAATAAAATATATCCTGAATATAATTTATTTTATATCAAAATGGAGAATGTCAATGTTTTTTATTTTTAAAAAATTATAATAACATTATCAATTTTTTAATATTTTAAAATATAAAAGTAAAAAAAAAAAATTCTACTTTATTCCCTCTTATCTATAATCATAATTTAAAAAATAGCACAGGTTAAAAAAAATTATAGGTGTTTCTTCATGAGTTCATTCATATATATTGTTGTTTATGATAAAAAAAATCTTGAGTTTAGAAAATATAATAATATTGTAATATACAGGTAAATATAATATTTATTTTATTAAACTAATTTTATAAGATTGAATTAAGTATAAAAATAATAAAATTTATAAATTTCTATATATTATATTTAAGATTAATAATAATTTTAAAATAAAACAATACTGTTAATGTGTAATGTGAAATATAATATAACATTTATCAATATATAAATCATAGATAAATATCTATCTTTTCATTTGACATGTCTAAATCTTTCTAAACTTCGTTATGTTCGATGATTTTGGTTGATTCTCGTAAATAAATCCAAAGGTAAAGTATACGAGAAAAAAAATCATCTTATTCGAACTTCTTGTGTAATGAAATTCATTAAGAGAGTTTATCTCCTAAAGTTAATAATAACTTGACCTTATAAATCATCTCTCAATTAAACGTAATCTTATTAAAACTTGTAATATAATAGACTTCATCAAGAAATATCCTTTAAAAGTAATAACCTATTATAATTTAAAACATGTAATAAGATTTATTTATTTTACCTCTAATCAATTGAAAAACTAGTAATAATATTTTAGATATAACATGTGTCAATTTATTATTGTTGTCCTTTAAGTAAGACGACCATCTCGTCAAGATATTCATATCTTGTGTTTTAATATAATATTTATTTTTGTGTCAATTGAATAAATTATGATTTTATTTTTAAATATAGTTCTAACTAAGATTTATATTCCTTTTAAAATATAATTCGTACATTTTGCTAAATTGATAATCATATACCATATATATTTTATTCAATCATATAATTTCATTCATTTTTTTAATAGATTTTGATCCACCAATAAACTTTTTGAAACTTGACTTCATATTAAATAGTTTAATAAGAAGTCTTCATTGTTTTATCTTATATACTAAAAAAAACAAAAAACTAATAACTATGAAAATTAATAAAAAAAATTACATTAAAATAATTCTTTTTCAATTCATTGTTATTTAATATACTGGCTAATAATTTGTGTCTCATCCATTTTTTTATAATATAATATTACTAATAATATATATATATATATATATATATATATATATATATATTATGATACATAAAATTTATTGGATATAATATATTGTACCAATAATTGAAAGAATCAAGTATACATTTCAACCGTTATAAATACTAATGAAAATGAATTTGTATTTTTATATTATGCAATAATTATCAATAAAATTGAACGATTTATTCCAATAAAAAATGTTACATTACCTTACATTATAAGTTGCAACAATTGAATGAGAGACTTATTAATAAAGTTGCATTAAAAATTATTTTCTAATTAAATTAAAAACAGAAAACGTTAAGTCAAAATATAAAGTTAAAATTGTCTTTATGTAGCGTGACTTCGATATTAATATTAGTAAAAAAAACTCAAAAACACGTTATATGACCTAAAAAAATATATTGTAAATTGTTTCATCTAACACTTAAAAAATGTTACATTACATAATTTAAAAGAAATAAAAAAATAACTAAAAATTATATCATATTAGACAGCACAACTTCTTAAATACAAAATTCTTTTGGAATACAAAGTTGTAGTTAATAACAAAACTTACTTAAATTTCTCATTTTTTTAAATCTTACCCGTTTCCGTGAAATCCAGAAAAAATGGCCCCATTACGATAAAAAAACCCAATGTTTGGGTACTACACAGGATGATTCTTCCATCATGTATAACCGTAGTTGATGTCTCATGATGCACTCTACCTGGTAAACTTATTAATTATAATAAACACGTCTTAAACTTCTCATATCTTCTCTAAATGAAGAACAGAGGTAAATTATAATTAAACTTCCATAAGAAAATTGTTAATTACATTCCAAAATTGAGAGTGGGTATACATACATACATACATACATATATATATATATATATATATATATATATATATATATATAACAAATAAACATAGCATTAATGTTGAATATTCACCAGTCACAAATCATAGTTATTGACGATCCCCACTCACCTGAGTAAACCCATTTTCTCCGATTCATTTCGCGAGAAAGGATTAACCTCTGTAACCAATTGTCTAACTCCGTTTAGTTTCACGTTGAATTCGACATCCGAATGCGTTTTTGAGAGTAGTTATGATCTTGTGGGGAAAAAAACTGGTAATCTTTGTTGAGGTTTTATCTGCAAGAGACATCCCCACCTCATTATTTTTCTCGGTTATCATGTCATCAAACAGAAAATTCGAAGACGAAATGGACCCTCTTCCTCCCCTCTGTATTTTACTGCTGTGTGGTGGTTCAAAATGAAAACTCGTTGAACGTTCTTGGTTCAACGCATTATTATTCCTCTTCCCATGCCTCACTTGATGATGTTCAAGAAGTTTCTTCATGTCCATTAGTTCTTTCTCAAGGCTTTGAATGCGATAGTAGGTGGAGTCCATGGCCTCTTCGATATCCGTTGCATGGCGATGAGCAGTGTCATGATGGAGAATTTTTCTCAGTGACGTCCGTTCCACTTGCTGCGTAGCGGCGGCGGCCGCCGCAACCAGGGAGCGACGAGTGTTTAGATGCTCCACCAGTATCACTCCCATTATGAATTTGAGCGACATTCGCGGATTTTGAACACAGTCAACGAGGATGTGGGGTGAGAGCTTAGAACAATCTAAGTTGTTGCATATGTCTGTCTGTTGTTCCTCTGTTAGTTTTCCGTACTTGTTTTCCTTCACCAATGCCAACAAATTCTTATCAACCAACCATCAACAATGATACTCTCTAACAAAAATATTACTTCAACACCCAACAAAAAGAAGAATCAGCATAAACATTACAAAGTAATATTGTTTTATTGATTAACTAATATAACAAGTAATATGTATTATAAAAAAATGAAATTTGATTTTTTCCCCCTCTATTTATCAATACATCAAGCGAATGGCATGTCATATTTCTTAATTCTTACGTTCAAAAGAAAGTCAAATGACTATGATATATGTTCATACTTTAGAAAAATTAGCTCCCTATAAAATAATATTACTTGTATATTTTAAAATCAAAATTGTGGATAAAAAATTTGTTTTTATAATAAAAGAAATATTTTATTGTGAAAAAAAAACTACTTTTGTCGATTTTGTTGGAACTAAAAGCAATTGTTTAAAATTTTTGGAAATGAAATACAAAAAGTAAAATTATGACGACCAAAATTAAAACATACTTATTATATTGACATTTAAAAAAGTATTTAAATTAAAAAAATGAAAATAATAAATGCTAATTAAGTATTTAGAAAATTAAAGGTGTAAAAATCAATGTCCTTGCTGACTACATTAACATGATATAGCAAGGATCACTATTTTAAAGTCAATGATGATTAAAGTATATATATCAGTCATTTTAATTTGTAAAACTAAAATCACATTTATGGTTTTAAATGTGTATTTATTTAGTTAAATTAATTCACAAATAACGGAATTTGAAGACTATTTAGAATGGTGAAAACTGAAGTCATATTGAATTTAGTGATGTAAATCATTTTATTAATTTATTTAAAAATGATATTAAATGAGCCATTGATAATAATTATTAAATGAAATTTAATGAAAATGTTTACCCCAAAAAAAAAATATTGGTCTGTTTTGCCTTTTTAATAAAATTAACTTATCATTAAATGTGATTAATTCAAAGATTATATATTTCCCAGAAAGATTGAAAGGGGTCTATACAATGTGTTGACAATGTTTTTGGATCTACTATTGTATTGTGATTCAATCATATGAGATGATGACACGTATACGCTTAAAGATATAAGATGACACGTGGCGTACCTTAAGATAAAGATCAATCATCTTGTATAGAACGTCGTGGTCGCGCAGCCGTTTGTTCAAGTAACACGCCACCATTTGAAATTCATGAGCTTGCATCTCTACGACGTCGTCCAAAAATGAAACGTCGTCGTCCAAAATCAGCACTTCAATACACCTGCTGACAAGCGACGCTGTCGTTTCGGCTTCGGGAAGCATAGTAACGCACGAGCGCAGAACCATGAATGCATCAATGCCAACAACTCTGTCAAAGTATGATTCTGTCACCTCGCATAGATTCTCTCCTTCCGTCATACCCAACAACTCCGCCGCCACTCTTATCGCTGCCACGTTACTCGGCATTAAGTGGATTTTGTGGGTGTAACAGAACTCAGCCACCGTGGCGAAAGTCTCGGCCGTTAGGTTTAACGGCGGAGAGATAGTTACGCTAGAAACTCCCGTTAGGTGCCGTTTGAGGTATGAACTTTGTGATATCAAACGATCCTAAAAGTCAAGAAAAGAGGACAACGAATTTAAGGTATATACGAGTATGTAATATGCAACATTGATCCCGACATGTCATTTCAATATTTCGTCGAAATATCATAGCAAGTGTTGCACGTATTTTTATGCGATAAAGGATGTCCCTTTTGTTGGGTTTAAAAGCAGAATTTTTCAGATGAAGAAAAAGATTACTGAGAGTGAAAAAGTTTGCAAAATTATTAACGCGTAGCTAACAACTCTAAATATGCATTTTTTTTTTCTTAAAAATATCCCGTGCAGAGCATGAGTACATTAGAAAATGGAGGAAAAGACACTGGTGGTGAATGAACAAACCTGGTGCAATCGAAAACATGTTCCTTGAACAAGTATCAAGACGTTTGGTTCAGAGACGGAGTCAAGAGACCTGAAAGCAAAGATAAATCCATTTAAAACACGAAAATGAGGCATGAGAAAAGGTAATGGAGGTGGGAAGAATGGTACGGTACGAACCAAGCACTGACTATGGAGTGGAGTGAAGGAGGAGAAGAGGAGAAGGATGGTGAAGGAGAGAGAGTGAGAAAGGAAGTAGAAGAGAAGTGGTGTTCTTCCTCGTAGATGGTCTCAATAGCCCCAAACTGGTTCCAAGCCCTCATCTTTGCGTGTGTTCTTTGAAAGAAACAACACTCAGTTTTCAACACTGTTTAAAGCTCTACCGTTATTTCCATGGAGTTTATGAGAAGTCATAAATATGATTTGAACGTTATCAATGCCACGTGTCATCATTCATAAATAAATATCCGCTTTAATTGCCTTTCTTTGTTTCAATTTTATTTTTATGCCCTTAATTTTCGTGTTTTGACTGAAATTCTCCCCTCGGGTATTCTTTTTTTTTTTTTTTTAATACATGGTTGTTGATTCTGTATCCGTCTCCTTTAAAAATTTAAAATCTGATCGTTTTACTTTTTAATAAAATATATTTTTTAAACTTATTTCTATTTCAATAAAAAAATATATCTATTAAAAACATTATGTTTTTTAAATTGTATATTTAGTATACTGTTATTATGTATGAAATTCAACATGTTAACACAGATGAGGTATTTTTTTAATTGTTTTTTATTTCTAAAATTGAATTTAAACTTTATTTGAGCCAATCTAGTTTCAACAAAGTGTTGTTTGGTTTAGACTGAGAGAGTGAAAAAGGAATTCAAAAGTGGTGTAGTTGAACAGAGATAAATAAAGTGAAAAACAAACAAAATAAGTGAAAAGTTTATAATTAATAAATGTTATTTGGCAGAAAAAATTAATTAAGTTATAAATGAATTATCAAAATATATTTAATTAAAATTTAATTAGAGTAAAAATGAATTACAAATTCAATAATGTGTTATATATAATCCATAATAATTCTTCATATACGATATTTTATTTTATTTATCGGGAAATCTTATTATTAAAAATAAGAACATCAATAAATAGAACAACGATTCTTTCTCCATGATGATCGTGTTGTGTTGGATGATTGTATTGAAGACGCAACAATTGTATCAATAAAGGGTTGCAATGGTACAAAGTTCTGATGTGGTTAATCATTAATTCAAATATTTGTCACTATATATTTTTATATCAAAGTCTTATTTTAAATATGGTTGTCTTAGTTGAATGTAAAGCTGTTGAAGTTAAATATTGTGTTTCTGTCGTTCTCAACATTTGCTATTTTTCTTTTTTCAGAGTTAAGTTTTTTATGAAACGTAATGTAAAACTATTTTTATTATAATTTAATACAAGCTGTGTCAATAAAAACAGTAATGTTTATATTTGTATATGATGTTAAATTAATTTTAAATAAAATTTTATGTGTCAATAACGGTGACTAGATGTTCCATTCATTATAAATAAAAAATATCATTAAATATTAAGTATTAAATGTTTTTGTGGTAACACTGTTTTTTTCTTCTTCTGAATAATACGAGAGTTAATTTGTGTTAACTGATTATATATATATATATATATATATATATATATATATATATATATATATATATATATATATATATATTTTCAATTGTTTTAAATTAAAATCGTATTCTTAAAATGTATCATATATGCACAAATTTATATACGAATTCAAAATCATATTATATCTTATTCATATAAATCAAAACAAACATTATTTTAAATATATTAAAAGTAAATAATTTCATTACAATTTTTTTCTTGTTCATTTTTATATTTAATACACACAAACAAACTAATATATATTTATAACATAACAGTTGGATTAATCAAAATATAAATGGTATAATACTTAATTTACAATATGAATTGTCATCTGAACTCTCTATATTTATGTCAAGAATAAAAATTCACCCTTACTCTTGGTAATTTCTCTTATAATACTATATATATATATATATATATATATATATATATATATATGTATATATATATATATATGATGTTAAAATATAATCACAATGTCACATTAATATGTTCGATAATATAATTTAAAAATGTATATATAATTATTTATTTATTATTATGGAAAATGATAACTATTTTTTATATCAATCACTATATACTAAATAAATTTTAAATAATATTTTAGTAACAATGTTTCTGAAAGTACAAGAAACATTACAAACCAACGTTCCCTATTGTTTATATATTTTCTCAAAGATTGTTACTGTCTTGTTTCCTCAGGAACAAAACAATGGAGCAGATGTCAACAAATTTGGTCCCGGAGGCCCAATAAAATTGGGCTAGCTTGGCCTGTCAAAAATTGGGTGCGATCCAACACAAAATGCAACTAAATTTAAAAGATTAAAGAAGGAAAAAGTAAACCCTAAATCTCATTGTTTTTTATATATACTTTCCTTTCATTCTCATTGCAGTCGCGGAGAAAGAAGAGCAGAAAATGAAATTCAATCCTAGGGTTTCTTCGAGCCGGCGCAAGAGCCGCAAGGCACACTTCACGGCGCCGTCGAGCGTCCGCCGCGTGCTGATGAGCGCGCCGCTATCCACCGATCTCCGGTCGAAATACAATGTGCGGTCCATTCCGGTTCGGAAGGACGACGAGGTGCAAGTGGTGAGGGGGACCTACAAGGGCCGGGAGGGCAAGGTAGTGCAGGTTTATCGCCGCAAGTGGGTCATCCACATTGAGCGAATCACGCGTGAGAAGGTGAACGGCTCCACCGTCAACGTCGGCATTCACCCTTCAAAGGTCGTCGTCACAAAGCTGCGAATGGACAAGGACCGTAAATCCTTGCTCGACCGCAAGGCCAAGGGTCGCGCTGCTGCCGACAAGGAAAAGGGTACAAAGTTCGCTCCTGAGGATATCATGCAGACCGTTGATTAGTTTTTCCATTTTTTTTTTCTATATACCTTTTAATTACTGCTCGCTTATGTTGTGGTTATTGGAACTTGGTTTCGATTATTAGTGTCGTGTTTTATTTGTGGTTTTGGTAGTTTGAGTATCTTGCGGTTCGGATCTTAAGGGTTCCGGTATTCTCAGACCTTTCTGTTTTGTTTAATTTAATCAAATGTTTGACATTATTACTGCTGATGTTTATTGTGTTTTTACATTATCTTTGTTAGCTTAGTGATTGTCACAATGTCGCTCGATTTATATGGACTGAGTAGGTTTTAGGGGTTGAGTGCTGCGTTAAAATATGGGTGAATGATTGCATTACACCCTAATACACTTAATATTCTCTCTCCAATTAGGAAAAAAATGTGGAAAACTAAAATATTATAAGTGGTTTCATTAAAAGTTGTTGAGTCATGCATTTTCTGATTTTCAACAATTGTTAGCTAATAATAGAGTTTTTGATCCTATTGCTCGCACAGTTATATTCATTGTGCACAAAGTGTTTACAAGGAGGTCTGGGGGAATCTTAGGAAAACTTTCTTTCTGGTGGACTGTAATGCAGATAGGTGCATTTAAGTAACTATAGTCTTATAAATGGAAGATTTATTTAAATCCCATGATGCATGTTTTTAAGTGTATTGACCCTCCAGTTTTTTCTCAAAATAGTCAAAATGCAAAGGTGCATTTGAAAGTCTAAAATTATATTCAGTGCATCTTTTGACAATGACATTTGACTGGACTTCATTACGTTTTGGTTACTTACTGTCTTTGATCTTCAAAGTCAGATTGCGTGAAAATATTGTTTGTTTTTTAGAAGCTGTCAGGATTTTGTCAAACAGAGAAAGAGAGGGAGGGTGTTACATTTTATTATAGGTCAGGGTTTCGAGTCCTATTCTCTTGAGAGGAGATAAAGGTCTGTTTGAAAGTGGTGCGAGTTCGGATGCTTTCTCTGCTAGGAGTAGGGTATTGTTTTCTTGTCCCAAAATTTTACTCTACCTGAACAAATATAGGAAATAACGAAGCCGAACCAAACTCAGCAAAAAAATGGAATTTGGAGATGCTCCGTGGTATGCAGATATGCTACCTATGATTTTTTTGCGTTAATTTCAGTTGTGATGGCCCTATCTGTGAGATATTGTTATATCTTGATACAGATTATACTTCAATTTCCCTTGGTTACAGTTGTTCTCATTTAAATGGGAAATGAGAACAAATTATCAGACATTGTTGTAAAAGGCTATCGATTCAGATTAAAGTCCATTTAAAATCAGTCATGTGCCTTTGTTTTCTTCCCCCCCACCCTTCATTTGTACGATTCTTTCACTCCAGTGAACCCTATTAAATTCTTCTTCCTATTCAAATTAACGTTCATCATGTAAGGATGGTGTTAGGTTTCCATGTCCTTTACTGTACACATACGCATTCGGAAATTCTCAACATATAATTATGGTTTTGAAATTATAGTTTAAGGATCCTGTAAGTTTCTGTCGTATTGTTATTAATTTAAATTCACCAGAATTTTTAAGAAAGGAAATATGAAATTGGACATTTTCTATTCGGCTAATTCATAAAGTCCCTTGGTCATGGTGCTTCTCATAATCCACGTGGTATATGCAATAGAACTGTTTAAGCAAAGAAGGGCTCCAGTAATTTATTTACGTCCGATTTCCTTAAAGTCATTAAAATTTGTTGTGGACAATTTTTTTAAAAAATAACCAAGTGTAATATAATATTTTAAATTATAGTGCCAAGGTATAATAAAAATGACATTTTTAAAAAAAATTATTTTTAAACAAGATAAATTCCTACATCGAAGGGAAATGAAAAACTCTTATAAAATAAGATATTGAAGAGAGATAGTAAGCAGAAGAAAAAAATCAGTTTAAATTATTTAAATAATAATGAAAACTCAAACTTACAAATATTTAAGTCAATATAACTAATAATAAAAATTAATAAAATTAATGGACAATGATAATCATGACACAATTATGTTAAAAGATTATTTAAAAAAAGTTAATAAGTTTTTAGAATTAATTATAATAAAATAAAATTGTAGATAATTTAAGAAACAGTAGAATTTAGGTACCAACTAGAGTAAAATTAAATTTTTAAGTGTTTATTTTTAAACGAGAACAAATTTAAGGATCAATTAAAACTAACTAATGCTCTATATATATATATATATATATATATATATATATATATATATATATATATATATATATATATATATATATATATATATATATATATATATATATATATATAAAAGTTTAGAAGACTAAATACTTCTAATCTCATATTGGTTGAGTAATGAGTTCAAACATTTTAAAAAAAGAAAGAATAAATTATACTCGCCTCTTCAAAGTTTTTAAAACTAATTTTCGCTGACATTTTTTGTAAATTACAATAACTCTTTCCTCTGAAAGACAATGTATTTTATGAAAAAGTTTATTATAAATATTAAAAAATAAATAAAGAATTACTGACAAACAAAAAAGAAATATTAAGAGAAGTTAGTATAATTTACTGGAAGAAATTTATGAATTTACAAAAACTCTAATTTATTTGACAAATTCATACCGTCCAGCTTTATCCTTGGACAACTTGACATATTTAATATGAAATGATTTTTCTTTTTGATAATGATATTTAAAACATAATTAAGTTTTCTGTTGGATTGCATACATTTTGGGTCTATATTAGACAAATGCTGGTACAGATAATTATACGTTGGACAAAATGATACAATTAAAACTTTTTTTTCTTGTTAATCCAACCATTGCATTAAAAGAGACATAGAAAAAGAAGAATTTTTTTAACTCCATCCCATTTAGTTCTAAATTTTCGAAGACGATAGAAAAATAATGGAGAACTATAAAATATCATCTTATTTTTGTTCCTCATTCTATTCTAAGAATTTAAAAGGGGCAGAAAGTCATTTGCAATTTTTTGAGTGTACCAACTAAATTATCCTGAAGACTTTAGCCTCGCCATCCATTAACATTAATGGAGCACAACAGTATATCATATTTCTCCTCCTCTACCCTTTACTTGGACCAACTACGGTGACCTTTCAGTGAACCCAATTCACCGAAAGACTTAACAATATTGTAGGCGAATGGAAGTTATCCAAGTGACATTGAAAATAGAATTGTGAGAAAAGCACACTCGATAACTAGACAACATGACCTCCAGATCTGTAATGCCTACTACAATGTTGGAGGAAAAACAGAAAATTCAATATAAACAAAAGGGAAACAAAAGACACTCTTGGATTCAAAGTAATTGAAATATTTTAATCCATTCATGAAGAGCCTAGAAATGCTCATCTGTGGAGTTAATTATTTTCCCCCCTTTCAAGGGCCACCAAAAAATTTGAATGAAGTTTGTAACTCGGATCACTTTTTCTAGAAATGAATAAAAAACTCAAGGTTTGAGGGCAACTCCCAATCCAAACTTTGGTTTTTTATCCAGTGCCTTGGTGTCAATCTCACCAGAAATAGTCAACACCGATTTTGGTATGATCTCATGCTGCAAGAGGGCCCCAAGCTGTCCTTGATTGTTGAGCCTTGCTTTGACCTGTGTCAAACTGTCAACAGCAAAAGACCCTCCTACTGTAAAAATGTTTTCATTTGTCGAAAACTTTCTAGTGACCTCTGCAACAGCAGCACTCTTCTTCAATAGGTCCAGATGATGGAGGTAGGATGCTCTAATGCTGTCACCCTTGTCACCACTGATTGGGAAGTACATGTTCAACATCAATCTGTTAGGCTTTCAACACGATTATGGTTGCTAGATGTTTGTAAAACAAATTTTCTAGGTAAAAGCAGCTTACAGGATAATTGATGCAGATGAATCGGCTTTCGTGACACTAATCCCAGCAGTGTATTTTGTAAAACGACCAGATGTAGTGTCATAGCCTGCCTCACCACCGAAAGCGATGCTTGGGGTACCAAAAGTAGCGGAAACATCAATGGCAGGGGATTGATTCACTGCAACAGCTGTTGTTAAGGTAGCATGGTCATGGAAGTATTGAACCTCTATCTGTCAAAATCAAATCAGACAAATTTTTAGAAACGACGTCCAGCAGTTAGTCAAATATCCCAGCCAGAAGATGCAAGTTTATATACCTTGCCAGAATTATAATCAGGCAGCTTAAATGAAGCAATAGTCTTGGTGGATGGAAGTATGTCAGTGAATGTGAGGGTTGTGGAGATCTGGAAAAAAAAAAAAAGGAGTAAGTTAACAAGATGATTTACTCAAGATCATACACTATTGTAACCTAAAAAGACAAAGTAACCCACAATTGATGCTGTATCAAGTTTAACATCGATAATCGTGTTTTTATACTTGTACAGTGCGGCCACATCCCCAGTCGAGAGTCCACCTTTCTTCACAGCTGTTGAAGTAAGGGCCTGAGGAGAAAATGTAAGAAGTCAGATTGAAATGAACACTGTGCAGTTTGCAACGCAGTGCGCTGTTGCACATACATAACATTGGAAAGGCAACCATGACAAAAAAAAATTATAGTAGCAAGACAAGAATTTAAAAATGAGCATGCAGTTTGCAACGGGCTAAAATAAATTCCGAAGAACAGAAGTCAAAAGATCATCAGTACCCCAAGTCAATCTTACACTATTTTATTGGGTTACAGAATATGTCAATCTTACATTATTTTATAGGGAGACAGGACATTGAATCTTCATCATCTATCAGTCTATCCAGATATCTTTTATTTTATCAGTCTTAACCATATATCTTTTATTTCTTTGATATCCGAAATCAAATTTCAACCATCAAACAATTTCTCTGAACTCTGCAGTTACTATCAACGTTTCTTTTATGACCTTTTCATACACCAAAGTGTTGTTTCCAGTCACTGGATAATTCAAGTTCCGTATCCCCTAGTAAATAAACGTTTATCATTATGTTTACTTGTAAAAAACAATTCATCAGGTTTAGTAGAATATATCCGAATTCTGAGCCTGAGTACGAAAAGGCAGGAAACTAGCATAACCAGCAAGATAACTTTAATCAGCAATCCATTACTGTCTCAAGAATTTCCCCTTTTAAAGTGGTTTTGAACATCTGGATCCAAATTTATTCCACCTCTGATTTCAAATCCATAATGCTATTTCTTTCACCATTATATTTGCCCCGAACTCATGCTAGATAACATCAAAACAAGCTCTTCTGCACAGACCTACGTGCAATCTATCACACATGTTATCAATCAATCTTCATATTCATAGTAGTTAGTTAGATACCTATGATTTTGTTATATCAATTAGTTACAGTTTATATCAGTTAGTTAGAGATCTATAATTCTGTTAGCAAGTTTGTTAGTCTGTATCTGTATAAATAGTCACTTGTAGTGTCAACAACATTCATATAGTGATATCCGAGACTTTGAGTCTCTCCTTTTTTCTATATTCACTGTTTATCAAACAATGTAATAAGGTCTACACATTGAATCTCTTTTTCGTCTTCACGTAATCTGCCATAGTATTAAAACTATACATCTTCTTAGTCATTGTCTATTATAGTAGACATCAATTCAAAAGGATGTAGGAAAGTCCAATATCGCCTAGCCTCAATTTGTTGGAGTGCAGCTTTTAAATTTGATAGACAATATCACTCAATATCAATTGTTGTGAAGTTGAAATCAGACATATCATAGTCTATAACTCTTCTTGATCATAGTCTATTTTAGTAGACTCACCTGGTTTGATAAGCATCTGTCAAGAGAATGTGAAGCAATGGGGTGTGGAGAAATCATTCATAATCTACCTTAATTTTTGGTTGCGGCTTATGTTTATTGGATAACTTCCCTTAGAGTCGCTTGGTGGTTTTATGGCGAGATCTAACATTCTTCATGTAGTCCTATTCTACAGTCGCCATCCAATAAATTAGCATTTTGATAAAACAATCATGCTACACTAGGATAAAGGTAGTTTTCTGTAAAAGTAACTTAATAAAATGAAACTTAGTTGTTTATTGGAGCTCATTTGTCAGATTGCATATTATCCAAATCAAATGCTCCGTTCCATGACACTATATTGCAGAAAAGGACTTAATTAGCTGATAGTTTGATAAGGACTCGGATGTCAGACTGCATATTTTGAGAATCAAAGTCCCTTTCTTATGACATAGCGGGCTAGGAGCAAGCCAACATAAACACTCACAAAATGAATAGAACGCCAGAAAACAGATTCAGATAAAAATTTTACTAAAACAAGTAACCGTGTATCCAACATCCTCGTTTCCTTTTATTAATTTTAATTTTGCAGGGGAGAATCTGTCTACACAATACGGATTGACTTAACGTACTAACAATCTAATGCGGAATCGCTTAAAGTGCAAATTAAAATAAGCGAACTCGAGATAAACAATTTTCTGATGCAACTTCAGGATTCATACAACAAAAAGTCAATACAACAGATAATCAGGGATTTTAATGAACAACCGACGCTCATAAGCAACCTTATAATGCGAATAAAATAACTTTCGCGTAAATCATGGCGCCAGATCTTGACCAAAAGACCTCACAGACAAAAAAATAATTATAAAAAAAATCGTACAAATAGAAACAATATATTGATTATAAGGGAAATTCGAAGAGCTTACAACTCCGGCAGTGCTGTAGGATGAAACGGTGAGTTTCTTGTCGGAGGTGTAGTCCCTAGTCAAAAGATCTACAAGCAATAGCAAATCAAAACTACTTAGTTTTTACTTCTTCGAGCGAGAAAAATGATGAGGAATGAATAACGAAGAATGTTAGACAGCATGTTCGTTCACCTTTGGCTTTTTTGCCGATATCGGTGAAGAGACCCGGTCCCTTGCTCATTTTCGATTTCAGAGAGAGATAGAGAGATCTTGATGCACTAAGCTTCACGAAACAGGTTGTGGCGAGGAAATGACGCCCATTTTCACGTTTTTATTTTATATGTGAAATAATGTAATAGAGAATCGCGAATCTGTATGGGTTGAACTGGCTATGTCCGAAACTGCGTTTTTAGCCGTTGATTTAGGAAGCGAATGGGATGCGTGGGACCATCGTGCCCGCGCTCCCTCTTTTTTTGATCTGTTTTTCAGGGTGATACAATTTATACAACTCAATGAAATCCTTGTTCTTCAAGTCTAGTAATTAAACTTGAGTTTAAATTAAACTTCATCTACTCAAATGATCCAGGTTATAAAATAAAGAAATAATTTTTTATTAATAAATTATCTATAATAAATTTGTCCATTTCTTTTATATAAATATTGCTTTATTTTAAATAAAATATAAATCTATAATGTGATATTATAATATGAAATTATAAAATTTCATGTTGGATCATTATACTTTTAATATCTTTATTTAAATTTGACATTTCATATTAAAACTTAAATCCTAAACACTTAATAATGATATATGTCTATTCAAAACTTAATTATATTAATTAAATAAATAATAAAAATATTAATTATAATAAATAAATAAATAATTTACAATATTATTCAAACTACATTTAATAAAGAAAATTTGTATATGATTATATTATTTAAAGTAAATTTATAATTAAAATTAGTAATACAACATAAAATAAAAAATATAAGAAATAATATATGGATAAAGAAGAAAGTATTATATTTTTGGAATATTTCTTTTTATAAATGACATAATTAAGTTGTATGGATAAAGAAGAAAGTATTATATGAAAATAAAAATGAATTAAAATAAATTGGAAACCTTTACAATATCATTTAGTTATGCATTAAATTAAATAGGATCCACAATATTATCATATGAGTATTATATTTTCTTTGTATCGATCTTTATTTTTTTTCCTGTAATGTATAAATTTGGATACGGATAAATTCTATTCATTTTACAATTAATGTTACAGTTTTTTTTATGATCGATTTTTTTTTAAGAAAGAAACTAATAACTATAAAGTGCAATATAAAATATGTTCTTATTATTAATAATTTTCACTAAAATTATGTCTATATGTATTATACAAAATTAAAATAAAGAAAATTTATTTTTTAAAATACACATTTATATAAATTTAAATTATATAATACATGTGTAAATGTGAAGTTTAAATGTATGTTAATGTTTATAACTATGTTATCAAGATTTTAAAGTACTCACATACATACCTATTGGTTTATAATTATATAAATTTTAAACTATTACAAATATTTATAATCAGATACATCTAAAAATAAATAAATAGATTTTTAATTTTACTTTTTAAACACATTTGAAGGCTTCAAACAGGAAAATAAATATCTTACACCTTTAGTAATCTTGATTTCAAATTCGTAGTTTTTTTTTTATCGATTTGGAGTTTAATATTATTCTACGATAATTGACGACCATACATTTTTGCATCATGTTATCACTTTAGTCGTCGTCAGTTGTTTTTATAGAAGCTTATACATTATAATAAATAAAATTTGCTAAAAACAATAATAAAACTTTACATAATTTTTTTTACTTTTTATTTCATTTATTTTTCATTAAATTTTAAATTCAATTATTTTAGTCTGTTAAATATAAAGTTTTTGTTATTTTACTTATTTACATTACCGTTGGTTTAAAGAATATGACAATCAAAATGTTTATTTTTTTTAAAACAAACAAACAAAATGAATCAAAAATTTTATTTATTTTCGTATGATATTAGCCTTTTATTATAGTCGCATGTTTTTTAAAAATTATTTTAAAGTTTTTTTTTTAACTTTCAATACACTATTATTTATTTAAATAATCAAAGTTGTATAAAAAATCATCTTTAATATTTTTTTAAGTTTCAGACATTATTTCCTTTTCTTAATTGTAAAAATGACATAAAAGTTAAATAAAATACAAAGGACATAATTAATATCCAACTTAATATAATATAAATAGTAAACAAATATTTAAACATTTAGTATAATATATTTTATGATAAAATATATTTTGATATAATAAATATTTGTATTTACTAAAATTAAAATATTTTATTTGGTTTTCATATAATATTAACTATTCTAGTCAATTTTGAATTATTGTTAATAGTTGATTTTATTTTTGTGGACCATTAAGTGTAGTGTATTATACAGAAATTCTTCACATATGTGCATGGTATCATGTTTGCAAAATCTCCTTCATGAATTTTTGGCTACAAAGATAAATGTTTCCATAAAAGCAGTTGGATAATACTTAAACCCACTTGCATAATATACAATAATTGATGTGAGATAAAACTAGTGATTTTTTTTAGATAATTAAAAACTTAATATAATAATTAGTCATATATAAAAATATATTTTAATTACACGAAAGTATTTTTTTTATTAAAAAACATATTTTACCCCATGTTTTCAATAAAATATTTTCTATTACCATATATTATTTTGAAAAATATTTCTTTCAATATTATTCTTATAAATCATACAAAAATGGAATAACATTTATTTTATATAAAATCGTAGTTAATATAAATTTATTTGTATATTATTTTTATTGATATATAAAAGATTATACATTAAATAAAAACATACATCGTCATAAATATCCCATTATCAACCCTCTCTCTCTTCCTCTCTATATATATAGTATTTGCAAAGATATTTTTAATAAATCCCATAGAAAAACTTTTATATATATAACATTTAACATATATGGTGAAATCATTATAAATTGAGTTGAAAACATATTAGCTTAATTTAATAATTAAAAAATTATAATTTAATTTGAGATAAATTTATTTATTTAAATATATATTTTAGTTTTTTTAATGAGGTAAGTTAAAATATTATTGTATTCACGAATTTATATTTATATATAAGTATGATAAATAAAATTGTTAAAAAAAATCATCAATTTAACTCGATGTCATAGTGAATCGAATTTGATTCGAGAACTGTAACATTCCTAAATATATAAAAAAGAAAATATCACTTGAATATGGTCTCCTTTTATAAACATATTTTATTTATAAATATAAGAAAACAATAATGATTCCTCATCTTTGTTGTACACTTTCAAATTAAACTACATCCTTCTCACTTAAGTTATACTAATCACTAAAATTACATGTTTTCATACTACATTAGTTATTATCCACTCTATTTACACATTTATTTAGTATATCACAAATAATTTTTTTTATATTGATTAGACCGTCAACGACTTAGGTAGTCAATAATAACGAATGAAATAGGTGAAGTGTTCATAGAAAGAAATAGAGTTTTTTTAATTTCTGTTTGCATCAGCTTCAGATGACAAGTTTACCCCTTTTTCTATATTTCCTTTCCGCTACCACTCAAAAAGCAAGGTCCAAAGTAGAAGAACTCTAACCATTATAACTATCCATATTACCCCTTATTCTATTTCCTTTCTGTTACCGCTCAAAAACCAAGGTCCAGAGAAGAACCCTGACCATTATAACTGCATGGCAACGGGGCGGGCGCGGGTGCGGGTATTGCCTTCCGAACTCTGTCCCCGGGTTTTGCCTTCCGAATTGTCCCCGACTTTTTAAATAATCCTCGTTTCCGATTCTTGTCGGGGTTAGAAATTAAGTTACAGTCTCTGCTTGGATTTGGGTTCTCACCCCGTCCCGTCACTGATCTATATTATTTTTAACAAGATAATTATATTTATAATAAATTAATTTTATTATGTATTTTTATATATAAATAAATATTTATAATTTATAATTATTATTAATTAAATATACATTTTAATTTATTATATTTATATTAAAATATATGTGTAAAAAAAATATTTAATTATTTTTTATTTATATATATATATATATATATCTAATATTTATAACATTATTATTATTATTATTATAACAATGTATTCAAATATTTGAATATTTATAACATTATTATTATAATACTATATTCAAATATTTAATTATATATAAGTTAATTCATTTTTAAGTTGTCAATATATAGTTTATAAGAAAATATTTAATAAGTTAATTCTTATTTAATTAGTTTGAAGTAATCAAAGTTTAAATTATTAATTTTTTTAATCCTTTAAAATGCAATTATTTTATTAAGATAAAATTTGATATATGATAAATAAGCATAATAAGATAAAAAAATATGACATAATAAATATAAATTATAAATAAACTAATATTAGTTACTACTAAGATTTATGAAAAATATTTAGAAAAAGATAAAAAAAAAAAACTTTGTGTTCATCAAATTGGTTGAAAATATTGAAAAAAAAAAACAAAATGATGGGAGAGATTAAGGAAATGTGAAAAACTAAAAGATAAGAGAGAAAATAATATAATAAATTAATTGATATAAAAGATTGAAAAAAATAAAAAAAATTAAAAAGTGGGTAAAATAAAAATAAAAATTGGTGAAATATAAAAAAATAACCTTATATGTAATAGAAAAAAATGAAATACTTTTAAAATATTAATATTTTAAAATTTAAATTTAAATATAAAGTTGGGGTTGGGGTGGGGATTGTATTACCCATCCCCACCCCCGTCCCGATTTTTAAAGCGGGAAAACCCGAACCCGACCCCGACCCGGTCAACTCGAGTTTTCTCCATCAAACTCGAGGCGAGACGGTCGGTCCCCATGAGGACGAGTTTAATTGTCATCTATCATATCTCTTAAGTTCTATTCTCACCCCCTCCACTTAAACATCCAATCATTTTCTAATAAAATATAAATTAACCCATAAACATTTCGATCTATTTAATAATGTGTTAATCTCATATTTATTATAATAATATGGTTATTATTTATTAATATAATATTAGATTTTATTTAAAAAAATATATAAATAAATTAAAAAAAAATAATATATATATATATAAATTATTTTTGCCA